CTCGTCTAGCCGATTTTGTGTTCGTCTGATGCGGCGCTGTTGAGACGAATTCGCGCTTGGCTTGAGCCAGATAGGTGGTTCTTGCATTTTAATTATTGCCTAATGAAGATTTTCCGAATTAGGGAGTGCCAATTGAAGGTTGAATGCTGTCATCGTCCTCGCCTCCTCTCATATCGTCAAACAGACAGTCGGTCATTCCATAACTCCCTGAGCAAATATTTCCTGCACCGAAGCAGCAGTTCGATACCGAATTTAAATCTATTTCTCAATGGAATCATATGGGAACATGCTTCCCGGGGTTACTAGGAAAGGATCCTGACATTCTGGAGCTGTCAGGGAGCGTCGAATCATACAGCCTGAGAAGTCATACGTGCTGAGGATGGCGAAAACGAGTAATCCGCGATGCCTGTCTAGCGATGAGTAAGACTCTCCGGGCACCTGGGCAACCCGCAAACATGGAACGGAGCAGCGAAACTTCCACGGAAATTTCTCATCTAAGCTGTAAAATCATTCGATGCAAAGGGAACCCGACAGGGAGCCGAGTTTCCCGCCAGACTCGGAGGAGTTAGACGCACGTCGAGAGAACATGCTCAAAAAGCCGTCAGTGATCGCTCAACGGTGTGACAGTGTTCGAATTCGATGACAGATTTCGACTGGCGTCATCGTTCACTCCAGATTCGCTCGATAAGCATCAAGCCCAAATATTGCCGTTCGTAACGGGCGAATCAATCGTTCACGGCAACGTAGAAGCAGTAATCCTTTTTGAATTCCCGGGACAGAACCTGGCTGAGCCTTGAGGCGCGTATGCACGCAATGAAGTTCACCGGGAAACCCCGCATTGCCACCGGGAACGTTTGGGATCATAGGATTGCGTAAACTCTCGACCGTCTTTTGACGCAGACTCACCCATTTCGGAAGCGTAGTTTTCCTAAAATTTCACTGAAAAGTCAGTTCATCCGATCACAACACACCGCCAGAAGCAAGCTTGAGTACTAGATGCTCAGAGCGACGAGAGGACTCGCAGCAGAAGCGGTCGGCGCGGCTCACTGGCCATTGGGACAAGCGGCCAACCAGCTGGCATGCATGCTCACAGGCGGCCGCGAAGAGACCAGTAGCGGCAGCAGCGACGAACAAGCCGGTAAGGCTGGTCGCTCGCCTGGGCAGGTAGCTCAGGCACGGCCTCAGAACTCACAGACGGACCAATAGAGCGCCGTGGATCGCTCGTGCTCTACTGCTGCTAGAGGAGAGCTGTCAAAAGCTCGAGCATCCGGATCGTCGATGTCATTCCCCCACATTTGTATCTGACGAGCTCTACGGCGCGGCGGTTCTCTCGTTCCCAATTATTCGGATTGGCGATGTTTTTCTGGCGAGATGATGTACTTTTGGCAGATCAGAGATCTTGGTTCGGATGATCTCGATATCTAGACGCTCCGTGCAGTCACGAGTCTACGAGACGGCATTTCGCTGCTGGCTCACGAGGAGTTGGACGAGAAGCAGAGAGACACAGCGCCATGAACTCCTAGACGACCAAAGTGTATCCTGGCCGTGAAAGCGAGATGCTGAAGGCTTGAAACGTTCGGGCGGTTTCCCGAAACGACATTCAAAAAAATTGGGAGGGATTTGGGAGCGGGAATTTCGCGCAAAACCAAAATACATGGGTGAATCTTTTTTCTGAATAGTCCATTGCCCTTTCGTCGAGTAGCGCCCTGGGCGGTCTCGAATGACTCTCGCAATTATTTGTGACGGGACTTCCCACGAGAGGAGACTCGCAAGATTTTCACATGGGATTTTTGGCGAGAGCATCGATAGTAGTGCCAGCCGAGGTTCCAATAGTCGGAAGTTCTTTGTACTCAGCGTACCTGCTCATCCGCAACTTTTCCCCAAGACATATTGAATTATCACCTCTTCCTCTGCCGTCTGGAGTCCACGTGCATAAAGAATTTGAAGTCAGCTTGAAAGAGACCCGATTCTCCGCACCAAACTCATCCGAGGAGGAGCGAACGTAAAATATTCCTCTCCATCTCTCGGTAACGGCTATCATCCGAAGTACTAATCAGAAGCATCGGATGGTCTGAGGAATAGGACCTCACCTCCCAATATTCTTGAATTTCGAAGAGAGAGCTAGCCTCGAGGATCATGAGGATCTGCTTGAGACGTGATCGATGAACCATGGATCGGAGATGCGCATTGCTCGAGAAAGGAACTGCTTGAGCTGATGAGCACCTCCAAACGGTTCGTCGGGTTTTTCGGGGCGAGTTTTGTCTCGACCCCATTGATTTCTTCCCCGTAGAATACAATGTCCACCAGAGCAACCTATGAGTCCATAATCGATCGATGCCTATGCTCATGAATTTCTGAGCTGCCTGGGTACCTGCCAGACATTTTCTCGGAGTACATCTGAGTACCTATTTGACACTTCGAGGATCGCTCAGTATCTCCGAGGAGCCATATCCTGCCCTATAGTTAAACCTCCCAGCCCTTCGACATTGTAAGTGGAAAGGGATTCTTGCTTTTGAGAATGTTCTCTGACACCGGAAGATCATTCACTGGCTCGGAGAAGGGCTCGGGATGCTTCTCCTGGAAAGAGAGTTTTCTGTCTCTGTACAGTGTGAAGGGAGTTCGCATTCGAGTAAGATCCTAACCGCATCACCGCTAAGGGAGCACACCATGCGTCCGATTGCCCGATTGCCAGGGTATCGGTCATAACTCATAACATTACCCCGCTGATGCTTCAGCTCGGCTGAGATAACTTCTCATTCGGAATGTGGAGCGGCGGACGCTGTTGACGACGCCGACAGTTCTGGTGAGACCACTGAGAACCATACATCCAGCCAAACTCCGCGCGGATTGGATGTGTCTACCGATGATTCCGGGAAGAATCTGTCAACATAGGTGCGGGGGATTTCACCCGAGGTTGAAATCCCCTCTCGGTACAATGACGAGCTGAGCCTCATGCGCTTCCACTCGGTGAACCGGATAGATATGCGGCGTCACCATCGTTCGCAGGATTTCCACCGGCAACGTCTTGTCGACAAGCTCAGCTGGACAGCATCTGTACGTCAGCTTCGAGGACGCGTATTTCCGGGCGTTGGCCGAATGGACATGGCCTGTACGATCCGATAGTACGCTGGATTTTCCACGGTCGAGGAATCAAACAGAGTCTGCTGGGACAGCATGAATGCAGGGGTCCAGGGCGGTTCAGCGGTCGATAGGTATGATGTTCGAGATCGTCCTTCCCACTTGTGATCCATTAATTATTTTCTGCTCACTGATATCTCGATTCAACCCGGAAATCATCTCCGATGCGTACGTTCGATGTGGTAGCCTTAATTTGTAGCACGGAGGACATGGAAGCTCGATTCGACGGCATAGGCTTGACGGAGATTTCGGCGTCGATGGCCATGAACGGTGCCGGCTCTCTCACCATAGCAACTTGAGAGCAATGCGTATCGCCGAAATAGCTTTGCGGGACTATTCAGAACGATATCCTGAAAGAGTTCATGGTCATGGACACATAAGCATACCCGCCGGAACCGTTGATGTTGAGGAAAATTATCAGAGACGTTTCCATTTTCATCAATCCTCGGGGAGGCTAGTTCATGATAAGAGCAAAACGTATCGGTGAGCCATGTCCGGTGATTCCCACCCCTAGACCCGTCTTGCGAGTGATGGAATCGATTTGCATCCAGTGCTTGACTCAGATGAGGGTTGTCTTTCTCTTCACGATTGGAGACAGAAGACCGAGTCGAGGTGCGTCAGATTGATAAAGCAGCCCAAACAATTCGAGAATATAGAGAGGATATGAAAGAATCGCTGCGAGGCCGAAGCACAGGAGTACCTTGGTGACGCAACAGAGAGGTATCAGCAGGGAGACTCCCTCAGATGCATAGCGGGGCACATCGGTCCATATACCCCACGGAATCAGGGCTCAATCGCTCTGATTAGCTGAAGGCTCCGATCCTCTGCGACTTTGCGCCGAAACTGCTCCTGGGAATCTTCTCGGCCCTGCTCTGGAAGCTGCTGAAGAACGCGCAACATCGGTGGACTCAGTCAAGCGATGGGAAACGTGTTCGGGAGTTACTTAGCGAATGATTGCACAGTCAGCGAAGCGAACGAGGTGGGCTCTTACATCTGATCATGCAGATCAATTAGATATCTCCCGGGAGTCGCGACAACAATTATTCTCGTCAATCTACATTTAATTGAGAGCCGAATACTCCTCCGATGAGTCAGCTTCATCACGAACTAGTATATATTGATTAGAGCTGCGAAGTTCAGGCAATTCGCCATAACGGCTTCATTTTGCCTTTTCCGTCCGCTTCTGATCGATTTGGCCTGTTTCGGTTGTTGTATGCTATGAGGGCCTTTTTGGGCCCTAACATCGCTGATTTGAGCACACTCCTCGTTCGAGATGCGCGTGCTCTGAGAGGATCATGGTTAGGTCGAGGCTTAAGGACGCGTCTCGCGCGTCTCCACCGAGCGAAAGTTCCCCTCGGAAGCGGTGTAACATTCCGTGGACAGGATTGAGCGCTGAATCAAGAGTAAGATCGCCAGGATCAGAGAGAATTCATTTCGAGGGCTATCCATCTACGTTTTCTGCCTATTCTGCTTTTAGAGACTATTTATAAGTTTGCAGCTCTTATCATAATTCACTGAAGGGCGATTTCGACGGCGCGATGCTTTGAGAAAGGTGGACAGCTTCGAAGACCAGACATACATACATGACTCTTGCGAAGCCTGACTCGTTCCCCGAATCTGGTTTCCCGTTTCCAAAGATGCGGACTCGGAAGTGCACGCGATCGGAGTTTCTTACCTAGCGGCGAAACTAGGACTTCCTACTCACAGCAGAAACTAGGTAGTTGCATTTCTAAACCAAGATCTCGTCCGCCGAAATGCGCCAATGCTGGAATGAAATGCTCGGCGCTCTCGGGAAATCAGGGTGCAAGGAACGACGGCGAGGAACGAGTCGGGGTACGAATTCGAATGGAAAACGAGAGTCATTAGGTTTATGTGCAGATATATTCTATTCATCAAAGTAGCTTGGTATATAATGAAAGTATCCCCCCAATATCTCTGCTGATGTGAACCCAACATTCGCTTCTATCGTTTTCGCCACGGGTATCTCCTCCTCGCGCCTCTCTTGCCAGGCTTCTTCCTCTCTCGTTTCCGCTTGTCTTTCGTGAGGAGTCCAGCTGGAAGGCAGCGTATTCGAGAATTCATTAGCTCATTTTCTTCATTTGAGATTACCCCTAGCACAACTTCAGGCTTCGATATGTGATCGAGAGACGTCCATGATTTTTCTCGGGTTCTCATATTCAAGTCCGGGAAGGTGGTATAACTCACAGAGTCTCATGAGCTTGACATCTTCTTCAGTGACGAAGGAGCACAAAGCTCTCGAGAGAGCGAGTCGTATCGCACCGGCTTCGGCCGCTTGACCCTTCCGCAGCTCTAGAGGTTTGATTAATTCTTTCTGCTCCTCTTCGGTGCTTTTCGCCATCTCCCCCAACTCGTATTCGTCGTCTGAAGTTCAAAGAGGAAAAAAACGCCTCAAGCTCAAGGTGAGAAGTTCCACCTGAATCTTGCCGATCTCTTCGGCGTCCGATCCCGGAATAGGGACTCGAAGGCACCCAAGACGAGATGCCATCAACTTCTCGGAAGTTCATCGACGCTTCAGAATACTCACGTCGTTTGAAAATCGTCGCCTCTACGTCAACCTTATTCAGCAGTCCGACGAATTGCAGCGGAAACATGACTTGCAATCGATCTTTCAGCTCAGGGAAGTACTCATCGACGCTCATGCTCTTATTTATCAGAGTTTCCCCAGTACCGTTGCCGGTGACTTTGACGATCGCCCGCAAGGACTTTCTCTCCCCTGGAGCGGGAGAAAACAATGGATCATCGGAGTTGAAATCGGGAATCGCAGATTTCCTCGAACAATCAGGACCTGCGTGAATAGAGATCCCTCACCTCTAGCCTCCATGTAGGGATTGCCAGCTTCGTCGTGCATCAGGGGCAGAATCTCTTGCTCGTGGGTTTCGACTTGTTTGGGTTTCAGGTACTTCAGCAGGATTTCCCGAGCCATGTTCGAGTATGGATGCTCTGCCAATCGTGTCATCGAGCGTATGAAATAATCGTGGTGCTCGTCTTTGATCCGTTCCAAGCACAGTTCAGCCAACTCTCCCTGGTTGATCCAGTCGTAGGGTCTCAAATCGCTGCAAATCGAAAAAATCATGGAAAATTTTGCAATTCGTTCCCTTTCCTACGAGAAATCCCAGCATACTCATCCCTGAGGAGTTCTTCGACATCGTCTTCTACTCACAATTGCTCAGCCGCCTCGGGCGTCCTCACTCCTTTCTTACGCATTGCTAGCTGATGCTCATTGAGCCGTAAAACATGCGAGAACGCTTCATGTAGCCGGCCGTAGAAGTTCCCTCTTGCCGTGTAGAACAGGGAATTGTGGGGACGGCCAGTATAGTCGAACTCGGCCAGTTTCTGTTTCGCAAATATCATTTCGGGAGGCTTCATCATCGGCCGAGCTTTCGGTTCGAACAACCCGGACGGCAGAAGATATTGGATGGCTTCCTGAAATGCCGGGAATTCCCAATCGATAAGTGATTGAGCCTTCTCGTCTCCGGGGGAGCAAGTTCGATGATTGAGCTGGCTAGAGCTTGCCGAATTTCCGGGAACTCACGTCAATATTTTCTTGAGTGATCTCCTCAGGGTCCCAGCCCATGATGTTAGCCAGATGTCGTTTCCCCAATTCGAATTCTTCTTTCTTCTCCGAAAGGAATTTCTCCTGCGTCTGAGCTCGTTCCAGATAAGCTCTCATGGCGCGGTTGATCTTCTGGGCTTTTTCATCTTTCCTGACCATAGGTTCCAGGACGTTCTCGAGCTTCGTTGAGCTCTGCGTAGATGAATTCGCGCGAGCCTGGAGAGAGATTCGAACTTTTAGCCTAGGGCTCTAAACTTCTGAATAATTCCGGGGAGAGGAATGAAAAGTACTTTCAAGACTATCCCATGATTGGGACCTCGGGAATTCCCGCCATCCACCTCGGCCACAGCGCGGCCGGTTCAGTCGAGCGGCCCACGTCAATCGACGTGAGAGTGTCCCTAAGCCTCCGGGAGACGAGCGCTCGAATTCTAATACCGCCTGACGGCCGCCAACAACGACGAAACTGCGAATCACTCACCGCGACGACCCCTAGGACTTTATGGGCCCCATCTCTGAGAACCGGACTCAGTAGAGCACGGTTCCACATCTCCTTCCCCTGTTACAGAGCACTGCGTGAGAGATCCCGGCGCTTCCTCGCGCACGACCCCTCCAACAACAGAGTGTTTATGTTATGCGAAGAGAGAGAGAGACTCGAAACCACCCGTCTGCAAGCGGGTGTACATGGTTCCGGCGTGTTTACAGGATTCGAAATTCAGGATTCGAGGAAGATTTGAGCTGAAGAGTAATTCGCTCACGCTATTATCGGTGCTGCGAAGCCCGGACTTCTGCGGGGAAGGTTGAGCAAGTGAGCGACCATGGAGGCAGAGAGGAACCAGAGGATGCCGAAAGTGGCGAAGGTTCGTGTCAAGTCGATTGAGATATTCCGGTGGTGATAAGTGCTCGACAGATTTATGCGCTCGATGATATAGTCCAGTTGCGCTCCAAGTGACAAAGCCACAGGAAGAGAATGGGACCCTCGTGACCAAAACTCCGGTATTTCAGGTGAAGAACAAGACCCCGGCGGAGGTTCAGATCACTGCGGAACAGCTCCTCCGAGAAGCTAAAGAGCGAGAGCTCGAAATCGTCCCGCCCCCTCCAAAGCAGAAAATCTCGGACCCTGAGGAACTAGCGGAGTACCGCTTGAAGAAGCGGAAAGGATTCGAGGATAATATACGGAAGAACAGGTGCTCTCAGCGATGGTCTGTACTTGACACTCAACCACAGTCAATTTTCGTTGACTCAATTCCAACTCTGCACTTTCAGGGGTGTCATCGCAAACTGGCTCAAGTATGCATCGTGGGAAGAGAGCCAGAAAGAAATCCAACGAGCACGCTCCGTGTATGAGAGAGCTCTGGATGTGGACTCGCGTAACGTGACGGTCTGGTTGAAGTACGCCGAAATGGAAATGAAAAATAAACAGATTAATCACGCCAGGAATATTTGGGACCGGGCAGTTTCCATCTTGCCTCGCGTTAACCAATTCTGGTACAAATATACGTACATGGAAGAGATGGTCGGTTAGTATCCTCGCCACGCAAATGATTCATTTATTCACAGATGAATTCTTGGCAAAATCCTCGAAATCTGCCTCATACGAGAACCCTTACATAATTGTTGTTTCGCAGGAAACATCGCGGGATGCAGACAGATCTTCCAGAGATGGATGGAATGGAAACCGGAGGAACAGGCTTGGCTGACTTACATCAAATTCGAGATGCGATATAAAGAAGTCGATCAAGCGAGGAACATCTACGAGCATTTCATCCTCGTTCACGCTGAGGTAAGAGAGTCTCCGTGGGAGGTATCCGAGCTGAATTGCCTCGAGTCCGTCGTATATGAAGATTTCCTGGAATCGAGGCTCCTGGTCGCTCGACGCAATTCGGGAATAATGTGGAGAATCATTCCAACAGGTGAAGAACTGGATTCGATACGCGAAATTCGAGGAGCAAAACACGTCACCGGAAAAAGCTCGAACAATTTTCGAGCGGGCCATCGAGTTCTTCGGTGACGAATACATGAACGAGGAACTCTTTCTGGCATTCGCAAAGTTCGAGGAAAAGCAACGAGAGCACGATCGAGTTCGCGTCATCTATAAATATGCGTTGGATCGACTGCCCAAAGACAACACTCAAAATCTGTACAGAGCTCACTGCACGCACGAGAAGAAATTCGGTAGCAAGGACGCAATCGAAAACGTAATCTTCAGCAAACGTAAATTGCAGTACGAGCAAAAGATCGAAGAGGATCCTTTCGACTACGATAATTGGTTCGATTATTTACGGCTGCTGGAAGCTGAGGAGCAATTGGATCTTGACTTCATACGCGACGTGTATGAGCGGGCAATCGCGAACATTCCGCAGTTCATCGAAAAAAGGCACTGGCGTCGTTACATCTATCTCTGGATCTATTACGCGATCTTCGAAGAGCTCGTCGCCGAGGATTTGGAGAGAACTAGAGCTGTCTACAAGGGTGCGCTCTCGATCATCCCGCACAAAGCCTTCACCTTCGCCAAAGTCTGGATCATGGCCGCTCATTTTGAAGTGCGTCAGAAAGATCTGCCGAAGGCCAGAAAACTGCTCGGTACTTCCATAGGTCTCTGTCCGAAGCCGAAGCTTTTCCGCAGCTACATCGAGCTCGAAATCGAAGTCCGTGAGTTCGACAGATGCCGTATCTTATACGAGAAGTTCATTCTTTTCTCGCCGGAGAAGTCGACGACTTGGGTGAAGTTCGCCGAGCTCGAGTGCATACTGGGTGATATCGATCGTGCTCGAGCCATCTATGAAATAGCCGTAAACCAACCCCAACTAGATATGCCCGAGGTCGTCTGGAAGGGCTATATAGACTTTGAGATGGAGCAGAGGAACTTCGACGCTACGCGAGATCTTTACGAACGACTGCTCGATCGAACCTCTCACGTCAAGGTCTGGGTGAGTTATGGTCGCTTTGCGGGAAGCCACTTCGACCACGACAGCGCACGTAAAGTATTCGAGAGAGCAGAGAAGACCCTCCGAGAACAGACGAAGGAGGAACGATGCGTACTCATCGAGGCTTGGTATCAATATGAACAGCAAGTTGGCGACGCTGAATGGATAGCCAAGGTGAAGAAGATGCTGCCGCAGAAGGTCAAGAAGAGGCGAAGAATCATCAATGAGGACGGTAGCGATGGAGGATGGGAGGAATACTACGACTACGTGTTCGAGACGGACGAAGAAGCACGTCCTCATCTGAAGCTCCTCGAGAGAGCTCGAGCTTGGAAGAAACAAGAAACCGGCCAAGCGGAATGATTGCGGACGAGGCTGTCTACTCGAATTACCACAAACGAGGGCTTCTGTAAAAATGTAAATTCTTGGAGAACGAGTATGATAAATTCGTCATACGGAGCTGGTTTATACCGATTCGAATGTGTCTTGGCTGATCTGGTCACTCCTATCCCTCTTGGGGTTAAGACTTTTTTTATTTACACAACTGCTTCATTCACACCAGATATCCATTCCAAAATCCGTCGCTCCGAAAGGAGCACAATCATCATCATCATTGTACATATTTACACATCGGAGCACCGATCTTCAGCTTCGAGAATTCAAAATTTCAGCTTACACTAGGCATATGATCAGTTTTCGCACGCCGCGGTTCCCAACCTATAGAAATCGGGCGCGAGCTCCGTGAGCCAGCTCTGCTCAACAGGCGTCACATACTTCATGAGAAGCTTATGAGTCGCTATGACTTCACCGAAAACCACGAACTTCGGGGGTCGCTGGCTGAAGAAAGCCGATTCGTTGTGAAAGTCCAATGGATGGTCTCCGCAGACCGAACGGTACTCTCCGGAGAAATGCCAATACGCAGCATTCGTGAAGTAGGCGGACGCGATGCATTTACACAGAACATCGGGATCCGAGCAACTCGCGAGCGTTGGAGAATTCCCAAGTTTCAAGAGAGTGGATTTCAACCTTTCTCTGATCTCTAAAACCTTGCAAAGGCTTTTGTAGTTGAGAAAATTGTCGTAACACCACTGCTTGCTCTTCTGCTTCGCGATGAAAGATGTGTAGATATTCAGCAAGGAGAGCAGGTCGCCCTCTTCGACGAAAAACTGATATCTGGCTTTTTTCATCTCGCGTCCCTTGTATTGAGGGACGACGAATATGTTCTCGATCTGCATCATGGCAACAATCGAGAGCATTTCCGACGAGCACTCGAAATCCACCGAATTGAGGATCAGCTTCGCTTGCAGCACCTCACAGTTGAACTGTATCATTTGTTTGCCTATATCGGTCATCTTGCCCTCGCGATCGAGCGCTCCGTGAGCGTAGAGTATTTCCACAGCATTCAACAAAATCTTACTCGGTGGTGGCGAGGGGTAATCGAAGCGCACGAGATTATCGACCCCTAGTGATTTCAGAAGAAGAACTGTCCAAGTCAAATTGCTCCGTTGGATCTCGGGGATGCTGAAGTTCCGCAGTTTCTGGTATTCGCTCTGGGGATACAGACGGTAAGCTTTCCCTGCGGCGATCCTTCCCGCGCGACCTGCTCGTTGCTGAGCGGAACTCTTTGAGATCGGCGCCACCACCAATGCGTCCGTCCCTGTGCTCGGGTTGTAGCATTTCGTTTTAGCGTAACCGCAATCGACAACGTACATCACACCGTTGATAGTGACCGAGGTTTCTGCGATATTTGTGGCGACTATCACCTTCCGCACGTGGGGAGAAGTCGGCTCGAAAGCTTTCAGCTGATCTCGTGACGGTAGCGCCGCGTAGAGAGGAACAACGAACACTTTGGAGTGCTTCTGCGTCGATGCATAATCCTTCAGCATCTCACAGCACTTATCCACTTCTTGTTCCCCGGTGAGGAAAACGAGAATATGGCCGGCAGTTTGGTTCTCGTGGATTTTCCGAACGGTGTCCACCGACTCCTTCACGTAATCCGCCGTCGGTTCCTCGAGGTAGTGTATTGTTACCGGATGGGCTCGACCTTGCACGGCGAGAATTTCCGCACTGCTGTCCTTGGATGAGAAATACTGTTTCAGAGCGTCGGCATCGAGAGTCGCCGAGGAGATTATCAATTTGAGGTCACGGCGCTTCCGCAGGATCTTCTTCAACAGACCAAGGCACAAATCCATCAAGAGACTCCGTTCATGAACTTCGTCGAGCATTAGCACACCGTAATGGCTGAGAAAGGGGTCTCCTTGAATTTCGTTTATGAGGATCCCTTCCGTTAAGTACTTGATTTTCGTCTCTTTCGATACGAAATTCTCGAATCTCACGGTATATCCAGCCAACTGTCCGACGAGTTGTCCTGATTCTTCAGCGACACGTTTGGCGAGATTAATGCATGCGACACGACGCGGCTGGGAGATACCAATTAGACCTTTCGCTGTCCAACCGGCTTCGTGGAGATATTGAGGCACCTGGAAGCGGACTAACCCCTTAGAAACACTGAAGAACCCCCTCGGTAAAAAAAAGTTTCGAGCTCAGTCAGTAGTCGAGACCGATTCTCACTCGGATAATGGCTCTTGAGGTAGAAATCGGGAAGACTCACTGATTGAGGGCTTCTGCCTCTAATGCGGAATGTCCGCGAAAACTCACCTGTGTACTCTTCCCGCTACCGGTCTCTCCTGTCAAAATTATGACTTGATGATTCTCGATGAGATACAGAACCTCTCGCCGATAGTTGTAAATTGGCAATCGTTCCTTCTGAGTTTGCAACGGGAAGTTCGTCAATGGATTGAAAATCACCTTCGGGGCTTCGGAGCTCGACTGAGGCTCAGACACCGCCACAACCTCGTTCTCATCGTCAAAACGAGGTTTCTTGAATGGTCGACCGCTCATTTTGGGAATGATTCAATCGGAATATCCCTTCACATACTACGAGGGTACTAATGTCAGATGGGCGCTCCTGAAACGTTCGAAACGGAGGAGCACGCCGGCTGTTCTCAGCTGGCGAAGAGCGCCAAAATTTGAAAAACCGGTGGGATGCGCCTGAAGTCTAGAACAGTGGGGATCGCGATCGCCCCTCATGCCTCTGCGTGAATCAGTCGACCTGCTTCGCTGATGCATTGCCGGTAGTCAAGGAGATGGTCTCTCGGCGGAGTGGTGAGTGGTGAGCCTCTGCAATGCTGCAATGCTCTCGAATGTGGATCAGAACCAAACTATGAGACGAGCATGGAGGTACGCATTCCAGTGATTCAAATGATCTTGAGTGGAAACGTTCTCTTGCGCATTGTTGATTCATTCGAATATCCTATTCCTTAACGATATGTGATATCGCTGCCGGAGCTGAACTCAGCATCCCCTCTCTGTGTACCTCGTGCAATAAACGGGTCTCAGGCATTGATGATAGGAGTTCGATGCCAATTTCAAATCCGCCACATTTCAAATCAGTCAGAAACTGACGTATTCATTCAGAGCGCGAAGTTTCTGGTCGTGGGAGCACGTGAACGCCGCCCACGGCTCTCACGTCCGGGGTCTCGGTTCGGGTGAGAAGCGGTTCTTTGAATATGAGAGCTCTCGATTCCGAAAGTCGGGTCTCGACGGATGCGTCATTCCTTCCTTATAGCATGATCTTGGAAAGAAAAAGAGACTTTCTGCAACTAACCGACTAATTTATTCAAATTTACACAACTATAATAAATATGTACGGCTCCGGAATTTCTGAACCCTTGTGAATATCGGGTTCGTAACCGGAATAATTTCAACAGTGTCGAACTCGGCTCCATTACGCACTCATGATTTGGATTTCATATAAACACCGCGAGCCTCCTGATGCTTTCGAATCGTATTCGAAGCTTTCTCTCGGAGTTTGAACTCTCGCGCACTTACGCTCGATATCATCCAGTCGGTCTGGACCCATCATCTCCGGACGGCGCGGCGTTCCCTACGATGGAGCACCCGGGGTCCATCTATTCATCGGACCTCGGCAGGATGACCAAGTTCTTCATAACCTATCCGGGACGCCCCGCGAGCATGTCAGAACCCTCTCCGATGTGGCGTCCCCGGCGACACACGTTATTCCATTCGAGCTCTATATCAGTTGCTCAGTGGCTTGCATCGATAAGTCGATCACTCTCCAGGCAGCCAGAGGATTCAGTTCACTAGGATCTCTACACAAACACCACACGTGATGCACGCGTTGGATCTTCTCAGGATCTCCCTCCAGGACGAATCCTTTGCTGTCTTTGATGCACATGATTTGCTGAGATTGGAAGGTTATGATCAGAACGGGGCCCTGAAAGAAGACCGGAATGAAACGACTCACTGATGGGAGGAAGTTCCGGATATGAGGGTTCGAGGGTTTCTTGAGAGAACTCACCTGCTCCATCATTTTGCCCATGGCGACGTCCACGTTTTCGATATCTAGAACTCTCGACGCGAATTTGACTTTGCGTTCGAGACCCGCCTTGAGCGGCGCTGCCAACACGTTGAAGACACCTTCGTATGTCCAGTCTCTCAGAACCGGCAAGTCGGGTCGGATTATAGATTCGAGAATCGTAGGTATGAAAAGAGTCTCGCAATTCTTCTTGAAATTCTCCATGTTGAAGGTCGGGTCGACTTTGCAGATCTCGGTATGAACTTGACTCATCTCCGTTGCCTCGAACAATCCGCCGAAGAGATCCGATATCTTCGAAGTGACGGCTCGTGAGGCTCTCACCATAGGGTTCTCTGATTCTTCGAATTGAGTGCGCATATCCATAATCCTGAAAGAAAATTCCAATGCTCAGCTCTTCGGGAGACGGGCTGCGTGAATCAAACAGATCAGACTCCGTCGAAAACTCACTTGTTTACGTAAGGGTTCGAGTTCTTGAAGGATTCCCAACCCTGAGTCCATCTGGAGTCCTTATGTAGCTCGACTCCTTGTGCTTCGGTGTTCGCTTCGAAAACCATGTCCTTATGATGAGCTGAGAGATCTGAACGTTTCAAGAGAACGGAAGGGGCTTGGTAGACCTGGGGTCTCTGAAAGATCGAATTTCCAAATGGGTCAGAGTTTTCCTAAAGGCGTGTCTCGTACGGTCCTATCCACGCTGACGCTCGGACTCAGCGTCCTCAGCTCACCTCGATGCTTTGCGAAACTGCTTTGAGAGTTTCGCTCTTCGAGAGAATCTCATCGCTTTTTTGAGCAAAATCCGAGATTGTTTTTTTCGCTGCCTCGGCTGTCTTCGAAACTTCTTCCCCTATCTTGCTTTTCTCCATAGTCTCACCGAGTTGGTCTTTGAACTGTTGGAGGAAGGAGAAGATCATGCTTTTAGGTGTTCCCATCTCTCACATATGCTAACCGTATTTCATATCGACAAGGAAGGCAACTCTTCTCACCTTACTCAAGTTCTCTGAAATTTTACTAGAAGACTCCTCCTCAATGGTTCGAAATTTCCGCCGAGCTTTCTGGAGCGCATCGCTCTGCTCCAGTCTGGCCGCTTCCTCTTTGAACTTTTTCAAGCTCTCTTTCATCTCTTTGTTCCTGAAGGGACGAGCGAAGTAAATTAAGTCACACAGAATAGATCCAACTCCTGAACATGATCCTAGAGCTCATCATCCGGCATATCGAACTCTCAAGGGTCTCGACCCGGGAATCGCACAGATGACACTGCCCCGTATTCGGCGTGAGAGCTCGGGGTCCATTTCACGCATGACAATCAGGAAAGGAGCACAGTCCCGGATTTAGAGAAAATTAGAAGCCAGCCGAGAGCATGCCGGCGTTCGAATCGAATGAACTCACTTGTCGATATCCTGTCGTAAATTCTCGTAAACCTGCTTGAAGAAACCGGGTTTCGCCATGCCCCTCCGGGAGACAGCGTCTCCGAGAGGGAGGCTCCGGCGGAGCAGGAATCTCGAAGCGCTAAGCATGGTGGTACGCTCTTTAGAGATTTATTCTCAATGTGACACAGATGATGAAGTAGGCGATGCGGTGGAAGCGCAGAGTACCGGCGTGCTTCTCAGCTCGAGGGGAGCAGACGAATCGATTCGACGACGAATTTAGAACGGATGACACGAACTTTATGCGGTACTTCGATCTCTGGAATCTCTAGCAGCTGCCGAACCAAATTATCTGCGGCTCTCCGAAAACACGCGCACCAGCAGCGCGCACACACACGGACACGGGCTGATATGTTCCGAAGTCTTATCCGAGACACGCGCGAAAATCATTTGTTGTGTCGGGGTGGGACTCGAGAAATGACACATGATGAGCTGACCTCGGAAGAGCTCTCCCCTGGAATCGGAACTCGATGGATTCGGGACGATCTCTCATCGAACATCTCATCAAGATCGGAAAAGGATACGAATATGCTCTAGGACTACGTGCCGGCATCGACCTTGAACTTCACTTATGCGGGAAGTCTAGTGCTCTTCCCGGTGACGCGCGAATATTCGAGTTTTCTTACAAAGCACGTCAGGTTCACGGGGATTATTTGGTGGTCACGCATATGCATTTCAAATTTCCATCAGGCGCATGAGTGGCCTGACTAGAACGGATCTCCCCACCAAGACTCCGCACGCCCTATTCGCGTTTTCTCTGAACCCCTTCCCATCCCCATTCCTTCATATCTGATCACTGATCACGACCCTTGATCAGGTCGGCGTCGCTTGTTCACCAGTCTGCTGGCTGGCGAACTCTTCCGTCCTGCTCCAACGATGATTTGAAATCGCGGCGGGTCTGTAGAAATGTATGATTGAGCTTCTGGAGACGGGTTCGATCCGAGAAGACGCCTTCCTGAAGACTCGAAGTAGTCGCAAGCATAGGAACGACGAAAAGGCGAGCATGTCCTCGATCCTTAATGAATCTGCAATTCAAGGATTCAAAGAGGGAATACAGTAGGACCTCGTCAATTTTACACCGAATGCGCCGGCACCAAGAAAAACGTCTCGTTCAAATGCGTCTGCGTTGCAGCGATTCGTTTCCACCATTAGGTCTTGCTTCGTGCCACTCCGGCGCCGCTTCGTCTCTGCTCATATAATATTTTCCAGGTACCAGTCAGGCTGAAGATGGGTTCATGACTGGCTCGCGTGCATCAATTCGTGTAGTGAATGGTACGGAATCGACATGAAGATGTCATGCTCAGGTCGTCATTTTAGCTTAATACCGGCCACCGTAGCCAAGCTGGCTCTTCCTGAGCGGAAATTCTGTCTTCTGAGTCGGAAGCGCGAAACGGTAACCAGAGGAGTTGACGCACTGGCTCACGCTGTGGAACTGTCCTGTCAGAACTCTTCCCTTCCTGGAGCATATATGTATATGTCGTGAGTTTCGCTGCGAGTTCTCACCTGAGCCCTAGCTTTGAATGGTTTAATGTCTATGTCGGACATTGTGTCGCCTTACGCATACCGAGGGCGGAGCATTTGAAGGCTGAGCGTTTGACAAAGAAGAATCATACTCACGAATGATGAGAGTTTCTCCGGATTCCGGACTTTTTCGATCGTCAGTTGGGACTTCTTTCTGCGTCAAGCCGGCGCGTATATACGCCCACGCATACAAATGGGATTTCCCTTGCTGTTTGAAATCGGAAGACGAATGCGTCATGTTCGAATCTTCGACGGAGAAGCTCGCAGAACCGGATTGAGTTGCTTAATGAGCGTCCAGATGAGGGCTTCTGAATTCTTTAGTCCGGATCTGCGAGACGGACAAGATCTTAGGCCTTGCGAGTCCGGAGGCTTGTTCCGACGTTGGATACATGGCTGTCGTCACCTAAAAAAATCTCACGGATCTATCCAGGCGACACGACCTACATCTAGCCAGAAAACTTTGTACATATGTCTCGTTTATCTCAGGGACGGGGAGATTTTCGAGAATCCTGATCCGGGAGGAGCTGTTGCGATGGAGAAAAAAGCGGCGCGGCTCACCCACAATCGGTTTCTTTCCGATTTGCACGAGGAGGGAAGGGAATCTCTCCTCGTGATTTTCGTTTGTGGAGAAGAAACTGAGTCTACTCAAGGCTCACATCAATTGTCTTGTTCCGCTGCTCTCTTCGCTCATGACGGGAACGCTCATTGGGTCGTGAGCGCGGGTGTGCGTAATTTGGCCCGTCCGAGCTCTCAGTCAGACTCATTGGGAATTATGCTGACCGTGCGTACTAGCTGGGTCCAGGGAGGGGAATCGGCCCGAAGCATCGCACGGTCTCCAGCGGTCTGAGCGCGCTTGGACTGAAAAGACGAAGCGTGACAGCTTTGTGTCCACAGAAAACGTGTCGTCGGAAACCGGCTGAGCGATTCGTCTCGCAGTGTTCCCAGTGCGTCCGGCGGCATTCCCGTGAGACGTATCGTTTGTTGACGGAGGCATTACGCGCTCAGCGTCCTTATTTCACAGTGGTGGAAGTTTGCCGGCATTCTCACAAGACAATTCGTAGGAGTAGTCGTAGTGGCAAGAACTCAGTTTATGCTAAGCGACAACGGCGGGCCACTGGGTGTGCTCAAACTACCACAGCTGTGCACCTCTCGCCGCGGGTCGCCGACTAGTGCCGCATGGCCTTTCCGACTGCGGCATTACGGACACACAATTGACAAAGCGGCTCATCAAAGTTCGACAATCGTTTCACCTCGCCGGGCGAACGGAACTTTTGTGCGTGAACTCTGGGTGACACCGAGGAGCCTGTGAATATCCTCGAGGATTTGTTGGTCTTTCCGGGAGAGATCTCCGACTAGTGCGCGGAAGTGCATGCAAGCTGTCGGTGGAAGCTCCAGGACGCTGTCATGAGCGCGAAAGTTCAATAACAACCCTCGAGTTTCTGCTGCGAATCCTCTCGCGCGCACTCGACCTGTGAAACACCCTCGCAGCGTAGACACTGAAGCACAATGGAAAACCCGGCATTCCGGAAATCTTTAGGGGGAGATGCGACGACTCCCCCTAACCCGACGATAGTCACCGTAGACGAAATGGCATTGCGTCGCAGTGTAATTTTCAACGAAGGTCGCTTGAAGCATGAAGAGAAGTTGTTCTTGGACATGGTTTCAGCAGGTGATATCCTCAACTTGAGGGATTTGTTATCGGTGAGTGCGAACGATCCTCTGTCGACCCTCATTTCTTGCCTCGCCGGCAATGTCGCTCCTTCTGTGCTATGCCCAAGAACAGACTGCTATTCCGATCGATTCTTCGAACAAGGTACTTTCTGACCGTTTCCGGACAGATGTTTCGTAGTCTTTGAAATAAGCTCGAAAATCATGTGATGACGATCTCGGGCAGGCTCTCCCTCGCGGGCTCGGATAGTCCCTGACTTCGTCGCGAATGAGCTTTCTGAAAGCTTCCGGATATAATTTTAATCCTTCGACTATATTCTAAGGACTCGCTACCTGCCGCATCGTGCTATCGCATCGTCGATGAGTCCCGAAACCACATGAGGGTTTTGATACTGAACCCTCATACGGAACCCGTCGTCCCTTGAGTGCTTTCTTGTTGGCAGTCTGGAAGATTACCGGAGAATGGGGCGGTTTGTTTGCATGTTTCCCCGGAAAGCTTTTTCTTTGGAATTGTCTTCGTCGGCTGAATGGGTTCCGCGCCCCTAATCCCTGATTAGAGTCATTTGCTCGCTCGGCTCTAGTGACGACTCTAGTGGTTGTGTTCAGAACACTTGACGCACTGAAAGCCGATATATGACGACAAAAGCTTCCCCGGAACGCTGTAGAGCACCGACGCGACGTTCTCCCCGGGAATTATTCAGGATCACGACCGATGAGTGTGTGGGATCGCCGCGGAACACCTTGATTCCGTGCCGTCTGCAAAGGATATACTCCCGCTCAAGAGTCTTTGATGCGGATTCGAGCTACTCATCAGCGGAAACGACTGTCGGAAACAACTTTCTCTGGATGTTACGCAATAGCATTACGCTAGCGCTCTTGCTCTGACAATGCGCGTTGAGCTCTATTGTTCTGGGCGGAGATGAGTGGCGTCTGAAGCTGTGCCGCGGACCGAGTTCAATGCTCATTCACGTAGTATTCCTCACGAATCGAAGTCATTGGATGGCCGTGGAATGAAATGCTCACGTTCCACCGCTTCGTCTCAGAAGTGGTGGCAGCGAATTTTTTCGTCTCCGAGCCGATTGGTGGAAATACTGTCGTTTAGACCCATACACACCGAGTCCCACAGAAGACTGTCTCTGAGCGAGTTCCGGGAGGGCCCGAGCATGGAGATTTGACGGACGGAAAATCTATCACATTCACCAGAATATGCGATCAGAGTTGTTGGCTCGATCTATGATGATGTCCTTTTTCCCTTCTCTACTCATTCGCCGCAACAGAATGATCGCGTAGTGATGTAGAGGTGGACCCTTCGAGCGGATGTTCGGCTCTTTGAGCTCCTGAAGGCCCTAATCTGCCTCTGTTCCGTACATAGAGCGTGAAAACGCGCCAAGTTCACGCCGGAAGATAGCTCGTCTGCTATTTTCTGCCCTGTTCATTCGACTGTAGATGACAAACTGCATTCCACGCTTCCATACAAAGCCTGTCGAAAATCGAGGTATCGTTCTGTCGTCCGCCCGTTTCGTTCCAATCATCCTGTCAATTGTTCGGATCGTAATTGTTTGGCAGTGTCGATCACAACATAGCGAGATTCGGCGATCGGTCGCCCCAATGTCGGACCAGAGCACATATGCTCAGAACTCGATGGCGTATCCACTTTTCTGGGCTTGCGGGAAAAGGAGCGAATTTTGCAATGTTCCCTCGACGATCGGTCTTCGGGCACTTGAATGACAGTCTCTTCTTCCCTTTCGATCGGACTGAGAAAACTTGTGACTCCGGCAAGGATTTCCTCGGAATTCTCGATCGCTTTGCCCCAAATATTCTGCGGGGGCCTGAGTTCCGTGTCTTCGAAGTAATTTAAGAAAACCTGTTCTTACAGAAATACCCCGATCTGAATATAAACTGCTGCGATTTCAAAGGTCATGGGGCCCTCGAAATCGCAGTTCGAGCTCACGACTTCCATATGCTGCGAGAACTTCTCCTCCAACCAACACTCGAAACAAGCCTCGTCTACAGAGCAGTCCTAATTGCGATCGAAGAAAATCTCATCGACGAAGTCAATTGTCTACTCGAGAGGTAGGCTGAGCCCGGAACCATTCACAATTAGGTAACCCGGAGTCCCGGACATGAGGGACCCACTGGATAAGGGACGAGGGGCTTCCGCATTGGCGCCTCGGAGAACCGAGTTCTTTCCTGAGGGTTCATGAGGGTCTACGGGAAATGACATGTCTATTATACGCGGGACTTGAGGGAATGCAGCTTAGTTGTAGGGGGATGCATAAGTCCTCCTTTTGTATCGTTGCCCAGTGAATCAGCTGTACGTGCCGCGCGGGAACAGCCGGCGGACTATCCGAATATTTTTGTGGACAATGTGACACCAATCATGCAAGCTGCCATACTTAATCGTCTAGAGATAACAAAACTACTCCTGGACAAGGGACATTACATCGAGAAACCCCATCCCCGAGAATGTGAGTTCAAGGCGCGGAGGAAATTCAATGCATAATCTCTTGGACCAGGCTGGATGGCTCACGATCCGTCTCTGGCTCTACCGCAGGCACCTGTGAACTCAGATGTGGGCGTGAAGACTTTCACGAAGAGCTTTCACAATCCCAAATCGAGCTGAATTCTCTGCGGGGTCTGGCTTCCCCTACCTTCATGGTGCTGACATGTTCGGATCCGATCTTGACAGCCTTCTACATGGCAAAGGATTTGGCTTGCAAGGCCAAAGAAAGGCCCGAGTTCCGAGACGAATTCATCGAGCTTTCCGAGCAGTGCGCGAAATTCGCCGCTGAACTCCTCGATCAATGTCAAACTTCTGAAGAGGTAGGTGTTCCCCGACCACCCCCCCCCTTCCCCCGCCGCGCAGTGCCCCACCGAGAACGGTGATGGGAGACTGCCAACACTCCGAGAAAGGAGAGTAGATGATGTATCTAAAGCCCCCAAACCTCTGGGATTTCAGGTTCAAACGGTGTTGGCACAGACGCAGGGATTCCCGGACTCGAGACCGTTCCGGTTCCCACGGCTTTACCTGGCGATTCTTCTCGATCAGAAAGAATTCGTCTCGAGACCGAATTGCCAGCAGGTCTTGCGAACGCTCTGGCTGTCCGGTCTCCCTGAGTGGTACTCGTGGAGTTTCTATCGGAGGTCCTCATACGTATTCACCCAAATACTGTTCACACCACTCCTGTGCCTGACGTTCTTACTGTACCCGCGAGCAAAGATTCTGGACGTTTTCAAAGTTCCAATGAACAAGTTCATTCATCATATCACGCTGTATTTGATATTTTTATCGTTGCTCCTCATAACGCTTTTCTACGGACGGCGAGATCAGTTCCGATTACGCGCTCTGTGGAGTGAGGTGCTCGTTGGAATCTTTGTGGTGGGCTACGTGTGGGAGCTGTTTTTGAGCATCTACACGCTCGGCCTTCGAATATTCATGCGATCGATGTGGTCGGCCTATCAGCTAGTCATGTTCTTCTTGTTCCTCGTCGCTGAGATCCTCTTCCTCATCGTCTTCGCTACTTCTCGCACCCTGAAAGACAGCCTCCAGCGAGAACTGTGGCCGTGGTATCATCCCTATCTGCTGGGGGAATCCCTCTATGCGATCGCCACCGTCATGGCTTTCTGTAGATTACTACAGTGGTGTCAACTGAGTAAAATCATCGGACCGCTCGGGATCTCTCTGAACAAAATGACTGGAGACATTTTCCGTTTCATGGCAATCCTAGTCATTGTCTTCGTCGCCTTCTGCGCCGGAATAAACTCGATCTACAAGAACTACAAAGGGAACGCCGTGCTTGTTCGCGGCGTCAAGAACATCACTCAGCCGGATGCTTTCGTCGGGTGAGGGGGCACAGAGTTTTTCATGATGGAACTCGATTCTAGCGGAACTCGTAAGCTCTGACCTGGAGCGAGGAATTTCTCCGGGATTATCTCAATCTTCCCCCACAGCATCGGGAATACGCTCAAATCACTCTTTTGGGGCGTCTACGGAATGGGCTCACCGGAATACGCGGATCTAGTCGTGTCGCAGAGCGTGTCCCCCACTGAACGTATACGCAAGCATTATTTCTCCGAAATTGTGGGCTACAGCTTGTGGGCTCTATTCCACATCTTCACGGTGATCGTTCTCCTCAACATGCTCATCGCCATGATGTCTGACAGTTTTCAGCGCATCCAGGTGTGTTCATAGACCGATTTCTCTGAATTTTTCTATATATTCAGAACGATTCAAAGGCGACAAGCGAGCAAAAAGCCGCTTGATATTTATCTAATAAGCAGGTAGGAGATGCATATCGAGACTAGATTCAAGTACAGGTAAGCTGAGGGCACTTCGTGCTCAAGAGGGGGAGGCTGATTCTAGGCGGGGCTGAGCTCGTGAGCAGAAGCCGCTCTGGAGCTTCGGGAGGGACCGGAGTATACCGGGAGAGCTCTCGGAACATCCGAGGCTGTAATAGAATTTTTTTCAAGCCCTAACTTACGCTTCCAGGAGAACGCTTACAGAGAATGGATGTTCGCGCGAGCATCCCAGTGGATACAATACTTCGATAACCATACTGCCATACCTGCGCCATTCAACCTCCTCCCCTCGGCCTACTGCCTGATCCAAGCGTATGAAATCGGACGCTCCATCTTCCAACAGGTAATTTCCCCTTGGACGGAAACCGAAACCATTCTACAACATGCATGTGTTTCCGGGATTTTCCGTTTCAAGTGTCTTCAGCAGATGCTCTTCGGATACCGATCTGCTGGGTAGACCTATGAAATAGAATTCCGACTTGATTCCTCCTGCAGGAATGGCGGAGAGCCCGTAAGCAGTGCTCGCCTGAGAGAGCATGTTTCCCGAACTACGAGTCTGCGCGAGAGCTTCAGAAACGTTATCAACACAATTACGAGGTAGCCAGCGCCATCCATCTGCTGTAAATTTGCAGTGAAGGCCCATACGATTAAGAACGAACGAGTGTTTTATCGTTCCAGACCCTGATAATCTTGCTGATTCGGCGCTATATGCAAGCTAGGGAAATGCTCGAAAGAGATCGAGCTCTCTCGCGAGTGCTCTCGTCATTCTTGTCCCAAGACTACGGCAACAAACACGAGTCTTGGCAACCGAATCAAAATTCGCAACAGCCACAATCCCCGGGAGTTCAGCCCGTAACTCTGCGAAATCCGTCCAAATTGTGGATCTTGGGTGGCCACAAATGAAGCTCATCAACGTCGCATCAAATGAATATAGGATATCCTTGCCACGTTCCTTGGAAGGAATAGAGGCTGATCGCAGGACACAACGTCTCGGCAAATTCGCGATGGCTACATCGATTCGCCATTGAGTTGCCGTTCACCTCGAGCTGGATCGTATAGGAAGCAAGGAAATTTATCGAGCCGCTGAGCGTCTCGCGCACAGGCTTTCAAATCGCCAATTCCGACGGCCATGCTCCTCGAAAAATTCGATTGTTGGTGACTACAGATTCCTCGTGGATCAGATTTCTCCTGACACCACGTACTTATTTGTAAATAAATTATGAAAATCCTTGCCAATTATGAGGGAGGAAAGCATTTTGCCGGCTGGCCGGTCGGTTGGGAACATGTATCGCCAGAGTATGCAAATGGACGAGGGGAACCGAGGAGCGCCCAAGCGATTTTTGACTGGAAGCTAGTGCTGCGGGTGCCGGCTGCCATCTGAGCTGGCGACGACGATGATAATAATTGATGCATTGATGCAGCTCACTGGACATCGGAAGCGACGTGCAAAGATGATTCATGCTCGGGATCAAGTCCTCAAGGAGTGTTCTTCCTTCCGTCAGACATTGAGAGAAGGTACTCCACGATGTGGGAGAAGCCCTCGGTAAACCATTCATCAGCTAATGCGGTTCCCATATTTTTGCTGGGAAAAACCGGGGAGAGGTGGCTCCTTCGCGAGTCTCTTCTCCGTTGAAGTAGGATTATCCAACGATCCCCTCATCGCCTACTTTTCCCTGTCAGGCACCGCGTGAAAATCGAGAGTCATCGTTCCGCAGCAGACCTTCTAGAAATAGGAGATAGATACGACACAGGATCGTGCGGACCCCATAGCTCATAGGGGTCTGTGCGGAGCAGATCCAAGACCTCGATAGAGTCTCTTCGCAATATGCCGTCCACAGTGTGCGCAATCGATTCGCGTCACAAGCGTTTCACAGCTCATATTTTGAGTTCCTCAACGGGAATAACTGAACCGGGTTTCTCGGAAATCGACTCATACTCGGAGAATGTGGAACCGAAGAACTCAAGACCACGCTCCATCCATTCTCTCTATCTCCCTTCATTCCATCACGAGTTGCTCTCGTTGTATCCATACTGCACAGCTTTGCTGCTCAAAGGCTTCCTTTGAACGTCTGCCTTACGTCTTACGTCTGCTCGGCTATGCGTGGAAATAATCGAATTGGAGGCTACATGATGATTCCGTTTGTTAGTTGTCAGTTGTCGTGGTTTGAACGACACCCCCAGTCTGTTGTGGACACGGGATGAAATGAAAGCCTCATTCACTTTGGCTATGCTGTGCTCCCTCTGCGGTCATCGAGGTCCGCCGAGGGTATTAGCAGCAAGCTCGGATCCTATAGACTGATTTTCCGATTTCCTCCGTTCTGGTTGTTCGGAATGGGAATTCTCACGATGACTTCCAGCTACAGAATCCATCCCCGAGATTTCCTCTAGTTGGTCTACCTTCATCTTACTGATGTGTCTCACCATGAAGGGTGTCGACCACTCCTGGATAGAAGGCATTCGATCAAGGTTCACTCGTCGTTCATGAGCGTATGGTTTGCCTGTGTATGACCTCGGCCGAAAGGTGACCGAAGACGTTAATGTAACAAACACGTTGCTTTTCGCTTCCTTTTGTTGGTAATTGTATCAGAACAAGAACCAGAGAGTAGAAGCCTGATTTTGGTATCCCCGGAGGATATACCTCCCTCAAATAAGTGAACGTCCTCTGAACTTGGGAAAAACTTTTATTCAGCACAAAGAACCATCGGAAATATCTGTACATTGATACAGGGACATCTCGCTCGATTGGTGCAGAGGGGCCGGTGCTCGTCTGCGGATAAATTCTTACCTCATTGACTGGAGCAAGTCACCTGGAACCAATTCAAGTCGTTAGCAACGATTAATCACACCCAGACTTGGATCAACATTAGCGATTGGACTAACTGTAGGCGTCACAAATGAGCACCCATCGGAAGACCACGCTGGATGCTGACCGTTTCTGCCGTTGCTTCGGACGCTCCGAACGAAGCGTGAATATGGAACTTCACGTGATCGTTCTGAACGGCCACAGAACGTTCTTCGATATATCCGACTCTTAGCGTAATTATTGCCATCGATATCAATGTTTGTGCGAGCTTCGTGTTGAGGCTGGTAACAATAATCTTGACCGTCACAGCCTTATTATTTCTCGATTTATGTTCTCCCGCCTACCAGGCAACACCCGAATGAGAAAGGATGGTGCCTAATTAACGGGAATCGCGACGAAAACGGGTCAAATAAAGAATCTTACCGTCACGCCATGCCAGTCGACCACGTGCGACCTGCCCCGGCCGCCGAGCGAAGAAGAAGAGTTAGCGGACGAAATGATCGTACTCTTCAAAACCATGGCGGCTTGATGATTGCGATGATCTCTGCTCTGAGCGGGGTGGCTCTCCAACAGTCCCGACGAGTCGCCGTGCGTCGTGAGTCGCGTCAGGACGATAAAATCATGAGGGCCAATGGGCGAAATAATAGTGAAAGATGATGATGATAAAATGAGAAGCGAATGAGCGATATAGTAGTGGATGAGGATAGGTTAGACCAGCCATCCGCGCCGACCGTCTTCTCGCTCCGGCCAGAATGAGCCAGGGGCTTAGAGTCCCAGAGACTTCTGGAGATCAAATGCGCCGTATCCCATCTGCCGTGCTGGAATTGATATTTCACCCTTATATGTAGAGTCTTCTCTCCGCCAGACCTCCGCGTGATGGGCGACTCGATGACTTGCCTGCCGATAAGCGGACCCGTCTTTTAACTGTCTATTCGTGATTTGATGATTTAGTAGCTGAGCCTTGATGGGCTCGAGCTCACGTGATCACTGCGGACTACGATCCTGGGAAATGTTCCAGGTCTGGCGCTCTACCGAAGGACCATGCAGATTCGGGATATCCATTTCGAAATCCCTTTCTCTTTGCCTTCGGAAGCCTTGGCGCGTAGCTTCGACGTGTTTTGCTGTTCACGGAGGATTCTCGCGTGTATCGCAGGCCTAAGTCAAGTCCTCTCTCCGCAATATCCTTGGAATCGCAGCGTACACGGAGCGGAGCGTGGGGGTCGATATACTGGGGACGCTGAGAGGGGTTATCCTGCCCCCCCATCTCCCAAAGTTTCCGTGAGTACATCATGCCGAGTATTCCTGCTTCCCTTCTCCTCGGGAACCGCTCCCGATTGTAATCTCCCAAGCAGAGGCAGGAATTGATTGGTGAGGCCAGGCTCAGTCAGACTTGAACGCCATTCAACGTTCTGGGCTCCGCGCATCTCAACCACTGGGAAGCTCTGGGATCGTACGAGACTTCTTGAGATCGCCCCTCAATCCGGGATACGCCGATGTATTCCGCAAATCCGTATGCGAGCCTGAGTCTAGAGAACGGAGACGCGCTCCGAACAAGCCCGAAAGCTGGCTCGTCACGTTTTTTATCTTTGACGAAGAAACGCTGTGAGTGTCCATTAGAATCATCCTGAAGTAGCGTCCAAGACCTTTCTTAGGGAAAGAGGAATCTCAAATTTGAACCAATCCATGCTCGAATCCAAACCCGACTGAGCTCCGTGATATGCACTCCGTAACGCTCCTCGAGATCTTCGGGCCTACTCCATCGGAACCTGACAGAGCCGTATCAGTTTTGATTTTGGTAGATGTGTCGATTGTCCACGATAATGCGGAAGCCGGGATGCATGAAGTTCGTCATGGGAGGGAGGCGCACGATTCTCCATTCGAATCTCTCGTCCCGAGGACTTCTCCCGACATGTACGTTTCAGTTAACGGGATTCAGAATCCGGGGTTTGAATTTGGCGCCTCCAAACCAAGACGAGTTCCGGAAACGGATTCGAATATCCGCGCCGGTGAACTGCGTTTCCGGTTCCGGTCGCTATGAAGATGTCTCTGTTCGACGCTCTCGATGCTGGAGAAATCACATCGCTCGAGGAATTAGGTGTCTACAGCTACAGCTCCCTGCCCGGCGAAAACACCGCAAATCCCTGCGAAGGCATAACTTTCCAAATACCTACGCTTTCACTCTGATGGGAATCGACGCCCGCAGAGGCGCTCGGGACGCGCAGTCTCACAATCAATATTCCATCGAGAACACGGTGAGCTAATTCCCCGAGCTCTCTCTAGCCATGCGAGACTCCTGACTGATTCACAGATGTGACGCTTGGTGTTCCGCTCGGATAATATAATAGAGACTCTTGAGTAATATTGAATCTCCAAATTGAAATCATTGATCCAATATGCAGGAGCGCTGATGTAAAATCCCAGGCTGACCTGCGGCCTAGATCTCCTACAGAGTGATCAGTGTGATCAGCGATTACCACGCAGTTTTGTTCGCTGAGTGGCAAGAGTATCCACTCTGAATCCTGCACGAACAACCCCCCAGAGTAGATTTGATGCATCCGGATCCAAACAGGCCCGGTGAGTTGTATGGGCAACTGACTCTCGATCGATCCCGCGAATACACCGAAAATATATAGATAGGAATCGGACCGCTTTCGGAGTCTAACTCTTGTACCATGCTCTTCTTCAGTCGAATACCGAAATGTCAAGCAGATCATCACTGTGGCTGATCCCGATGGAGGGGCCCCGCAGATCTTCACGGTAACTCAAAAAACACCGCTGCATGCGCGTACGTCTCTCAAACCACGAGCTATGACGAAAAAGTTGCAGTGATCCTTCCGATCCTGACGAGGACGCAAGGGTTCTTTGAAATTCAAATTATTGGTTGAATTTCAGCTACACTTTCAGAGAAGAACGCAGAGCCCATCGGACGCGTTCAGCCAGGGGCGGGTCTTTCCCTGCTGAGACGGGACGTTCCCCCTGCAGGCAAGTTGAGTGAGTGATTCCACTCGAATTGGAGACGAACGGAAGATCGTAGCCCTAAGTGATCGCAACCTACCTCCTTACTTTGATCGAGCATAACCGAATTTGCCAAACATTCCAGAGGCTCCGCCGAGTATCCTTCGGAGGGCACCGAAGCGGAAGTTCGTTCTCATTCGAGACTCCAAAGATACCGTATCACGCAGAAGTGTTCGACCCACCGAGACTGGCCCTTCAAGTCTCCGGAGCTTCGTCGCGGCTTCGCCAGTCCCCTCGAAGTCAGACGGAGCCCTTCACCACGACAATGCCGCATTCGAGCTAGGTTCGAGCCGGACCCCCGCTATATCGTCCTCGGAGTCTGCTGTAAGATCGAGCAACAGGCAAGAAGCCGGCTCAATCGCTCAAACGGGAACCATCATCAACCCCTCAGCCGTCGGGCGGCGGGTTGCCCAGAGCGTAGTCGATAGAGGGACACCGGAGCTTTTCGTTGAGCATGTGATCGATCAGGGTCAGAGCCATGCGTCAAGCCACGCACAAACCTCCTTCGCGACACCTATCAAGGAAGAACCACCCTGTGCTGACGGAGAACAGCCGAGAACCCTTCCCCGTTCGGCGGAGTCCTCAATGGACCATGTGTCTTTTAATAGACGACTTTTCAAGACCATCATGCTGGGAATGCCTTCAGCGCCGGGACAAGTCATCGCCGGCTCAGAAGCTAGCGCAACCGATCGAAACGCTTCGTTTCGGGACATATCGAGTCCCAATGCGTCGGCGACCCCTCCTACAGTTAACGAAAAGTTCCTCCCAGAGAAACCCCGATATTCGACGGCGAAAAATACTGTGGATTATCGTCCGTCAGTCGGGGAACTACTGGCGGGAAGCATAACCCCTAATCTACCGTCGGGAGTGTCCGCCGACCAATACATCCTGGATAGACCGATAGAGGACGGGATCTACGTGCCATTCGACGGGGAGCAGATGGGTGATACGTTGTCCCGGTCTGTGCTGTCCCAGCCGCAGGGCTCGAACGGGGAACAGCAGACGTGTGAGGGTCAGACCTGCACCGAGGATTCCCCCCATGATTCCAAGCCCTTACAACGCACAACGTTCGAAGCTGTAGCCAACCTCGCGGACGGATCTGATGCCGTGGGGAATGATTACCTTGGCGGCGGGCCTGAATCAGTCGAAATTCTGGAGGATTTCGTGGAGGATATATCGGGGAACGTCTGTCGCGATTCACAGGGCTTCTACATGGTATCACATGATGGTCTCTTGGAAATTCTTAAAACCTGTCAGACCTGCGCGTCCGCTACAGATGTGAACCTAGTTCGGAACGGGACAAGCTGCGAGGCGACTATCGTGTGTCGGAAAACGGCAGAGCACGGCGTCTTCTGGGACGGGGAGAAATGCGGGAAACTGGGGTGTGGAGAGGACTTTGCTGAGGGATCTCGGAGAAATTCACTTCATCCCGACGTCCCGTGGTCGCTACTGTTCATGTGTTTGATTGCGAAGATCGTTGATGTTCCACGGAGGAAGATGGAGTATTTATGTCGGTTGTTGTTCGCGGCCAACGATATCGAGGACAAAGTACTTAAGGCATGGTCAATCCTGTCGTCCTTCACCATGATGCACGGATTGACCAATCCAGACCTCCCAAAACCTGTGGATCATCTGGAAGCAATCGTTGTTTGTAGGAAACTTTTGGTGTTCCTCAACCCATTTGATCACAGTCCTCTCCTCTGTTCTGAGACCCCAGGCGGCCGGTTGTGGTCGATGATTGATCTTTCCGCAGCTATAAATATTGGTCTCCAGCGCTTGCAGCTCTTGAACTCGAGAAAGTTCTCGAGTCTCAGCGTACTGAATGCAGAGGCTATCGTGGGGGACTCGAGCGAATGGAAGCCTGCGCTCGTGCCAGACATGGAGCTCGTTAATCAAGAGGCATTGAAGGATTTACATGATTCTCTCTGGCAAAACGACTTCCGAATCGAGGTTGAATCCCGTCAGATGAAAGTTCTCGCGGATGTCACGAAGGTTCTCTGCTATTTCCTGCCGGAGACAGCAAGGATGGCGAAGGACGTAGCTCGATCCCGCTATTCGATGATTCTCCGTGATCTCCTCGAAATCAGTGATATCCGGTACGTTCCTCAAATCAGTGAGATCGCCAACCTACGACGAAATTTTGAATCGTTCTCGCAAGCCAGCCAAGACATTAGAACAGTCGCACAAGCATTGGAGAAAGTCGATGTTTTCGGTGTATTGAGTCCGCTCTATGAGAGAATCATAAGCACAGCTGAGGCTAGTTATGTTGTGAGTATCGGGGACGGGGAGCCGAGTGGAGCGACACAAAAAGTCATGAAAATGATCCGGCAGTACCAAGAAGAAGAGCTTACGCCAGAGAACGCGATGAGAGTGCTCTTGCTCCTGCCGCTACGCAACACTGCTGTCGATGTGATAGGGAATATTCGCGGTTGGCATTCGAATCATATTCCAGCAAGCTAGAAATCTTGGATTCTGCTCACGGTCGGATAGAGGAAGTTGAAGGGTAGGCTGTAGTCAGACTGACGTTTCAGCTCAGCGTGTTATTCAAGAAATAAGTTCTCCGAACTAAAATAAAATGATGATCTCGAGGAATCTCTGTCGATATACAAAGTCATCATCACAGCTCTTCCTTCGGCGTCTTTCGATTCAGAATCATATGAGCAGCTTTCTCAGCGATCCCGTACACCGTAGCTACCATATGGCCGCTAGTTTCTTCCGGTATCACAGAGGCGTCGACAACTCGCAAGTTACGGACTCCCCGGACTCTGCAGGGAATGAAGAACATTCGCTCGAATATATATACATACAAGCATCCGTCAGTCTGGATCCGATAACTCCCCGGCGACGTACCGGGATTCCAATCTTACCGCAATTCCGGATCTACCACAGATGAAGGATCGTCAGAGGCACCCATGCGACATGTTCCCGCCATGTGCCAGAGACTCATTGTGTAGCTTTTCACATGGCAGCGCAGGTATTCGTCCGAGTCCAGATCGCCCGAATCACAGCCGGGAGCCCTCGTGAGAGCGTACTCTGCTCCAAATTTGGCCAGCGGCTAAGGATTTTTATGGAATCGATGAATTTCGTCAGTGGGATCCGGAGCTTTCAATGAATACGCGTTACATGAGCCGGCAAAATATGGTGAGAACTCACAGCGATCGACTCCTTCGTGTATTTGAAAGCCTCGACCAAAACGTCGACATCGTGAGGATCGCTCAGGTATTGCAAGTCCATGATCGGATGGTCCTCGATGCTGTGGGACTGCAGTCGAACCTGTGGATAGATTTCTCGATAGGAGGGATACAGCTCTTCATTTTTTCACATAGAAAATCAAACACCTAATCAGAATGCAATCTGGAGGGCATATCGTGACTGGCAAATAGTATCTAGACCCTCCCAGCGTTCTTGCCTTGCCGCGGGATTTGCCTCGTTCCAGAACGCTCGAAACGATGAAGCCATTCTGGTTTCCATGGGCTCCGGTGCCCCTTGTGAATAGGGACATATCCTGCAATGAAGAAGAAAGAGAGAGGAGCTCGGATCCACAAGCACTCGGACCGGGAAGTTCTCATACACAGCTAAGTGGGACTATCGTTCTTACTTCTGGTCTCACTCCGAACTTGAACATTGCCCCATTGCTCATCGGCGCTCCCAGCGACATGTCCACGGCGATCATCTCGATGTCCGGGAGCTTCCGATCGTCCGATATTGGAGAGCTTCGGAGAATTTCGGATCATCCGTCAATTCTAATTGCTGTGCGGCAAATCGATGCGAGAGAAGAACCTGAGTCTGCCCGAAAGAGAACCCCTCGCTCCCATTGAATCGTGACCCGAGCAATGATCACAAACAAGAGTGAGCCATCAGAATCGAAGCTGGGTCCTCCTCGAGAGGCTTCTCGGATAATTTCCGGTTCAAAGTGCTTCCAACCCACGCATCGAGGACTTTTGACTGTATACTTACTGAATAAAAGATAAACCGAGCACGCCGCATGCCGACATAAACATCCCAGTTCGGTTTGCGAAGAATTTGTGGAGCTCCCCGAGCTCCATATCGAACCATCCTTTCCCGGGTCGTTCATTCTTCCTGGACTTGAAAGATACTGCTTGACCGAACGACAAGACGTGGTCGTGGAGATTGGCGCCAACGGATGGCAGATCTACCTTGACGGGGATCTGAGTGGATAGAAAATAGAAAGTCTCTGCTTCAGTCCGCAATCGAATGAGCCTTCAACGAGGTATCCGAACATGAATCTCGGTTGGCGGGAAGATTCGCGGAAGCTCGAGCGTACCCCATGAGTTTCTAGCTCCTCTCTGGGGCCAATGCCAGACAGCATGAGTATTTGGGGTGATCTCGCCGAGCCTGCCGATAGTATGACTTCTCCGGCGGCCTTGATCGTGATTCGCTCTCGTTTCTGAGCGGGGGAACCGGCTTCGCCATCAATGGAAGGGGTGAGAACCTCAACGCCAGTTGCAACTTGATTCCCATCGAGAAGAACCTGCGGCGAATAGTTGTGCTTCAAATGATTCCGGTCGCGGTACGGGGCCTAATCAGCAGACAACAGACAACACATCATAATTTTCCCCGGGCAAGTGGGGCTCCGGCAGCGAAATAGAGTCCGGTACCTTTTCAACCATGGAATTCAGGAGGATATGGAGTCTCTCTTTCCGTTCTTCTCTGATCGGATCGATGAAAGCTCTCCCGGAATGGGAACTAGATCCTTTGAGCGGATCTATCGTTGTCTGAATCACCGAGAATCCAACGCCCTGGTTTCCGTTGTGATCGTCGACAACCTAAAATTTCAACAGGGGAAGCTCGTGGGGCCGCTCAAACGAACATTGCGCATCGATTTCTCGGTTCTTACACGGAGAACTCGTTCCTACCGCTGACGATGTGACTCTTGCTCCCGCTTCGAGCCAAGCTTCGATCAAAGGTTGCCTTCGCTCGCCCAGCGGACTGATCATAACCGATAATTCGCCGTCGTTACCATGCCGGTCTGAAAAACGATGGCGCCTACGTCTGGAAGCTCATTTCGAGCGATTTGTTGGAGAGTCAATCCCGAATCCGAGGGGCAGAACGAACCTTCTTTAAGCCGGGGCTCGTTGTGGACGTTCTCGTGCAGCTTCATGTAGTGCAACATCTCCGACGAATTCCAACCGGTTGCACCATACACTCGTTCCCAGCGATCGTAATTCTCATCCCAGCCTCTCGAATATATCTGGAAGTTTATGTGTGACGATCCACCAATCCCTTTACCTCCTCCCATATGAGCTCTCTGTAATGAGAACGATATTCCATTGAGCATTGACCATTGAGAGTCCTCGAAAGGGGATATTCATATCTAGATTCATTTCAGCTCTCGCTCTGATTTCTTTACCCGGTCCCTAACTCTCTGGAAAGCGAATTTCTGCTCGACCGAATTGTACATCCAGTCAAGTCCCAGAGACGGTTCTCTGAAATTCACGGCATTCAGCAAGGGGACATGATTCAGTATGTTGGTTGTGGATCCACCTTCGATCAGCAGGACGGAGCTTTTCGCCGAGAGACGGTTGGCGAGCAAGCAGCCCGCGGTTCCTCCGCCAACTGCCGAGAAAGAACCCACTCAGCCAGAGAGAATCGGAATACGGCGTAGGAATCGGAGACGTTGCCGCTGTAACTCCTCGCCGATGCCTGAACTCGGATGAACCCCCGAGTATATTGACTTCTCTCATGTCAGTGACATTGATCCAGCCCATCGCCGGAAATCTGGTATGATGGTGGTAAAAAAAATCGATTCTCTAAACTGCGAAGATATCGAGTTCTCTTCTCCGAAGGTCGTGGTGGAACGCACTCACCTATGACGTAATCATACTGGGCGCGTAAATGACTTCTCGGAGTAGCGTAAAATTCTGGTCCTTTAAAATGCTCCTCGATGTATCCTGGATTGAGTATCGCGAACAATGCTGTGACAATGGTTACAATCGTTGGCGGCACCAATTGAAGCTTAGGAAACGGCACCGCCGACACCACGCTGTTCAAGAGAGACCATAACCAAGCTTCTGGAGCATTAGCGAGATGGTCGACGACCTGTGGGTTTCTGAAAATTTCCTGGAGCACTTTCAGTCCCTCAGTCGCCATCGCGCTTTTCGTCTCGTGGCGAACTGGAGAAAGTTCTGCTCGGCGATTCCGCTCGACTCGATGAGTGCAGATCGATCTGGCGATCGATTTCGCTCGTTCGATGGAAATGACCTCGTCGGTCAGAATAATTCGTGGCGCGGCCGTCGATCGTCTACGTTTTTCCCTCGGAATTCTGGATTCTTAGCGGTCGCGGGTGAAAGGGATCTTCTTTCCCCATTCCAAGCCCGCTCTCCATTTATGAGCCAGATTGGCTACTTTCAACGAACTTATCTCATCGACAATACTATAGACTGGTCACAATTATCAGATATGGCGAGGAGTGAGTCTTAAATCCCGTCTTGAATCACACCGCAAGTCTCGGAGACAGCCAATCCGAATCGCGAGACGAGAGAGAAAATCAATTATGGAACTCGTAGGAGGAGTCCCTGTGATCTGATATTGGTGTTGAACAGGCTATCGGATTGCTCAATCCCTTCAAGACGCTTCGCCGGGGAAACATCGGGCTTACTTCGAGGATCGCGGGGTCGCGTAGTTTCCCTGGTTGCTTGAGGAACCTTAATGGGTGTCGTGTTGATCAGCGCGTGGCTGCCTCTTCTTTCAATCGACGGATCATGGCGATATCCGAACGGCTCGCAGGGTTCTGTGGAGCAATCAGCTTTCCCTCTGCGGCGACGCTGCCGCATATTTCTGCCATTTCCATGGACGGTCGGTGCCGATGGCGGCTTCGCTCTCAAAACTCGGGATCGATTGAACCTCAGCCGCCGAAGAATGCAAGCTCGTCAATCTCAGTTGCCTCGATTTCTTTGCGTCGCGGAGACGAAGACGAGGCGCCCCCGACTGGCCGAACACGGTCACGGCGTAGCCCGTAGAAAGGTCGAGCTGAGTGCTTCTACCACATCCCTCGCTCCCGCTTCCCAAAAAGCTTCCGATTCCAACCCTACGTGTCATCGAGCTTCGGGAACTCCGGGGAGTCTTCATCAGGGGCGTCCCCTGAGTTTTCGCTCTGGGGGGATGGGGCTCACCGATCTTTGTGGCGCCAAGGGTCCAAAACGGCGACCCGCTCCTGTGCTTCTACCTCACGGATGAAGATCCGAGGGGGAGGGTAAATAACACCCTTGCCCCCCAGCCCCCCGCTGGGCAAGGTCTTCATCCTCTCCTCGATCCTCGACTACGGCCCGTCTACTTTCCTCCTCTCCCTCGGAATAGCGCTTCACTTTCGCCAGCTCCAAACGCGCGCGCGCCGCGCTATTTGAAGCAGACGATTTTCATTGAGCTTTGTTTTCGTCGAGGGCACGTGTGGTTGAGCTACTGCTGCGGCTGTGAGGGAGCGAGCATTGCTGTGGTGTGCTGCTAGCTGAACCCGTCGTTCACGATTTTCTGCCGTTTGAGCGGTTTCCTCGTTACCTGAGGTGAGTTGACTGAGATCATTCCTGTTCCCAAGCCGTCGGAGAAGCCCTCTGCAAGATTTGTCCCGCGGAAACCAGAGACCTTTCGGCGAAAAGAAGGTACACAGTCGCGCTTTCCGCCCCTGCCGCGAGCCAAACCGACGGCCGCCATCCAGGGAAGAGCCCTGCGAAGAATTTTCGAGAAGTTTACAAATAGACCCGCGTTGCGATGTCCTTCTCTATGCGGCCCTCCATAGGAGTGGAACGGATCTTGACCGGAGTATTTTCACGAACTTTTCTCCACATTTCTTCCCGATGGCAGCGGCTGCGACCGGCATGGCCACCGCCGACGGGCGTCATATCTGAGCCGTCAGACGAATTTCTTCATGACTTCGATGGGGGGGCATCTACAAGAGATTTATGTGGCACAATCTCGAGATCTGCATCCCCACGGTGTTGTCATGGAAGCTGGAGCGCTCGATGGGACCAATTTAATGACTCACTAAGTTCGGTCTGTGATGATGGTCAGAACCGGCTGTGGCCGGTTCTAATTCCGAATTCTCGAGAAATTCGTCGATTTTCTGAGTTTCCCCAAAAAGGATGATTTTGGATTTGTATCTAGATGAGGTCGATGATCTTGTTTTTTGGCTCTGACGAATGAACCTTGTTTGCCGATGATCTAGCGCGATGCACTCCGCGTCCCGAATATGGCGCCAAAAACCCCTACTCGAACCCAACGGCCATTCGGCATTCGACTTGGGAGCGCCGTTCAGGTTCTCGACTTGTCGAACTGAACGCCATGTAAATCGTCGGGCCGGCTTACTCCTAAGGATTTCGAGGACCTCGGGGCGAGGTTTTGAGATCGAAAAGCGTTCCGAAATCATGAAGCCTGATCCTGTATCTGATGAGGGGGCGGAGTGATTATCTCCGATCCCTCATCTATACCCGACCACCCACGTTCCGAGGGGTAACGTCATATTATGCAGGGGCGGAAGACTGTATTGAATCCCTTTCGCGATCTTAACCCCTGATTTTCCTCTGTCTCCAGATGGCTTCCGGTGAAGACAACGTTCCTACGTTCAAGTGTGTACTCGTCGGTGATGGAGGTACGGGGAAGACGACCTTCGTGAAGAGACATTTGACCGGAGAGTTCGAGAAGAAGTACGTAGCCACTCTCGGAGTCGAAGTCCATCCGATCGTATTCCACACGAATCGAGGTGCCATCCGATTCAATGTATGGGACACTGCTGGTCAGGAGAAATTCGGTGGACTCCGCGATGGGTACTACATTCAAGCTCATTGCGCAATCATGATGTTCGATGTCACCGCTCGTATCACTTACAAGAACGTTCCCAATTGGCATCGAGATCTCGTTCGCGTCTGTGAGAACATTCCAATCGTGCTGGTCGGCAACAAAGTCGACGTCAAGGACCGCAAGGTTAAGGCGAAAGCCATCGTTTTCCACCGCAAGAAGAATTTGCAATACTACGATATCTCGGCAAAGTCGAACTACAACTTCGAAAAGCCGTTCTTGTGGCTTGCGCGTAAACTCATCGGAGACCCAAACCTCGAGTTCGTCGCCATGCCGGCTCTCGCCCCGCCTGAGGTTCAGATGGACCCAGAATGGCAATCGAAGCTCGAGAACGACATGAGGGACGCCCAGAACACCTCCCTACCCGACGATGATGAGGACGACTTGTAAATAACTATAATACCTACCACACCACCAACGAGAGAGACTCTCTCCAAGCGATGAGCGGCATTGATGTGTCCAGGGGGAATGAGGAACAACTACGAGCTGATGTATTTAGGGAGATGAAATGTTGTTAATGAACGGGAACTGCTCAGGGGGCAGCTCTTAGCTCGCGGGAAAATCGGGAAAATAACATCGATGTCTCTCGTCCGAACATGCAGCGTGAATATTAAGGCGAAAGGAAAACACAGGAAACTGTCTTCTAAAATCGGTCAATAGTGAAGAATAAATTTCGATTTCAAGATAAGTTTGAATGTTGTTGAATTTCGGACGAGCGAAGTTGTACACACGTCCGAAGGGGAAGCCTGCTTAGATCCTTATACTCACTGATGGATTGGCCCAGATTTTTTTATTTACTCGAATGATATTATCTGTCTCGCGAGATTGGAGCTAAGCGTCAATACAGAGGAATCCGAACGAATATTTGTCTCATTTTTCCCCAATATCTGAGAGAACGGACGAAGGATTCAGCTTCGAGGCTCCAACAGAATTTGCTGCGTGAAAGGACCCGTTCTTCTCGAGCTCCCTCTCGGTTAGGAGTCTCGAGCGAACGTGGCTCATTGCCGGGGCGGGATGTGTAGGGCGCAGACCGACTCCCTCAGAGATCTCGACGTCGTTGCATGAAGGTGGCTCCTCACCGATCTTGCTCCGGCGGACGAAATTCCCACGTCGGAAGACGATTGGAAATACTAAGGACTCCTTCTAAGAGCGCGACTTATCGTCCTCGCATTATTCCGAACAGCAGCTCGTGTGTTCTACTCGACGGAGAGCCGGAATCGATCGGGATGAGCACCCAGTACTTGATGGATCACGAGACTCAGTCAGTCGGACCTCAATTTCTTCCGGGATCAGAATCTCCTCGTTCTCCGCGCTCGTCTTGGGCACGACGGATCGATACTGTACCCTAGCGCTCGATACCTACCACCCTCACTTTGGACATCCTGCTGAACACGTCCTGATACCGAAAGACGAACCCTGGAAACATCGTCGGGGAAAAATGGGACCGCTGCATTACGGACAACGGAATCAAAGCATTGCCGGGCCTCGGTTTGGGTATCGTGGCCCCTCTTCTTCTCTTCAAGCGGAAATCGTGGCCTCTGATATTCGGCCACGATTATCAGAGTGCTGGGCTACAACAATTATTGTCACCTTGACTCCGAGTCGTCAGCGGACATGCGCGCGTCCCAGATGAGAGAGAATCAGAAATAATGCAGTGTTTCTCCGATTCCGAAAACCGAAAAAAGAGAAGAACTCCGTTCCAAGGCCTCACGCCGGGAACCAATAAAGCCTCGATGATTTCAAGCGCAACGTCCTGATTCCGTGCGGGCTCCTTCCGTCAAATTCTTGACAAATCCCGATCGGGGGAGTATGTGAAAACGCCATCCAATGCTGGATCCAGCTCGTCCTCGTTGCCCCCGGCTGCTCCTTCATCAGGCGCTTGAGAAATCTTCGCGCCTTTTACTCATTCCCAATGTTATCCATGTCTTTCCAGTCCATTCCTTGCTTTCCTATCACAGCCCATGATCCCATCGGAGCGAAGAGTGCAAGAAAGAGAGATCCGAACTTATCGACTGATCCTCAGCAACTGCATAGTTTTGATGGTGGAGGACTATGAGCGCATTTTGGGGCTCGAGCCGTGTCGAAGTGAGGATTTTGCGGCCGTAAGGCCAATCTCAAGCTGCCGCCGTAAGGCCAATCTCACGCTGCCGCCGACCCACGCCAAAGAGGGAAAGGGAGACTCCATAAAAGCGTATGTCATGAAAATTTGCTGCCTCAGGCTATGGCGTCCTCAGCCGACGTGGAAATTCAACACTGAGCTCGATATTGAATGTATTCATGGCCAAACCCTCTTTATTTGAGATCTCTTCGCCCATGCATGGCTCAGCAGCTTAACGAAGTTCACAACAGCGATACGATAAGCTCAAACAAATTCCAGATCGTCTTCTAAGATGTGTGGTAGTCGACATCCGGCAATCGGACATCGCGGGTAAGGATGCGACTTGATGTGATTAATGATGGTTTCGTAGCAATAATAGTGTTTACAACGTTTGTTTCGCACGGGGACTTTAATCGGGCCTCTAGTCAAGGGATCCATCCGGATATTCGGTTCTTCCTCCACAACCTGGAATTCATGGAGTCGGAATTCGTGCGGATTCTATAAGGGATGATCAGCCCGATTTTCAGTGATTAGAGGACATATGATACCACAAAGTAATATGTTCGTGCATGAACCTCGACAGCGGCATTCCGACTTTTCCGTGTCCCGGAGCTCTTCCGCGCGGCTGACGACGACGCTCCATCGAAAATGCTCTGGAAGCGGGCGAGTTCAGGAAACTCGTGCGGAGCTCGTTTCTCTCTGCTATGCTTCTTGAAGAGATCCTCGAGGTTTTTCGATATTTCTCCGGATCCGGGATCTTCCCTGATAGTCGCTAGAGCTCGTGACTCAGCCTCCAGCGTCAGCCGAGTGTCGTTCAATTTCCGGAGCGATTCGACTGTACCGTTTTTAAAATCTTCGTCGAACAACTCCGGAGTCTCCTGGAAACAAAGCAGCGCCATACATGTATCATCAAGACGGCCGTGCACGGCGAGCAAGTTTGTGAGTTCTGAACTTGAGCGGCATATTATATCGACGAGATCAACTATGAGGAGACAATGACCCCAACCTTGAGAACTTTTTTCGTCTTCGCGACGGTCGTACAAATGAGCTGCATGTCGTCCTGGATAGAGGCAATCAGGGATCTATATTCTGCGCCTAATAACTCGATTCGGCGGGAGGTCATTATCTCTGAGAAAGAAATCAGTCCAACACAAGAGGAATGATTGTCAACTGAGTTGCCCACAGTACGGAGCACGCACTGCGGAGTTTTACGAAGCCTACAGCGCAGCGAGCGTTCTCGACATCGATGGGGTCCAATTAATCGAGGACATCGAATGTTGAATGTTCTGTGGCGCGGTAGACTGCTTCGAGTCATACCGGACTCTCCGGGCTCCGAGATGATTTCCGACATTTAAGGGTCGAATGATATGTAAGCAGCCGAGGGATCCATTCAGAAGGCTCACATTACCAGAAAATTATAAAATCCGGTGCAGAATTCCAAGAAAGGAGGAGAAGGATTCCAAGCAAGAAAAGGAGAGAGCATACTCCACGTATGCAGCATCTTCGGTAAGCACTGTGCACGGCTCTGTCCGAACCGCGCGCCGAATGGCGAAACGCCATACGCCATCTTCTTCAGAATTTCGAGATGACTCTGTGAGCCGAGAAGATCCTAGCCCTGGAACGTGTAACGCCCCGTGACTCGGCGAAGGTGGCGAAAGGTCCGATCGCGTTCTTCAATCCGAGTGTACCGAATTCGTCTGCTAAGCGATTGTTTACTTTCGATCAAATGTCCTAGACCAGCTGTATATCATAAGAAGAGGAGTACGTATCTCCAGGCGAGACGAGGTGATAAATTCCTCGAACGGTTCATGTCCACGATCTCCTGAGCATGGGGACTTCGGAGAAGACAGCCACGCCGGGACCGGTGGCTCTCAAATGGGTTCAACTTCTAGAGAAGGAGTTTGACAAGGTGGGTAGATCTCCAGAGAGAACGAAATATGGTTTTGCTAGATGAGCAGATTGGCTCCGATGGAAGTGTTCGTCCCTGCTCCCTCTCCGACCTCTTGATCTTACAATGCTCCGCTAAATGCTCCGGCGGGAACCAACAAGGAGATCGATGAGTGCTTCCAGTGAGTGCCACCGACAAACTCGATTTGGCGTGCCGAACCGAGGCTCGAGCGCTGTTGCCGGATAGATCGAACGGAGCTATTGAGGGCTGATGAGCTCGAGATACCGCGAACGAATCGGTAGCCGGGAGCCAGACGAGCACATCACTCTTGGAGTTTGATACCGGCAGGATGTGTTCCTCGCAAGTTCACAGTTTCTTGCGCCATTCTTTCTCTCCCGAGAACCATACCCGCTATCTTCGTAAGATTCTGATCTCCATCAGGGTCCTCGAGTTCCCAGGGCATCTTGACCGCTCCCAGAGCTTCATTGATGTCTCACGATTTTTCCCTTCTGATCAGGAGGTTTTTCCCTCTGAGTATTGCTCCTCTCCATTCTTTTCTCAAATCCCGCAGCTCGAAATCCTTCAATCATCATATGCGAGCTTCCGACAGGTCTCTTCGCATCCGGAAGCCTGCTCGGTATTGTTGATTGGAAAGTGTTATTCTGGAGTGATCACTTCTTTGTGTTGACGCTTGCTTGCCCGTCTTCTCCCGCTGTCATGAACTCGACTCGGGTCGAGGGAGCCCTCTTGAGCTACCTACTCCGGGCGCTTTATTACATTGGTACGCTTCGAACAGACGCCCGGTCCGATTCATCCCTCCGCATGGACTGCTTTCGGAAAAAACTGTTCGCGACATGATGTTCTGAGCGACGACAAAAGCGATACCAGTCGCGGACGGACATCGGTCGTTGGAAGGATGCGCTCGAGAGCGTTTGACTACCAAGTGTCCCCTTCATTTAAATCAAGTCCGGATGAACTGCGTGCTCATATTTATAATTTGAATTCCAGGTTTACATCGAGCTGGATGCTATGCTCGGTGATCTCGAAGAAGAGCATCAACCGCTGTGTTTCCAAGGCAGAGAGAAACTGACGGCCCTCAGTGCTGCATTCGGCCAACTTGTTCATAAGACGCTGGCCGTGTGTGACCTCAACGTGAAGCTTCAGGTTTGTGAATCCTCGATTTCAAGCAGCTTTTTGTGCGGACATAATTCGAGTGTCGAGTCGAAACGAGCCTTACATCTTGACTTAGATTTGGAAAAATACACGAATGAGTTTTATTGGAGTCTTACTCTTGGCAAGGTCCAGTCGACGTCGTCGTAAGCTCATCGATATCCATTAATCAATGATTATATAGAATAGCATCAGGCTCAAATGCTCGCTGAGACTGTTGCTCTGGTGATATCCGTTGCTTTCGCAGAGTGGCTCATCTATGATTGTTTTGCGTGACTGCTCGGAAGTAGCTCCTCTCCTCGGGTGAAGAAGTGTTCGTTCACGAGCGAGCGTATTCAACTCTGTGATCGGAGGTGACAGCGCAACGAACGTAGTCTGACGATTCTTCTGGACTTAAGATGCTCTGCCCCCTGAACTGTATGACGCTCTACCCGAATCTCATCGGGGGTCGCGGATTAAAATCCGCTTTGGGATCTTCCGTTTGCGGCAAATCATGGAGCTCAAGAAGCTCATCGTTGATCTCCCTCGCGGGGCCATTTAGGCCCGACCGTGTTGAACTGTGGAAGAAGTGCTTTTGGTAATTGAACTTTCTCCGAGACGCGTTCATTGAGCTCTAAGTACCTAAAGACGCCGCGTGTAGGTCAACACTGTCCGCATATAGAATCGAGGAAAGTCACGCTCTGAGAAGAGGTCGGGATCGTTCGGGGCATTCCCTCGTCCCCCGAACCCACCGCCCGTTTACCTACGAGTGGCAAATGAACAAGTCTTACACTAATGACAGGAGCTGGCTCTCATAAAAAGCGTCTGTTGTACCTAGATCCATACTCAATGGATTTGCTGCCTGGTCCAAACGGTCCTTCAAAGTTCAGGTTGTGATTATTGGCGTTGCCATTGCTATTCAGATTGTGGTTGTTGGTGTTGCTCATCCCGCCCTGGTTGATGACACCATTGACGTAGTCTTTCAATTGGCCGAGACTTTTCTCGAGTGAAGTCGAAATGTTCGAGCTGGTGTTCCTCAGAGCTGCCAGTAACTCCGCCTGCTGAAGAACCGGAGTCGAGTCACTCTGCTGCCGATCGGCCTGCTCGAGAAAAAAATTTTGATCGTTGGAAATCACAATAGACCCTTCGAGGATCACCCGATCCGGTCGGCCCCTGATATCTTCAGCGAAAAGTCGGGGGGACGAAAATTAGGGAGTCTACTTACTACCTGGAGGGAACACGAGTCCATGAGTTTCCCCTGCGATTCCTGGAGAACTTTGAAAGCTTGCGCCACGTTCTGGTAGAGATGCTGTAGTTTCTGCTCAAATGTCCGTCCGACAACAGAAAGTGCTTCGCCCATGTCCCTGAAATCCCGATATGGCGTCCTTATACGCTCTGGGGGCGTCAAAATATTGGGATGGGAGCAACCACATGCAATCGAAATCCAGAGAGAGGCCTAGTCTCCTCTCCTTGTACGACCTGTTCTGCTGTTCCGAGCTACTCAAAATAGCCTCAAGGTCGTGTCGGAGCTTGGCGAGCTCTTCTTTGTACGATTCATTCCCTTTAGCGGTGCATTTGCCGTCCCCCTGGAATCATTCAGCGTCAGAGCTCGTGTCCCTCGGCGGCAGCGGAACACAAATGAGATCCGCGACTATCGCATCGACTCACATCTATTCCGATCGTGCTGTTGCCAACTCCGTCCCTGACTTCCTGAATCGCTGCCATGAGCTTCGTGAAGTGAACTTTGAATCGATTCTCAACTTCCTCTGTGATGTTCGACACCTCGCACTTCGCCTTGTTGACAATCGTTTCATTTATGATCCTGTGGGGGACGCGAAGCTCATTAGATATTCCGGAGGGCTGCGATCGCGGTCTACGGGGATAATCCTCTGAATCACCGATGACGGTTATCTCAGCGTTCAGTTTTTCAATGAACACCCTAAATGTCCAATAATTTTCACCTGTCGAGCCTGGTGTAGATTCCCTCAACTATTGCGTAGTCGGGCTCGGAATCGGAGGAGCTCTGCTGCTGCTGGAGCCTCATCTTGCGTCCCTCTCCGAAAGAGTCCACAATCATTTTACCCATCGATCGGACCAAAGTTTCGACGACTTCGAGCTTCTGGATCGACCTTCAGAAATAGATGAAACATCACTCTTCTCGACTGGATCGATGCGCCTCTAGAACGGCAGCGATTCACGGAAATCGGCGCGCATCGATCGCTCGTCTGCTCACCTCTGGTACTCTGAGTCCCGTTTCGTCTCCTGTTTCATCACACGGCCCATGAGGTCTTCGAATTGTTTATCGTAACCATGGCTGAGCATGTCCAATTTCGTCCAAGACCGTTCCAACTTTGCGTCGATTTTGCCGTCGATCGTGGAAAGGCGTGTAGAAAGTTTTTCATTGATGACGTCCAACTTGGTGTTCAGATGAGTCGACTGGTCTTGCTGTGATTCGGAAAGGAACTCTCCGCTGAGTATCTTCGCTCCGGAAGCTGGGCGGATGCGCAATATAATTGGGAGTATTCCGGCATTGGTACCTGTTTGGAGATTCGCTGAACATCCGTCGTGGCCTCAATCCTCGCCAGTTTGTTTTCAATGCTTTCGAGTCTCCTTCCTAGCTGTTGAGTTATGTACTCGACCGAAGTTTGGAATTTAGAGATTGAAAGGTCCAAAGTTTTTAGTTTGTCTTCGAAGCCGGCCGTTCGATCCATGACTGGCTGTAATCAAGGAGAACTGAGCGTATTGCCCTCGTCGCTCCCAGCCACGCGGGAAATACCGGCGGGAAGCACCGACACTCACATGCTCGGTCGAAGGAGCGAGCGCCGCATCGAAAAGCTACCCTATGGTCATCCAATCACTAACTCGTGGGGAACACAGTCTCACACAGAACATGCAGACGCGCACAGGGACGGATGGAGACCGTGTACAGGTTACGCATCCCCAATCAGCGTAGGATTGAACTGTTCCTTTCGGTTTGTAGCGTATCGATCGAGGACTGGTCATCACGGGGAGAAATGTGGAGAGGTATACCGGCTCGTTCGCAGAAAACCTCCCGGTCCCCTCATCTCCCCCCCGGTCCCCTCATCTCCCTCCCGGTCCCCTCATCTCCCTCCCGGTCCCCTCATCTCCCTTCCGGTACCCTCCCGTTCGGAGCGTGGCTACTCGGGGACATGGGTTCTGAGGGGGGGTTGACTTACGAATTGGGAAACTTCTTGACGAGGGTATCCACCGGCCTTGAACTGCACGGCTGCTTGTTGGTTTTCTTCCTCGTCTTGCTTCGATGCGAGCCGAGTATTGAAGTTGAATGCACCCGCCATAGCCCGAGTTTCGGCCACCAAGACGGACACGAATACCATAAGACTCGTGAGAGCTCCAACAGACAGCATTGTGAAGTAGGGAATGTAACGAATCATGGAGTCGAATCGGATCATGAAATGTTCTACAGGATGTGGAAACACCAATTAACGCTTTACCGATGAAAGAAACATTCGATGAAGCCAACACGAGAAAGGGGGAAGCCAGTCGGAGGACACCATTGATTGTTGACGACCGACACTTTTAGCGGTGGAAGCGCCAGCGGTGTGGACGAGGATTATCCCATCCGTGTTCTTCCAGGAGCAATTCGACGAAACGAAATCCCAGCTGTTCTCCTCGGAATCTTCTCTGGTTGTCGCAGAAAAAGAGACCCGTGCGCTGATCTCCAGATTGCAGGCTGCACAGCTTGAAGCGTCCCGTCAGAGAAAGGTGTCCACGGACGAAGACGCTCAAGCTATTCAGTCTCGGCTGGAGGAGGAGATGAGGTCGATTCTGGACGAAGTGGAACGAGACGCGAGGCTCAAATCGGAACTGAACTTCCTGAGACAGGAGAACGAAAGACTCCGGAAGAGTCTGATCAACTCAGAGAGCGAATTGGTGGGCGCGAAGTTGGCCGCCAAGTATCTCGACAAAGAGTTGGCCGGCAGGTAGGTCAATTGCCTCATTGAAAATTTGGCTCTTTATGGCTCCCGGTTTATCGACTCGACTGCCTGAGTGAATCTCGTCGATCTTCGGAGGATCAGGTATTGATGTTTTCTCCAACAGAATTCAGCAAATCCAACTCCTCAACGGAAATCTGAAACCGGCCGAACAGGATCGACTATGGTGCCAACTCCAATCGGAAATTCGTCTCCATCGCCACAAGACCGTCATCATGGCTTGCAGGTAGGTGCCGGCTCTCCGCGCCGTGCTGTTTCGCTCCGACTAGTGAGGTCGATGGACTGCATACTGATGAAAAACCTCTTCACCATCCCCCGTCCAGAGCACGTCTCGACCACTACGCCTTAGAACAGGAAAGAGCGAGATCAGCTAGGATGCCTCCCTCGGGAGAGGTTCGAAGAGTTGTCGTCTACAAGACCCACAACGAAGGACTAGGGATTTCCATCACGGTAACGTCGCAGTGTCCGACCTGTCGTCGGCCAGCAAATATCATTCTGCGATGAGTCTTCCCCTCAGGCAGCTACAGATGCCTGGAGAGAGACTGTCAGAGTCCCCTCCCAATGAACTCTTCTTTCCAGGGGGGGAAGGAACACGGTGTGCCTATATTGGTGAGTGAGGTCCATCCGCACATGGCTGCATGGCGCTCTGGCCAGTTGTTCGTCGGAGATGCCATTCTCTCGGTGAACGATGTGGATATCCGGAATGCACTTCACGATGAAGCCGTAGAAGTATTGAGTAGACAGGACGGTAGCGTTGAGCTGGAAGTTTTATGGATCGACGAAGAAAAACACGACGAAAAAGAAATAGATCGCGAAAAGGAAAATGCTCGACTGAAGTGAGTATTTCATTCTGCAGAAGGGGATTTCGAATGTGACAAACCTTGGAGAAAAAAGCGGAATTTCCACGACATCAGCGAAGTCTTAGGGAAGTCACGCTCCTTTTCAGGTACCATTTCTTCCTACCGAAAGACCTCACAGCCGATGTTGACCATGTTGACGGGGGAGGGTGAGACTTCTTCAAATATACGTGTTCCCGCTCCAAGCTCCAAATGTTTATTCGCAACGAGTGCCTGTCGTCGCATCGACGCTTATCCCTCGAGGAGCAATAGCTTCTGACTCTCTCATTCGCTTCACAGGTCGATGGAGTCTCAGGATACGAAAACCACATCGTCCCCGAAAACGGATGCTTCGGTCAAGGGTAGTGATTCTGGATCCCTAGACTGAGGGGCCAAAAATGTCCAGTCGAGACAACACGAATTAGCTGCTTGTCTTCTTTCCCTCGAACAAGAACCCGCCCCAACACATAACGGATATGCTGGAGAGGGAAACCAGGAGCTCTCGCGTATGGATTGGAAAACGAGCCCTACGATGAGCCCTGGTGCAGATTACTCTCCAGCATGAAGTTTGACTGCCCTACCCTGGTGCATCCCCAGATGAGCGGTCTCGCTGAACCGAGTCTGCGGAGTCAACACTGTTTTGATATCGGAAATTTTCTTCAAACGGGTGATCTCGACGAAGGGAAACTCAGTGGAAAGTATTAAACTATCTCAGAGAAAATTTATCGAAGGGCGATCTGAGTGAGCGAGTTGTACCCGCTTGGAATATCGGGTCGGACGTTTCAAGGAGGATAATATCCCCAAGTTCTCGGCGGGGAAGCCGCGAGCTTCCATACTGTACATAGCGATACATAACGATACACAAACGACATGGCACGGCTTCAAAGTCATGATGCGTCCTGGGAGAAAAAATGAGCTTGGTATCCAAGATAAGAGCTGAAGGAACTGGAGGAGAAGATCAACAAGGGCGATTGCGTTGGACGCTTCAACAGGCGACGGCAGGAATCTCCCTTCCAGCCGTATCGGGGCTCTCCGATTCCCAACCTTCTTGCCGCGAAATGCGAATCCCTCTTCTGACCCCGGTTTTCGGAGCTCTGTCGCAATTCTTGGATAGGATGAGTTCGCGATCGCTATTTTTCGTTACCGAACGAATCAGGATGCCGAACTAAGGTCACAGTCGAACTTCTCTTCGGGGTCGAGCCTCGGGCGAGACAACGAGAAGCTCCCAGCTGCCTGGAGAAGGAGGACGACGTGACTCGATATATACCTGGTGGTGTGGTGGTCCGGGTATACGATCATTGTATCATGCCAGTTGTGCCATCAAGAAGAATTGTGTACAAACGGGTCTTCGTGCCTGATCTGATGGGCTTTATTAATATATAAAATAAATTTGGATTTGTGTCATTGTCTGCGACTCTATCATAGATCTTCTAAGAGTTCGTTCTGAGATGCCGTCCAGGCAAGCTCCCGACAACACCGCTCCGTGAGGGGCAGGACGCTCATTCCTGACGTTGGTGGGACAAATACGTACTGTCGAACGAGAGGCTTCATTTACCGTATGGTTGAGACCACAGATGACTCAACGAATATGTTCTATGATATTGAGCGAATCGATTAGAGTTTCCGTCCTGAAAAATTCTGGGATTCGGTGGTGGGCTCGGCCGCTCAGAAGGCCTGCGTTGGGGGCCATCGATCCCCTGATTGGGAGACGCGGAGCTTACAAACGAAATCTCACGGACGAAGAGCTCTCAACATCCATGGAATTTATGGACTTTCAAGCGTTTGCGATGCTCTGCTTCGGCTTTCGAGTACAGTTTTTCATGGCAGAGGGGAAAATGTGCACCGTCGACATGACGCGCCGTGTATCATTCTGTTCGCCCGAGGGCTCGACTCCAAAAAACGCAGACACGCCAGTCGATCATAGGCGTACGTCTGTTATTTCTATCTTCGGGGCCCGATCCGGGCCGGCGTTCCTCCGTTTGACATACTCGGCGTAGTGCTCCGATTCCTGCAGAGTTGTCGGGAGAGGAGAATTCAGTGTTTCCGGGAGAATTAGCATCAAGGGCGCCCCCAGAATCGCAGAGACCCCCAAGATCAGGAACGGCACACCTTTTCCGTAGGTGTTGCCCTGGAAGCCAAGGGAGGGAATCGTTCAGCGAGCGTCGGCTTCGCCAGGGATGGGCGGAATTTTGGAAAATGTAAGGAAAGTCAAGGTGACTCACCAAGAATAATATGTATGGATTTGCTATCATTGTAAGCTGTGATCCTGTCGAGGCTGCGCCCAGCGCGAATCCCCTTATGACCGTTGGGAAAAGCTCCCCAGCGAATACGTAGATCACCGTAAACGAAATTGTGATGATCATCCTTGAAAGCGACGGGAGCAGCACGGCAAGCCACGGCAAGTCTGTGGGGAAATTTTTCCCATCTTCATCAAGGGTCAGTCGATTCCACTCAGAACGAGGTTCTCGACCTTCAAAACTTCCTCCTGTCCGAGTCTATAGATCGGTTTCCCTGATTCTTCAATTCCTACACTCACCTTCTGGAACGAAGGCTGTCGCAGCGCTCAGAACTCCGCTAAGGAAGAGGGTTCCCAGCATGACGCTTCTCCGACCGAGATAGCGGGTGGATATGCAAACCAAGAAGAATCCCGGAAATCCGAAAACACTCGAGACGAAAAAGGCCACGGCGGTCGCCGACGGCAGAATCGGCGCAGCCAGACTCAAGCCATGGCACAACTGTTGATATATCGCGCTGTGAGCGATTACGACAGATTGCTGCAGATCATTGGTCATAGTGAACCTGAACACGAACCATCGCAACGATGGCCCACGCGACGATGATGATTATGAGTCTCAATGCGACCCTCGGATACTTCAGGATTTGCGAGACTGCGATCTGGGACTTCGGATTCCGTGGTGAAACTAAGTCGGGCGCCTAGGATAGTCGAAGGATGCTTGATTCAATCATTGGGACTGGAATTCACCGGCTCTTAGGACTCGCCCACGGCCGAATTTCCTTACCAAGTTCTCCCGCAAGAAGTTCGGCGCCAATGGATTCCCATTGACCGCTGCGATTCTCTGGATGATCTTCTCCGCTTCGTCCACCCTTCCCTGGGAGATCAGCCAATGAGGCGACTCGGGTAGCGCCCTGCGGATTCCCCAGAGGTTTTATTCTCCGGATCGTGAGTCTCGGTGATTGAGTATCCTGTCTCTATGTTTCAAATTTACACGAACCAATAGAAGCCGATGAGGAGCAACATCGGGAAAGTCATCCACGCCTGGAGGGTCCACCAGTGTCTGGCGAAATAGGCTACGACGGGAAGCAGCGTCATTGCGAACGTGTACGCGAGGTCGCAGATGATGCTCGAGGTCATCCGTTCCGAGGTACCACTGATTTCGCTCGCTGGAATATCAGTAAATATCGTGATCGAAGGACAGATGATCGAGTCTCAGGTTCGTAGAACGTTACCGCGTACCTAGATGAACCCGTGGACGAAGACGTGAGCAACGTCAGAGTGAGGACGGAAGTCGGAAACATACGCACCCATCACGAAAGCCAGGCTGAAGACACTAGGGTAGGTCAGGCCAGTGATGAATCTCAGAATTATGTAACTCAAGTAGTTCGGTAGGCACAGAGCTGCGAGATTCCCGAATACGTCGAGAGCTGTCGCGAAAATCAATGCGGGTCTCCTCCCCCAGTTGTCCGAGACACATCCGAAAACCAAGCTCCCGATCACCCCACCGACGAAGAAGGCGCTCTGAGCTGTGGTCACAAGCCACTCCTGCTCGCAGACCGCGTTGAACTGCGGATCAACGAAGAGTAGCTTAGCTCCTGATAAGAAATCAAGTGAGAGTCTCACGACCGGGAAGGTTCTCGCGTTCTTCCTCAGTAAGGAGCTCCCGATCGTCGGAACGAGCTCCTCAAGATATCCAGTGAGTCTCCCGTTTTTTGGATGTGATCGTGATGCTCGCATCGCAAGCTTCATGGCCAGATTTATTTTACACCATACCTTCGACGCGAGGGTCTCGCTGTATTCATCCTTATCGTAGACCCATCCATTGAGGCATTGGACGGAGGGCCAACGATTGCGCTCGACGAACTCCTCAAGGATTGTCAAGTTGATATATCCATGGGTTTTGACGACGTGGTCGATGACGGAGTTCAGGTCGACACCATATTGTTGACATTGGGAGAAAGTTCCTCGGGAGTCGCGCGGCAGGAAGATAACTCGTAGTGCAGTCTCGAAATCCTGGAAACTCCGCCAATTTCACTCTCCTGTTTGGCGCATGCCGTCGAATATTTGGACCCCGATTGCAGCCGGGGACGGATGATGTGGCGAATCGACAGCACGACGATCTACGGTTCCTTACGTATTTCGGCCCCTTCATATACATATGCTTACCTCTGGATGTGTCAAGCTCTGCCTGAGAAGCATCGCCCGGTCGTCCTTAAGGGACGGAGAACAATGGTGCTCCGGAACATCCGAGATGAATACATGGACGAATATATTGACGCTCGCGAGAAAACAAGCGGGTAAACACACAAGAACGAGGAACCATTTCTGGTAACGGCCGAGCTGTCCCGCTCGCGAGAGAACCTCATCGAAATCCATGTCTCTCCCGTCGTCCCAGAGGAGGCCCGCCCTAAGTTCCCTCACTGAACCACAACCCGATTGTCATCCGGATCCGGCGCGATTCGTGACGGAGCGATTCGATGAGCAGAATATCATGCGGAGGGGAAGCTTGCAACAGAAGCGCGGTGAGTTCTCGCGCTCCCCCGAGGGACTCAGTTGTCGAGGTGGGTGCGATGACGCCCCCGGGAAACGGGAGGGGGTGCCGCCCGACGCGGTTGCGCCCCGTGAGACGCAGCCGCGATGCGGAGCTACTGATCGTGGATACTATCGGAGCGGCATGAGCAGAAAAGCAGAGATTGAGCGCTAAGGCCTGGTACACATCAAGTCGGAGGATGGGACGTGGGCCAAGCCAGCTGAAATCAACAGGTGACACGATTACAACAGGTGAAGAAGGCTTATGCCTCATGGAGATGGATCCAGAGCCCCAAAGGGGATGCATCGTGAAGGTCACGGAGAGATTTACCGAACAAAGAGCTGAGTAATCCCTACACGGAGAGACTCGTCGACCGACCGAAATCGCAAGCTGCAAATCGAACGGAGAGCACTGAGCGCCGCTCTGAGAGTACGAAATGCCTCAACTCTAGACAGCTCAACGCGGAACGAACGGTAGCGTTCAGAATATATGGACCTGACAATAAGCCAAGCGATCTCCGGCAGCAGAGACACGACAGCTGAATGAAAATCGGAAGAGACCAATAGTACCCAGCGGCGGTCTGAGAGGACGAAGCTTCGAAGACGGAGACAGCTTGCTGAACTGTACGAACGTAAACTGTCAACGCTAGCTGGTTATGCAGTAATCGAACCGAAAGTTGAACGATATCAATTCTCGCTCCCGCATCCACATCAGAACCGATCCTGATAGGGGGAGCAGAAAAATGATCGGTCCAGCTCCCCGGTTGACCATGAATCTGTCAAATCAGAGAAGGTTTCAACATCGAAGTATGCTTCCGAGCAACGATCACAGGCCCGATTTTCCGAATTCAAGTGCAAGGAGCTCCGGGCGGCTGACAATCGATCCCTATGGTCAGAGCCCGGAAGCTCGGAGATTGGAACATAAAAGCCTTCTTCCGCTTCTCCCCTCTCACTGGCTATCTAACTGGCTGTTCATTGGACAAGCTGCATTCATTTCCCCGTTAGGTCGCCTGTGAATATCGAGACTGAGAGACAGGCGGCGTCTCCATATCCCTGAATTCGTTCCATTCATTCAGGAACCAGTAATCGAAATTATAAGAAAGAGAATAAATTGTAATAACAGCACCTCGGTCAGAGCAGATATCCTCCATTCGGGGGGATCGTATTCGAAATTTCTCTTCCTCACGTTTCGGGCACAACAATGAAGCATGAAGATCAACAGCGGGGGCGACTAGTCGGAAATCGGGGCGCTGATATGAAAGCAGGGTCGACGGGTGCACGAATCTCTGACTTGACGAATATCTCGCTGAATGATTCCTTCCTCGATTTCATGTTCCATCCCAGATCATCGCGCTTGAAAAAAGGGAGAAAGACTTCGAAGCTCTTAGGACGAAGTTTCCCAGCCGGTAAGAATCTCCACAGAATAGGCTCATTGCATGTCCCGACCCATTAGACGCGCCACTTTCCGTGGATTCGTCCATTTTCCGAGTCGCGGGAATGATATCGGTTTTCGGAGGTCGTCACCTGGTTGCGTCAAGAAATGCGCCAATCTTCCAATTCTCCTCTCGCCGCATTAATTCCCGCGTCAGCTCGTGGTGGAAGATGGAATTCGACATCCAGCGACCGAAATCATCTTTCGTGGCTCAAAATAATTTCTCGAATAATGTATTTCCATGTTGATCGTGATGAGAATGCTTCTTCGATCTCGCCGGACGATGATGACGCCCTCGCCATATCCGACATCATGGAGCTTCGTACATCGAAAACAAGAACGGAAAAGCCAGACCGCAACCGCCAGCGAGCGAAAGTGAAACCGATCCCGAAAAAGAGAGAGATAATCAAGAACGGAGTGGTCAGAGTGAAATCAGTTCCGAAAGACAATGTCAAACTACGAATGAAGCGCTCAGCACCCAAGCTAGCTCCCAGAAGCCTCGATACAAAAGCCAGGAGGAAGACTTGTTGTTCGTGTGTTTTACTATGATACCTTTCAGGGATCGCGTGTCTAGTCGATTTTTCGCCGTTCCTTATTCCTTAGCGATATCTTGCTGTACATATATGAAAGAATGCGCGATGTTTAGTCAACCGTTCTGATATCATTATTCGTGAGAAATGGAGCTCAAGAGGCATGGACGTGGTATGCAAGGTTTCAGGAAGAGATGCGGGGGTCCTCCCTCTGCTTTTGGGACTGCCGACAACGGGTGGTCCTATAAATCCGTGCTATGGCTTCCCATGCTATGGTTTCGAGTACCCGAGGAACTAAAGTCACTCCTACAAATAAGAGGATCCCTGCAGAGCAATGTATCACATCCCCTTATTTATTATTAACCTCCCAACGGTATCCGCTTGAGTCCAAGGAAGGCATTGCATAGCTCACTTGGAGTAATCCCAAGAAATGTACAAAAGGAAGCAGTCGTTCAACGGTGATTCTCCATCACTCGCACGCAAACATTCTGTTCTACTATGGTCCTGACTCTCACCGATGTAATCCAGATATATTGTTTGCAAAAGTGTAATCATTTAATTATACGCATGTAGATAGAGCACTGTCCATTTATATACAACAATTGTATTCCACTCCCCGAATATTGCAGCCCTCGGACGGCATTGAGGACTGATCAAATCGATCCCGTCACGAGGTGATTCGGAGCGTCATTGAACATGTACTTCAGATTGTAGGCCTCAGCGACCAACATCGTGATTTCGGTATCACCCCATTTCGCAGTCGGGAGATTCTGGAGCAGGAGCATCAGACCCTGGAAATCTCGTTCCATCATCAGACTCTTGGAGAAGTGCTTGAGGAACGCCGCACACACATACAAATGGAAGACCGAGAAGCCGGTATCGCCTTCAGAGAGGTAGGTATCCCACAACCTCACAGTGCACCTCAGTGGCAGCTCTCGCATCAGAAGATTGTTCATCCATCGAAAAGTGAATTGCAGGAATTCAATCCCGTGTGCTTCAAGGTGATCGAAGAGGGGCTCTGTTGGGACAAATCACATGAGTCAGTCAAGGAGCTTCGACGTCGGCGTCAATCCGGCATGACAGCCGATGTTCCAGAGAATCATAGGATTCAGGATCGGTCGACTAGAGGGAAGAGGTTGACTAGATGCAGGACGAGGTCACTCACTGTCAACTCGCTGCATAAGAATACGGAGTGTGTTGACCTTCGCTTGGATGCCGGGCTGAGCGAAAGTGTAGTTATCTTGGATGCCATCGAGCAGCTTCGACATACACCAATACGAATCCGCCTCGATTTGGTGAAGATCCGATTGGGATAATTTTGCGACATCGAACACTTCTACATCCTCCTTCGGCGAGGTGAGCTCACACAGGAACACGACGAAAAACGGGGTCACGAGGTCATTCATACCCTGCACATAACCAGATGCCGGGTGTCGTATGCTCCAAATGTACAAGATTCGCTCAAATATTAACTGGACCTATCGAGAGAAAGAGGGAGTGAGAATTCGATGATCGGATAGGACCATGCGATCGGTCGTGCTCTTGTCACATCCGCGGAACTCGGAGAGATCAACAGCGAGGAAGCCTCACTCACGGCTGGCTGTTGGAAGAGAGGAACGAGGGGAGACATTCGAGGTATGTCGATATGGATTTGTCGGTATGTTTCCTGGTGCATCTGGTCCTCGGATCTGTTATCGTAGTATTGCCGTACATAACTAAAGTACTCTTCACGTTTTCGATCCAGGACCGGTCTCCGGCGATCAGCGCTCACTGGCAGATATCCCTGCAAGGGAGCAGCTCTAGTCAGGATGATCATAATTTTTCTCGACATGGTTTCCGGAGGAAAGTATGTGGCCCTTCCTGGGATGGGATTCCAACCTCGAGTTCGGATCCCAGGCGCCAAAGCGGTTTCAATTGCGTCGGCGAAGGCTCTATAGACATAGACCATCGGAATGAGATTCTCAGAACAACAATCTCTATCGTATTGGCCCAAGCGATGCTGAGTCGTATCGAGTCGAGGGCATATGTTTTGAAAGGCCTTTCATTTAAAGAGGCCGCGCGATTTGTCGAACGGGATCAGGATTCCAGCTGTTGTCGAATCACTCAGATAGATCGACAAGGAGCCATTAGAATCAGGACTCGTCTCGTCCGGATACGGGCTCCCTAGATAAGGGTCCACCTTTGACACAATTATAATTCAGAAGCCTTTCGAGCAAATCACAGATCAATGTGTGCCGCCATAATACGAAACAATTGCTCCTCGCGAGCGGTCGCTTGAGCTATCCTTTAAATATGAGACTGGAGTCGGTCCATTCCCCTATCGTAACTTACCGACAAAATTTTCCAGACAAGAGGTCTCACTTGCGTCGGTATTCCTTTCCAACTTAGTGTACGGAGTTTTTCTGAAAGTAGTCGTCGTTCCATGAGAGATAATGTCGCTCGGATGGAGATAAATTCACACCAATTACTTTGCCCTCTGAAATGTCAACTGGCACGCAAGGGAACTATTCCAGTGTGCTCAAGTCGAACATTTTTCCTCGGAGAGAGTGGAGTCGGGGGAGCTAATTCATTCTATCTTCGAACGGGAGTTCCTCGCAAAATTATCGTCATCAAAAGAGGTCCGATATCTCGTCGCGGTCCCTGTCTTGCATCGATTACGTTCCGCTGAGATATCCGGCTCCAAGTTGCTCTTCACGTCGCATCCGGCGCCGCGATCCGGGAAAATCGGCCATCTGCCGATGTCGCGTAGCCATCGAAGCTGTGGACATGCTGGCGGATCGGAAAGACACTTGAGGTAGGCGAGCTAGTGATCAGGAGTGACCTCGTGACTCGTGACCGATCTCTATTTAACCGCTGCGTCGCCCTGCACTCAAAAGAACGCCACGTAACGGTGGTGAGCCACAGGACAGAAATTCTTCCCGTCTTCTGCTGTTGGCCGAGGGATTCACAGAGCGATATTCATTCATCAAAAACCGATCGGCTGAAATGAATCCATCCGAACCGTTATCAGATGGAAACGGATTGGGCGGCAGGGATCTCGAGGCTGTATCACCACCTGGGAACTCCTTTGTGGCGATTCGTGTGACTTTACCCGGACCAAAGGATAGATAGGAAGCCTGACGGGCCAGACGACAAATGATAGAAGAGGAAGTTGTTCACCATTCGACACTTGACTAAGCGTCACACCGTGGCACTTTGTATTGTTCTCTGCGCACTACTTTTTCTCGATAAGCGAAGCCACCGCCGACGTGGACCGCGATAGATAGAGCGCACGCGACGGAGAGTCCCCGGTGATGTTTACGAACAGATTCCTTCCAGTTGGAGCAAGCAAAACTCGGAATCGAGACCCAGAAAATCGACATGAGAGGGATCGACGCAATAATTAACTTCTGGGACGCTGAATGAGAATTATCTTGCGAGCGCTGAGGTCGACCTCGTCCTCTCCTCTGACTGAGAACACTCACCTAGATCAGGAGTTTCAGACTGCAGTATCTCCCGGAATTTGTGCTCCAGACCTCTCCTCTGAGGAGGCTCGAATGCTTTGACCGAGGGTTTCCACCCATCGGACCCTCGTCGAACGGCTATGCCGGGTCGACGAGTCCCTGTCACAGTCGGCAGTGCAATACACAGGTTTCCATCAACAATATTTTTCACAATCATCGACGGCGGCTTCGAGCTTGGAGGACTCACACTGAGGACTTTTTTATCTGTAATGTAATGAGTAATGAGCAAGAACTCGATATCATGATTGACCGAGCTTCCGCCAGCCGCGGCTCTCCAGTTTTGAGATCGTTGTCCACTGACCTGATATGTGACAAAATTCGTCATCTCCCACGTCCCACGCATCCTCCGTGGCATCTTGGAAGTTCTGGAATGAGCTGTGGGCGCTTTGACTGGTAGGTTTGGTCGGCATGACCCGTTCGTTCAGAGGAATCGTTCTGCAAAAATCATCATGTTCTTCTCATATATGTATGTGAAGCTGAGCGATTTTCCTCGCCGAACCCCGCTGAATCAATTATTGATGCTCCGCTCCTCGATCTTGAACTAAGTTTTAGAGCCGTCAGAACCGCTCTGAGACAGTTCAGCGACAGAGAAAACGACGCAACGTGAGAACCGTCCAAGCAGAGGATCGCCCCGCCGCAAACCATAGAGCACCGCCTCGATACGTCGGTGAAGAACAATCGCCGGAGTCCATCTCATTATTGCGTCCTCTTTGATCCGAGCCTGGAGCCTCGATGATCCCAGATCGCCAAACGGAGTTCATGATCTTTTTCTTGAAACGGATTCATCACTCGTGAGCACCCGATGCAAATTTCGTGATTTTCTCGACAAGCTCGCCAACGAGTTCATGAACGAAGCAACCCGGAGGAGCCTCCTCCGTTGATCCGTCTCCGGAGAAAGATCAATCTCTAGAAAAAATCTGATCTATCAGAACGGTGAAAAACCTCTTCGGGAACTACTGCTCATTTAGCTCCAAGTAGTAATCTACAAAGAAAGATAGTTTGGAGGGCTCAAGAATAACCGTATCGAGCGAATAATCGACGTGAATTCTTGCTTATCACACGTTGGCTAGGGTAAATATCACAGTCCGAGATGTTGAGCGCGGATCGCGACGGCTCATGTTCACGAGCTAACGTTGCCAACAGCGCGGAAACCTTGAAAAATCTCAGAGCGCCAGCGGAGCGTCTACAAGGAGATGGCTTCCGCTGCGGGGATTCAGAACATAATCGGCAGGGAAGAAAGATGCCGTGCTGCCACCGCACGACCATCAAGACTGCCTCTGCCGCTCTGGGTTCTTCGCAGCCTTCGCGAACGGGGTGAGCGATGATAATCGAGGAGCTGACGCGCTCCGAAGGGAGCGTGGACGAACGCAACGATTCCCTGATCGAAATGTGACATTGATTCCATTTCGATCCTCGGTCTACAGTCTACTTCCCGATCGAATGAAACGGACTGGGTGTGAAACTCGCAGCTGCAGGAGCTTTTCCCTCACACTAACCTCAGAGACCCACACAGAGCAATGCGTTGCCTTCCCATTATAGACACGGAAACGGGCCTCGAGAAATAAGGGAGTAAAGACGACTGACTGCGTGGACGAGACACGAACAAACAGACAGGCAAGGCACTCGGGACGCCGACAGACGGCTAGCACAGCACAAACCTATAAAAACGGAAGCACGTCTGGGGCTCGGAACCCGACGGCGACGATGCCTTCTTTCCACGGAAAATCGGACGTCAAACCTCTTTGTCGAAGAAGGAGGAAGAGCTCAGTTGTGTGACCCACACCATGCACACATGGGTAGCTGAAGACGAGTTAATCAATAACTCTGAACATGGGTCGATGCTGCGAGCAAACACATATCGCTCATCACAGCCCCCGGTTATAGTCGGGAGTGCGACACGCAGGAACAGCGGGTCGGTGGGAAAAAATCAAGAACCCACCTGCCAGGCACAGATCTTGTGGAGTACATCTTCCAGGTGTTCGCATTACGCTTGTCACTGGTTGTCTCCATCTCAAGCAGACATTTCGCCAGAAGTGCGGGACGCACAGCTAAGCAGCTCCTGAGCTCAGCTAATCTCAAATACACTGCACCAATAAACTTGATGCACAGATCTTGCTATCTCTTCAGCTCTCGTCGGTCCGAACTGACACGAAGATCAAAACTATCTTTCAGCTCAACCGCTAGTTTGGCGGATTCCTGCGGCGGCGGCCGCGATGCCGCTCACTCTTCCATGCTCATCGAGGGGCGAATCTTGATCGAGCGAGAATCTTCCGCGAGTCAGAATGAGCGACGGGGCTGCTGGGGTGCCGCGAATACCATGTCCTTCGAGAAAATACGGAGCAAGGAATTCGCTGAGACTTCACGGCCGGACTCGATTCCGTCGGTTTGGATGCTTGGGGAGTCATCAGCTGGGCAGACACGAAGTAAACAATCGTCGCCGTTAAATAAACTTTTCCGCGTCGAGCGTGGATGGGGGAATTTTTTCCTGTCGATGTTCATCGCCGAGGACGTGCGGGCAGTCTCATCCGATGCGGGAAGATCTTCGATATGTTGGGAGACTGAACCTCATGGGCTGATAGAGAGCGTGAGGCTCTCTGTGCGGTGGCAACTACATCTTACCTCCGGGTGAGAAAGTCAGCTATCCAGGATCAGACATGACGACTCTCCAAATGAGTTTAGTGATCTGGAGTTTGTGCGCAACGTTCATTGCGATGCTCGCCTTCCGCCTGGACGAGAAACACCATTGGAACTGGTTCGGAGTTTTCATCCCCATGTTCATTCTGGACTTGAAATTACTCGCCATAGCGGGCTACGAAGTGAGTCAATCAAGCTAAATCGACCGCATCATCATCCATCGTGGGTCTACGAGTGGAGCTCTCGCTGAATGCAAAATATCAGCCGGGAGACTTTCTGCCAGGATCTTGTCGGAGCTATTCAATTTAATGGAATCACTCTCTTCAGGTGTATACTGGCTTCCGGAGACAACTAGAGCCGACGTGCCCCCGGGAATCATTGTTCGTGCTCGGAGTTATTTCGAAAACGACTTTCCAAATACTCTTGTGCTTGCGTTTGGAGTATTTAGCGAACTTGCCGTGGACGGTCGTCCTAGCTCCATTCTGGATCGCGATTATCTTCTTCCAAGCCAACATTCTCGTCCCTCTCAATTATTTCTGCGACGGCTCTGCTGAATAGACCGTCGCCGACTCAGACGAATCCGTGATGTGTACAATAAGTATGAGATGATGAGCCTGTAAATAATAAAACCTGTAGACTATGATCTATGATTCGTCAAGAACAAGGGTCTTCCGAGTCGGAGAATGAATTCTTAATTTCATCTCGGATCCGTGCATCGCTGTCCACCGCAGACTCCACTGCAGAATATGAGCAGGGGCTGTAACAAAATCCGCCTGAGGACTCGGTCCTGTGCTGCATAGTCGCGTTTCATAGATGGTTCACCTGTTCCGGGCCGATCTTTCAAGCTTTCCCTCTATCCAACTCTTCCCAGCCCGTTTCGGATCAGCCGATCCCGAAGATTCACGCTCTCGAATCGTCCACCAGCTTCATTATACAAAAGGTCTCCGCCTAATGGGACCTCATCGGGACCGGGCCACCTCGGGCCCAATACGCGATTCGTCCGACTGACCGGAGCGATTTTGATCCGGGCAGCTTCTTCGGGGACCCGGATTCCGGTCCAATTAGGCGGAAGGTCCGATTATCCGGAGGTCCCCATGAGCGGAGTTCAATGTATATTCATTCTTTCACTACGCAACGACGCCGTCATTAGTATCGACTCGAAGCACTTCCTCGGCACTTCCCTTCCCCTCGCGTATTGGGATAGCAAAATAACCCCACACTCCGAGGACCCCGGTCGAGAGCCACTGCTCCACGATCACTATCACCGTCTTTCCGCGCCAATCTTCGGCCGCAGCTATCTGGGGAAGAAGTGGACGGGTAATTTAGTGAGGAATTCTCTAAGACGAGCCGCAACTCAAAAAGTGATCGTGTTCAGAGTCTACTCCGATGCTTCGATCCGATACCGACGACGGACTCAAGCCTTTTCTCTTCGCCCACGCAAGGATCGAAGACCGGTCGGAATGAAGCACTCGATGTCCGTTCTAGGTGCTAAACTTCAGATACTTAAATAATTTATTGTTGATAGTATTTACATATTTATGCATTCTTTCGTCTAGGGCTGTCCCGCAGGAACGTTGACGCGTCGCAAAAGCAAACCCGTCCTTGTCATCTTGTCGCTGCTGATTGAGACTTGGTCGACTCCATCGGACTTCAATGCCGTTGACTGCAATACGTCAGCTGTATTCGCTCGCCATTCGAGAGTATGGGAATACAATCGTATAGTATGACCCTACTACCAGTAAATCTCTCGTACCGACACATAATTCCAAAGATATCTTGAACGACTCCTCCGTCTCATCTTCCTCGAACACTGCTTTCCCCTGACTGAGAGAAACAAACATATTCTACCTAGCGGTCGGAGCATCCACGAAGAAAAACAGAAAAAAAATCATACACTTCTCAACGCCGCATCTCATCCCGTTTCACGATGAACAACGGCAATAGAGCTCGGGCTCGAGATTTCCGTTCCGTTTGTGAAAGAAATACATGGGGACTGCTTCGCTTCTACGGAAGCGAAGCTTCTGCCCATGCGATCCACCCCGAAGTCCCGAGAGTCCGCCTGAACTATCATTGAACTTTTATCTACTATACAAGTGACCGAGGGTCATTTCAAACCCAGCTGTTCCACATTCACTCAATTATACGCAAGCTCGAAGACATGCACACACTCAATACATCTTTTCTTGCGCACCCCCTCGCTTTGGATGTCTTCTTGGCCTTCCTGATGCCCTCCATGAAAGGTGGTCACCTTTCCGATTCCCTCTCACTCTAAAAATATTCTCTACATAATCTCAAGTCAACATTTCAATCACAACGGCAATGCAGTCTCAATCATAGCTCTTGCTGCTCTCGTCGACAGTACATCATATCCGTGATTCGGAGCCCTGATCACTCGCTGTCGGGGTGACTATGCTTTCGCTTCCTGCGTTGTGAAAGGAGCTTCGCTGGCGAGGCAACCAGTATCTTGCAAAACCCCAATCATGTGTCTCTTCAATTCTCACTATTCAAATCGGGACGGTAAAATATTGAATTGCTCCTCTCGTCAACAGGTTCAGAGGGAAGCGAATTCTCAGAGAGGACTCGATGTCTGAGGAGATTTGGGATCCTGAGCGAGAAAGTTTCAAAGATTTGGCGAATTGACCGGAGGAGCTTCCAGCAATGCGGTGAGCGCATTCCGGGGTACTGGACTCGGATTGATGACCATGAATTGATCGAGAGAACCATCATCAAGATCTGAATCGTTGAGGCTCGTTCCCGGCGAAACGCCTCCGTTGAGGGCTGCCATGAGCTGCGAGGATGTTTGTTCCGTCCGTCTCTGTGGTGTTGTCGGAAGGACTGGGGGAGCCATCTCGATCTTATGGACGTTCTTCATGTGGCGTCGTAGGTTGTAGGCCGAGAAGAATCCCTTTTGGCATTCCTGACATTTGTAGCGCGAAGCACCAGCTTCTTCCTTACTGTTGCTCGTATACGGTCCTTTCTTCTTGGCTAGAGGGGAGGCTGACGCGGAGGAGGATGGACCATCCTTCGCGAGGCTTGGAGTGACCATGACCATCTGTACGTTGCCTTTCGTGTTGTCTTCGTCGGGCGTGCTGATAACGCTTGTTGGAGTTAGTTGAACTCCGCTCGTACGGCCCCGATCAAGGTTTTCATCGTTCGACTTGTGGTGGCCGGTAATCACTTGAACACTTATCGATTTACCGTTGTGAGACGCGTGATCGGATGCCACGATCACGCCGACAGGTGCGTTCTGATCCAGGTGAGATTGTTTCCCTTGCGTAATTAGCACCTGCGATTGTAGATGTTGAGCCGACTGCTGCTGCTGCTGTTGTTGCTGTTGTTGTTGCTGCTGCTGTGATAGAGGCTGCTGTTGTTGACGCATGCCGTTAACGGACTCCATTATCTTGGCGGCTTCGGCTTCGATGATGGCTTGCGCAGCGGTTTGCTGTGTTCGTTTGTTGTGCTCGTGCAGCGCCGACTCTGTGAGAATACCGCTCCTGCTACCTTTCCGACGCCTTTTACGCCGAGGACCTTCATCGGCTGTGGCGGTAGTGGTAGTGGTCGACAAGGTTGTCTCGTCGTCGGCCTCCTGATCCGTCAGATCGCCTTCGCTCGAGAGCGGCAGGGATATCGACATTTCGTTTTCGATTGTGATCTCGGGATCGACCTCGTCCTCACCGATCACGGAGCCTGTTTCGCTCATGATCGCGAACTTCAACGCATCCGATACGGATCTCAGATCATCTGCGTCGTCGCTCAAGCGGCGCCGTTTTCGGACAGAACAAGTGGTGACGTCTTTGTCTTCGAGAGCGACGAACCCGTTTTCCAACCGATCGTCCTTGACTTGCTGGAACGGGGAGCGTTTGAAGGCTTGCATCTGCTCTTTGACTTCGGCAGCCATGATCTGTTCCATGAGTGCGTCTTCGTCGAGGACAGGAGTGATTTCACGGAGCCTTTCCTTCTCGGACACTTGACGAGCAACGATCGGGGCTTTCAGCACGTGCGCAACGGTGCTTATCTTATTGACGGCAACCGCACCCGCTTGAGCTGAAGTCGCTACCGTCGTTGCACAATTGCTGATCACGCCGACAGGAACATTATTGTTGCTGTTGTTACCGTTGTTGTTGTTCAGCTTGTTTTGGCTGCTGATAACGTTGTTGAGCGAAGCCGAGGGAACAATGCGTTTCACCTGAACCGGAGTTTGCACCCGGATGATTTGTTGCGTTGATTGTTGCTGTTGCTGCTGCTGCAACGTTTGCTGACCCGCCGAAATGATAATGGCACCACTAGTCGTCTGACCTTGCACAGAGGATACGGTCGAGATGACCGAAGTTTTGGCAGACGTAACAGATGGCTGAGAAACTTTCACAGTCGTCCCTTGTTGTTGAGCCTGTTGCTGCTGTTGTTGTTGCTGCTGTTGTGTGGCCACAACCTCCGCGGCGACCACCTTGGCCTTCCCGCCTGCGAGCGGCTGCTGTAATGCTGGTTTGTAGGTAATAATCTTTGTCTGGCCAGATTTAACAGCTGCTTGCAGGACATCCGGCGAGACCGTCACGAGTCTCTGACCGGCCTGGCTGACCATGATGGCCTGCGAAGTTATTGCTGAACCTCCTGTCGACGAGTTGGCGATCTGAACAACCTGCAAGCAGAAGCACAGAATAAACGATTCCGATCCCCGACCGAACAGAGTGCCGCTCGATGAAGCGTTCGAGATGCTGTCCGATGTACGAACCTGCTGAATCTGTTGGGCCCCTTGCGATATTGTCGCAGGGATCTGTTGGATATTACCGGCTGTGTTGATGACGCCAACTGATGTCGACTGTCCACCTGCCGAGAATAGGTCACCGCTTTGATTCGAGTTCAAGGCGTAGCTGATTGTCGACGCCTGGCTCACGGCTATCTGGTGGGGTTGGCCTGCTACTGCATTTGCCACAACCATCGAGCCACCTGCAGAAGCCACTGACACCTGTGATCCACTTTGAGATGACGATACCGGTACTGTCACCTGTTGATCGTAGATCGGATTTTTAGTCAAGAAGAAAACCCCCGGAGAGCTCTGGGTTCGATCATGAATTCTCTGAGGCAACAAGGGTACAAGAAGGAAACCACGGATTAGTCCATAGACTCACCTGAATCGGTAATCGATTCAGACCGGATTGACCAGACTGGCTCACGACAACTGTCTGCTTTGCACCGGATTTCAGGACCTGTGAGAGAGGTGTCCCAACCGGCTGCTTTATTACAACAGCGCCCATCGGAGGGGGAGTCCCCGAAGCGTTCTGCTTTATGTGAACAGTTTGGGGGCTCTGCGGCGCAGGAGTTTGACTAGGCGTGACTGGCCGCTGAACGACCTGAACGGTCTGAACAGCTCCGGGAGTCATTCCGCCCGTGTTGCCTCCTGGCTGCACTTGCTGCACTTGAACAAACTGTTGCGTTCCTCCCTGGTTCTTCAGGATGATGACGGGTACTCCATTGACGGATGTTGCTATAGTCCCTTGTTGTAGTAACATGATCTTGCCAGCAACGATTCGCTGTTGCTGATTGGGTTGCGACGTCGCACCCTGAGAAGACGCAGGTACTTGGAGACTGAGCTGATTCACGGCGCCCATGGGTGCACCGCCGGCGTTCGGAGGATTGAATCGAACCTGGGGATGAGCTCTCGTTATCGATATGATTGATGTCGCGACGGGACAGGACGACCCCGGGGAGACATGTTGATTTTTCGTGGACATAATAAATGATGCTGGAATGCGAAAACGGAGATCAATAATCGAAACCGTCACCGCAAGCTCAACAACGAATCTACCGAAGCATTATAGGACGTGCGCCTAGTTATTGTTTTGGTAGTTGATTAATCACACTGATAGCGTCCGATCGAGCTTAACGCCACGAACAACTTCAACAGAATGCTGTCTCCATAACGTTAGTCACAGACTCACCCGGACCTGAACCGGTTGACCATTAGGTCCCCCCGGACCCGTACCCAATCTTTGACCAGAAAGAACTTGCTGAACCGCTGACTGAACCAGTTTCAACGAATCGGCGTTTGCCGTCATCGTACTCACGACCTGCTGAGGTCCTGATACCATGACGGTAGCTTGAGGGGCCGAAACAACTGCAATAGACATCACGGATCTCTTGATTCAGTGACGCGCCACTCCATCCGCCTCAACGCCAGCGGACCGCCAAGAAAACCGGAGGACTGGCGATTTCGTGATCGTCACGGGGTTGTGTTCTTGATGTTTACCTGTCTGTTGAATCTGTTGGCATTGCACCATCGAGGGGGCGGCCGGTTGAGACCCACCGTGACCATGGGGCACGCAAGCGGTTTGAGGAATTGATGTCAAAGTACCCGTCGGAGTCATTTCGATCGTGGCCGGGCTCGCTGCCGTCGCCGTGGCCGTCTTGTTCTGGAGTGTCGACGTCTGATTCGTGAGGATCTTCATGAGCACATTCTGCGGCGTTCCCTGCCCGTCTTTGATCGTTGTTACCGCCACAGGTGCAGGAACCTGCGTCACATGACGCAGGACCTGGGGTACGGGAGCCCTATTCGCGGCTATCTGAGGAGCTGTGGTCACCAAGACGGAGCTTGGTCGGGGAGTCTGAACCACCACGAGGACGACGAGTTAGTTCCTCTACTATTGTTAGTAGCTTTCGATTGTGCTCTCTATTATCCACTACTACACGACAAACAAGCGTGACGAAACACGGAGCTTCGAAGCGGGATTTGCATGCGTAAGGAGTAAAAAAAAAACAGGTTTGTCTATTTCTATGTTGTTCATGTATACTCACAGACACTGGTAATTGTTGCTGCACCTGAGGTCTCGCGTGCACGATATTTATGGTAGGCCCTGGGGGCGCCAGGATCTGAGTCGTCCTGGTTTGAGCTCCCCCTTCAACTTTGACCTCCGGCTTGACCCCACCACCACCGCCCACCGAAGCCCCCTGACTGCCAGCAGATAAAACCGTCACCGCCGCACTACTTGGACTGCTGCTATTGACCATCGTCGACGGAACGCTAACGGCAATTGTATTCACCTTAGCTGCTTGAATGACAGTGGGAGTTTGATTTCCGGGGGCGGTTGGCGTGGCCGGGCCCTGCTTACGGATGCTAAACTTGACGGCTACCTCCTTCTTGTTCGTGAATATCGGCTTACGCTGCTGGTGCTTGAAGAACTGCGTAATCGGAGCGCTGACACACCTGCGAGCGGAGGCTAATGTTACAGAGCGTTTGGGCTCGGGTCAAGGAGTAGATATCGAGCCGAGGGAATTAGTTCGATGGAATTCGAAGAACAGGTACGTATCGAAGGGTACGGAAGGTTCAAACGACAAGTTGTTCAGCCTAATGATGAGCCTCAGCCTACTATAGGCCTCGAGGAGACTATACGCCCGAGATGCCGCTCACGAACCTGTTGTCGACCTCCTCCTTGAGTCTGCGGAGAAGATCTGAGCTTATCTTCCCCCGCGTAGGATCTGGAGGCATCGAGGGAAAGTTTGCTCTCCCCGGACTCCGGGTGATCGTCGGTAGGAGGGGAGCCGCCGGTAGTTTCTTGGGATTTCGTATCAAGACGTTCGGTGCCTTGAGAGGCCCGTCGATCACGTGAAACTTCACCGGACAATCCTGGAACGACGGCGGAACGAGGGAAACTCCCGAAAGATTGTCGAACCGATCGAGGATCGCTCGAAAATTGGGGGTTTTGTTTTGCGAGGCGCTCGTCGGCGCTGGCGTCCCCGTCGTCGTTGCAGCTGTAGGTTTCGGCGCAGCTGTCGGTGTCGATGAAATTACAACGGTTGGCGTTGCGGACACGAACGTCCGCTGAGGGGTCGACGGTAAGGACGAAACTTGTTGTATTGTGGACACTGTTCTCGCCGCCGTCGCGGGAGCCGCAGAGGACGATACCACGACGGTCTGCTGGATTGAGTTCGGTTGCTGGAAAGGTCCGTTCACCAGCTGCGTTTTAGCCTGGGGACTCGTGATGGGAGACACGAGTTTCACCTCTCGACCACCAGTTTGTTGGCGCTGGACGGGGACGTGCAAGGCGCTGAGCGCGGTCTTTATGGCCACCGGTGTCATATTTGTTGTCTGAGGTACGGACGACTGCGGTATGCCAGCTGCGACCGGAGCGGCAACAGCTACCTGGACTCTCGGCCCATTCATGACAACCTGGAAGGAAGAAGGAGTCGTCATGATTCTTAGGGGATTCCAGGCGGAAAGCCTCTACACGTGGACCGCACTGCAGGCTTGAGATGCATCCCTCCGGAATTCGAGCAATCAATCGGGTTTACCTTCTGGCCGCTAGTGATGATTGGGACACGCTGCAGGTGCTGCGGTGAGACCATCACAACCTTCGGACTACCCTGGGGTATGACGACGGACACCGCCTGACCACTTTGAATTGAGGGACTCAACGTAGGATTATTCGGACTGCTCATGAGGATGCTTTCAGTCGTATCGAGATCACTCGGGTTGGCCGGATCATCATCGATTTGCATTTGTTTTCCTTTTCTAACTGACGAGCCGACCTGCGGGCGGCGGCTGGCCTATTCTTCTCTTTCGTTTTGAGCTTATGACACGCGCCAGCTGCTTTGCGACCGTTTCTTATGTGCAATGCCGCTTTTTTCTGCTGATCTCGATATCGTCGAAGGAATTCTGAACTCTCGGCCGAGCTGTCCGAATCGCTCTCAGAATCTTCGGTGCATTCAATATCGCTACTGGTGATTGGTGCCTCCGAAATTCGTCGCACTTCAGTCCTGTAGGTTGATCCCCTGGAAAAGTCGGGGACGAAGCCCCCCTCTTAGTGGCAGAGACCAATGAAACGAATCGGCAGGAATCACGGTTTGCGGTATGTATTCCCTTGTGTCTGCCTTGAGCAGCTCTTACCGTCCTGTGCTGTAGAATTCGGTGAAATACGCTTCCCAATCGTCTTTCAGAGAAAAACATGGAGTTCGAACAGCGTGTAGAACTGTCACCATGTCTTCGAGCATCTCATAGTCAACGCCCTCTATACGCGAGTCGAGAATCGGTTCGTAGAAAAACATATGGTCTCCGGGCAAAACTTCGAACTTTGGTCGTCCTTCTTGCTCTGGTTCTCGTTGGTCTTCATCTTGTCCCCCGCTGCAGGTACAGTTCTTGTGACCGCAGATTCGCAGGGACAAAGCCCTGAGCATTTGCAAGGCTTCTCTTGTGGGATGAACGGTGAACGACGAGAAGACACATTCGCGCATAACATGGGGATGATCCTCGAAGATGGCGGCCATCTTGAGCATCATCCGTCCGAGATTCACTTCAATGTCCTCACGCAGAGCGTTATCGCCGAGCATTTTGGCCTCCTCGATACCGTTAAGGTCTATGCCCATTCCTCTCAACATGAGCTCGATGAGGACCGGAACGTTCACGGGTCCGAACTCCTCGAACAGTACGTCGAACATGAGGTAAAAATGGCCTGAGATATCGGTTCGTTCCACCAAGAAGTTCGCAGCGAGACGGGTTATTTGATGCGGGGACACTTGCCGACCTTTGAGAACTCTGCACCACAGCAACATAAGGTCGCGTGTGCAGCAGTGCGTTGAATTATCATTCATCAGATCTTTGACAAGGAACGTGGAAATGAGGGCTTCGGTGCATTTCGGGGGACCTGCGAAGAGATTGGTTTGGATGATGATCGAGTCGTGTGCTTCTTCCCGTGAGTCCGGACCGCGAGATCTCGAATCACGACTCTGGGCTGGGATCGGAAATCGCTCGAACATACCGCTGGGTCTCCGGAAGCACTGCCAACCGAGCTGCACTCCTCGATGGCAAGTCAGCTCGGCTATGGTTTTGCAAAAGTTCGGAAGAGAATTTTCCCGAACAGCAGCCTCGTAGACCATGTTCAACTGTTCTAATGTGCTGTCACCGACGATCGCATCGTCCATCGGGGGTCGTTCCGGCACAACCTGCATCGATAAATTGTGGAAGAATTATCTCCGTGCGTACGATGATGCCCATGATATCATGAGCCATTTCTTCGGAGTTTTCCTGGACTATAAGGCGGGGATTCTCCAACAACTTCGGACGTTCCCGCCCGACGCCGCTCTCATCGGCGGGCCGAATGCTTGAGTACTCACCTGCTCTTGACTCGCTAACCACGGTTGAACTGGACAAGGGCACGGATTGAGAATTTCTTTTACTGGCGAAACCGCGCGAGACACCAGCTGATCACTCTGCTGAGCGGTCGCCACGGGTGACTCACTGGGCTCTCCTTCAGCAGTCCGGACTTCCTCGACTTCTTGTTTAATTGAGGTGGGAGGATCCTGAGCTTGCGCCTCAGGATGGGATTTCAGCATCGGCGTCTCCTGGGGCACATTCGGGGTCGTCGTTTCGGTGCCACGGTGATTCTGTTCCATCTTCTCTTTAGCCATAGCTTGTACGGTTCTGTCGAGCACGCTGACCTGTCTCTCCCACGAGGCTCGCTGCGGGAAATTCGTGACGTGAGCAACTCGGAAAAATCGGGAGGAGTTCGTTTGAGCCTTCTCGTGCTCGGCTGTCCCCGCATGGAGGGGAGAACTCACGTCTGTGCTGTCGATAATCGCTTCCAGTGATTGGAAGATGTCGTAGATCATCGGGAACTTCACTCGGAGTGCCTGATGACAACTTCTCATCGTTTCGATGAGTTGGGATCGCACCGCGGAATTGATTTCCCAGTTATACATCCGAAACACCTAGCGACGGTGAGAGACGGAGATGAATCAGTTAATCGGGAACTCGACAGCTCGAGGGAAAATGCACATCAGTACTTGAAGGTTCATATTGAAGACGACGGTTTCTTATTCCCGAGTCGTCCCGACATAGCCTACCTGTAGACTCATCCTCAGAACTTTTATGTACATTTTGAACAAAAGTCTCTCATTGATAGTCTGTTTCCGACTCAGGACTAGCCAGGTGTCGCAGAGCTTAGAGGCCGTAGCGTCGGCACTCACGCTCACGGGAACAAGAGCTCCCGCGACGGCGCCTTGTCCTGTTCCGCTTACGTTCATCTGAAAGGGAGCGCAAGCTTCACTTAAAGTCGCCTCGGAGGATTGACCCGGTTGTCGGCCTGTCCTCAATCGGTAAGGTGCGTCGGACTAGTGAATTCGATCAAAGAGCTCTCAGAGTCTAAGACTAGACTCTTCGCGACTCTGGAGGTTCAAGTCCCCTGACAAGCCTATCTGCGTACGTTCAGAAGATTTTCCCGGGAAGAAATCCTTTCAAAGCTTCGCGAGCATGAATTTCGATTGAATAAGACCTGGGATCTTATTAGCCAAATCAGTGACGAACGATTCGGAGCAACCGTCCGTGTGAATGTCTTACAGTACGCTAGCAGTATCGGACGAATATTAGGATCCTCGGGTACATTCGTCGTTTTTTTCCCTCATCAGCGAGCGTTTACGTCTACGAACTCAGTAAGGTATGTAATCACGCGAGGAGACCCCCGGAGGCGTCTAAGGGGCCTGAATCGGGGCTAAACTCCATGAAACGTCCCTGAAGCTATTATGATTCGATTGTACCAAGTCTATCCCTTCTGAAGAGATCCTCATCACGATCTCGGAGAGAAGGCGATTCGATATCGAAGTTAACAGCACGGACCTTCGGGAGATCTCCTCAACCCCCGTGAAATATCTGCTCTAGCCCAGGGTAGAACCCTTGCCCCGGTGTACCGTTCGGAGGATCAGGGATATATTCAGCCCTCCGCTTCATCCAGAGACGTGAGGGTATATCCAGATCAATAAATCAATTAAAGAAATACCGACCTAATCCCTCCCACAGACCAGGTCGACCTGAAACGTATTTTGCGGATCCATGTCCCTCCTGTTTGCTAGTTTGCGAATAAAAGTCGCTCTTCAGATGCGCGCCCAAAACTCTCCGCTCTCCCTCAAAAGCGTCTGCCCGTGTCCACCTCGATGGTTTGAAGCCTGAAGATCCGAAATCCTCCTTGCACCGAGGCGCAAACCGTGAGGAGCTCATGCAGGGCAGAAGACTTAATCAACATAATCAACTTACGGTTTTCTGCAGCTTCTTCGCCGTGCTCGGCTCTCAGTCTTATGGGAGGGGTCTTGAGGGTTCCAACTCACAGTCTACCGCGCGGAAAACTCAAGCAAAACTTCGATGGCTCATAAGTTCACGTTTGAGTCCATCAGCGATCAATGTCCACGAGATCAAGTCGCAATCGAGCGCAGATTCCGAGGGAGAACAACACGCTGCATTGCATTCTCAATTAATCACCTCCTCTTTTAGCTGTCTTCTCAACGGCCCCGAACAATCGTCGCAGATGTTTTCTAAAGATTTTCGAACACAGAATAATCCAATTGTTATAGCTGCTGTATTAGTGATCGTGGGTTTTCGATTCGGCTGAACAACAGATTGGTTTGCTCCGCGACGAAGATACGGTGTTCTGGCGGGCTCTGAGATGCTCTGCTTGCAGCCAGTTGAATATTGAACTGGATCTTCGAGATTGCAGCAGCAATTGATCGGAACGACGAACGTTCGATGTGGCGACGGCGGCAGTGGTTGAGGCAACGACGTCTACAACAACAACAACAACGTTTGAAGCATACAAGCGGCACCACCAGCGGCGACGACTGGAACGCGGACAGGCGCGATACTTTCTCGCATTCGGTATTGGTTTCCTTGGTTCGAGCTGTAACGCTTCGCTCTGCACACATTTTTCAGAGACGGAACTCGACAGGAGGAGCTTAGCTCGCGTACGTAGCCAACTCCAGCGCACGAAGCGGGCGAACGAATAGAGCTAGCAGTAGGATCGGCACGCATACACAGTTTTTCACGCACGCCTCTTCACGTGTGGCTCACGGAGATCACGGTTCTCTTCGTCGAAGTTCACTTCTAGCTCGCCTGGCTCGGCCTTGTTGATGGGACTTGGGATCTTCGATTCGAATCGGAGCTGAGTCGACGACGACAACAACAACGTCTACGGCAACAACAACTTCTACCGCAACATCAACAACGGGAAGAATGAATTGAATTGCCGGCAACAGTCCGTAGAATGTCCGTACTCCGGCCTGGTAATCAGCCTTTCGGATCCTAGATCGGGCGAGAAGCGGCTAGACGTAAAATCAGGCTCTCTGATGCACTGGCACTCGCTCGCTCACTCGGTCGGTCGCTCGTCGTCGATCATCCACTCGAAAGATAAGGAACGAGTTTCTCCGCTTCCGAGGCTTCGCGAGAGGCTTGAGGTTGTTGCCGGAGATCCTGGTCGAAATCTCGGTGGAGGCTGTGGTCTTTGGTCCGTCCGCCGACCGTCGGTTGGTCTTATTGTTGATTATCGTATCGGAGATGGTGATGATGTTGATGGTGGTAGTGATGTTGTTGTTAGGCCTGGCTCTGAGCGAACTTTCGGAACAATGGATATGAGTTGTGGCCAGAGTTGCGGGGATTTCGGAGCGCCGGTGTTCGGAGGGATTCGGGCGGCCCTTTACCCCTCGCTGGCTCGCACGCACGCACGCACGCACTCTGTCCCCTGGCCCTCTCTGCTCTTCAGACAGCTCGCAGACACACCGCCGTCAGCGGAGAGCTCCACTGCAAGCCGCCATCTTAGTACACACAGCAGCTCATCGTCGTCATCGTTGCTTCTCACTCGCTTGGTTGGTGTGTGTGTTGTGCCGTCGGCCGTCTGTTTGTCCGTCCGTCCGTCCTTGGGTCCGTTGGTTGGCTGCTTGAACGGGCGGGCGGCCGCTCACCTTTTGCTATCCACGCTCACTCACGCACTCGCATCGAATAATCGGAAAGTGTACTTACAAACTCCTGCGATGCTGGAAAGCGTAATATCATTGAGATTACGTTCCTGAGACGAGGAACATAGCAAAGGATAATGGGTGATTGAAAAATTCCGAGTTGAATTCTATTCATTAGCGCTCGCAGACGTATGTTTACAGTCGTCATCGACTGCGAGCCTACCGATGATGACATTGATCCGTACCGGCAGTTCCAAACGACGAATCTGGGATCGGGCGCTCCTTGAGCTTTTCTCTAATCTCACAGACTAACTGACTGAAAGTCCGACTGAATGATTATATCGTCCGTACCAGAACTATGTAACTCAAGAACTTTGGAGCTCAGGATTCTGGGCATCATCGGAGTTTTTGACGTGAAAACGCCTTCAATTTCACTCTGGGGGCAGATTCAGTGTTCTTCGTCCTCCATGCAACGAAAGAGGCACTTGTGTCGTTCAGAAAGGATCGGCTAGTAGGATGCACCGATAGGACGGGACTTCACGGACGTATCTGCAATTCATTTTCCGTGGTCATCCCTGGGGGCTCTGAAGGTCTCCGGGAGTGATCCCTGGGTGCACCTAAAATACTCCCGGATCATGCATACATAAAGCATTTTCTCTGAAGGTATTAAGGTACAGCGAAACATTTGGAAAGGGAAGCGAAGATTCTGATGAGCGTTTCCCGCGGGTGTCCCGATTTACTGAGCTGGACGACTTGATTAAGGGCACACTTACGGGAGATTGATCAGACGAGGGTCATAAGTCATGATGCACGGAGTTTAAGATGAGAAAAAGTTCTTGTTGGTCTCGATTTCGAATTCCCACCGAGTCGGGGGTCGCAGGGATGAATAGAGCATGTAATTTCCTGGGAAAACAACGTGAATGGCTGGACCCTGCAGAAAGTACGAGAAAGTTCAGCCTAGTCTCTGTATGTAAAAGCGCCTCACAGAGAACTTTAGCGATCTCAGACGACGATGCTATCGACGAGCTATTCATTCATCGAGCATAGAGTATAGAGTTTCGGTATGAAAGGACGCTGGAGCCCCCGTTGGAAGGGGAGCAGATCAGAATAATACTGATGCACTTGAAGGGAACACACATACGAAGCATGTTTCCAGCCTGTAGCGTCCTTGAGGGGGGGAGATGGGTGTGCGGACCGCACCGGGCGCCATCGCTACGGAGTCGCCTTCTCCGACCATGTTTCAGAGTTACATGCTAGCAAGAGTCAGGAGACATGTACTTTTGACCTGGAACGTCTTCAAAATCACTGAGGGGTATTCCCACCCAAACTCCGTCCTCCTGAAACGAAATCTTGTCCGCTTCTGCGATCTGATAACTCAGTGAATACGTCAACGATTATGATGAGTTTTTTCCGCTAGATTGCTTTACGGGAGAAGAGCCCTGCTTGCTCCCCATGAGACTCCGGAGCACACCTTTGGCAAGATAACTTCGATTCTGACCCCCATGAAGTGGTGACAAAGACTGTATAACTAATAGACTTATCCAGTACAGAGTCGACTGGTCAATGCAGCAAGACTCTCGTAGGCGAATCAACGTAGGTGTCGCCAATTACCGCCGGAACTTCCACAGTAGACTCTCGAGAACAGATCGAAACGGGGGGATAAACTATCAAATCCCGTCCTTCAATCCCGCCACTGCGCTCTTTCCAATTAATGTATGCGCCATCGTCCCCCCCTCTCTCCTTCCAGTAGGCGAGTCGCAGATCTGGTTCTGCGAATGATAGAGCAGCGACCGGCCCGAGAGGGAGAAATCTCGGAAGGGTCGCCGATACTCCGGACGGGACTGCGGTGTCACACGATGCTTTCAACGTGACCGTTGACCCCTCCTAGTTCTTTCCAGCTTTCGCTCCGAAGTTTCCCACGAGTTCTCGTCGATCATAAAGACAAAGCTACGTAGTAGATTGGATGTTCGCGCCGCTTTTTGTCTCGCGGTTCCGTATGTTCAACCTGGTCGCTTGTTCGTGACAAGCAGCAGCAAATCTCACATTTAAGTTGAAGGAATAAGAATTGTACGGAGTAGCACCATAATATAAAGATGTTGTGATAAAGAAAGTCGATCTCAATTTTGAAGTAGGTGTGCTTCTCAGGGGCTCGCGAGGCAAAGTGGTCGTCCGCAGGGGGTCGTGGAGCAGGAATGGTTGCGGATCCCTGTGATAGCTCTTATAGTATATCTACTCCTTTATACACACAAGTTACGGACAGTCGCAGTAATGCACTGATTCCTGATCCCGGAGATTCTCGGGATCGAATCCCTCGGGTCCCAGCGGGCAGGACTCCGATGACGCACAGATTCCTCATTCCGAAAATTTTCGGGAACGAATCCCTTTCTGGCTACGCCAATTTCCTGTCAAAGGTCGACGTCGAACATCTCCGCCATCATCGATATGAACGCTTGTTCTGGCCGGCGGAGTTTGATACAGTACTCTCTCTATGGTGCGCACGACACTTCCAGGAGGTCGGAGCATTGACCTGTGAAGCGACAGGTAAGCTTCAGGACATCCCTCTTCCCAGCATCAAGAATACCTCCCGCCCCCGGGGAGCCCGATCGTGACAATGCACAGAAGGGATCGAGGAGGCATCACGCAATCCTGAGGCGACGAGGTATCCTGCGGTCAAGAGGCATTGACCGTGATTCATCAGGAATGTGCATTTCTCCAGAGGGGATCATTGTACAGAATTCTAAAATCCATCTTCGGTAACCTGAGCAGCCATTGGTCTCTCCAGATTCATATGTTTTGAAACGACACGAGGAAGCAGAACTTTGACCGCGGCTTCGATCTCTCTCGGGTTTGCCGTGACATCGGGATAGTCGGGAGGCCTCGGCTGCGACTCTTTCATATGTATCACTCACAAACTCGTTCAATACGATAACGGCATCCGCTTGTTTCATTCACCTGTTTGAGAAGCCGTCGGACGTATCTCGCAAACGATCTTTTCGGCTTGCTCTCCAGGGGTTTTCGTCAATGGTCTTCCGCTTTTTTTCGGGGCTTCCTTGGCTTGACTCGTTGTCTTCGCAGGAGCCATAGTCGTTGTCTTTCGAGCTCCGAGTTCAAATTCAATAGACAGCAGTTAGGTCGATCCAGTCGAAGTGATCCTTCATATGACGAAGCTATCGAGAGGCAAAAGATGGAGGGAATATTTCTCATAAATGATGACGAGGTATCACCGCACCGCCTAATTGTTTGAAATCGACAACGATCATTTTACTCGGTGATTTGGCTATCGATCGCTCCTCGTAAATTATGTCCGAAAGCGAAGAAACTCATCGCACTCGCTCAGCGACCAAATCGAGTCGGGCCGGGCTTCTATTTCCTGTCGGTCGTATCAACCGCCTGCTCCGCAAAGGGAACTATGCCGAGCGCGTGGGTCCGGGAGCATCCGTCTACCTCGCCGCTGTACTCCAGTATCTCGTGGCGGAACTCATTGAAGTTGCGGGTCATGCTGCCCGTGACAACAAGAAAACTAGAATCACACCACGGCATCTCCAACTCGCTATTCGGCATGATGAAGACTTTAATGAACTCCTCGGTGGAGCCATTTTAGCCCAAGGCGTCAGCATGCCGGATTTGAAATCCTTCTTAACGGCCAGGAGCGGCGCCGGGGACAATGGAAACGGATCCGAAGTGGAGCAAGATATCGAAGGGATAGAAGAGTCCGAGCCGTCAGAACAGACTGTCGACAACGACGAGAACGACCTGAGCGGAGATTCACGGTCTGCAGGAGACTCTGACCCCTCTGAGCATTCTGTTCGGGAGGAGCAGTCTGATTCTGAGTGATTCTTTTCTTTCGATTCCCTATGATCGACAAAAATATAGGACTTCGTACCCTGACTCGTATCTGCTCCGCGGTAACTGTTAGAGGGAACACGCCTTTGTGTGAACGCTATCGAGGAAGATACGAGACAACTCGAGGATTTTTCAATCGACAATTGTTTTTCACAAGAAACGCCTCGCAGTCTCTGATATTCGATACAGATTTCAGCACTCCTCTGTTGCATAGCTCCGAGTCCGTCTGTCTCAAGCGTGGCACCCAGGTATCAATCAACCGAGGACCCCACTGAATTCCGGTGAATCCCGCGCCGTGAATATCCAATTCAACAGTGAATAATTAGAGGATAGAAACCGAGAATTACATCTCATTCTCACAACCACTAAAAATCCATTCGCAGAGTATCCACGTATATCTAGGAACTTTCTCCCTAACATACGGAAACAAGTGTTGTTGTCTTGGTGTCGTCAGCTGCTGAAGTCGATGACGTTGCTACAAAATTCACATCATCGGCACTATCCGTGGCAGCAACGACCAGGCAGTCGCCGGATACTCATAACGATCAACTATCGGCTTCGACGAGGTAGTTTTCCTTTCCCTTGGGGGAACGAGAGCATCAGGAGATGCTTCGATACGAGCTATATCTTTTCGCTCCCGGGGGAGCATAGAAGTGATTTGCTGATAAGTCGCTTAGAATGCTACGGTGAAGCCGTACCGCGTCCGAATCGAAGTCGAGGGTTTCCGGTCTTGCGGTAATGTCGAGCGAGATGCTCAGACCCTCGTCAGAGCCTCGTTCCTCGATGGTCGCTTCTTCGAGTTTTTTCTGCATTTTCGCTAGGAGAATGTCCGCGGGTTTGGTGCGTGCCAGATTGCGTGGAATTTCTAAGTTTCGTGGCGCGGGAGTCGTACCGGTTACTGGACAGGTCTGAAAAGAAGGTCGAGACCGGCTCAGGAAAGGAATCGAGGCTGCTTCGCGTGGTTTCCATCCTTGAGAGCGGAGCATGGGAGAATAGCTTCGCGTCTCCGTTACATTAGTCAACGCCCGAATACTGAGCCACGTTCCTGAATTATTTACCTACAAGCTCCCGCTAATGACGTCTGCGACTTCTTCCTTGACTTTCGACAATTTATCTCTCGTTTCAGAAATCGACTTCGTGCTGCTCAGAACTTTCAGGGGCAGCGCGATTAGGCCCACCATTTCCGAATTCGACTTCTCTTCGAACCCGGTGATCGATTCTTCACCGATTCGCAACAGCTCTCCGAGACCCTGGAATGCCGAAGCCGTATTCAGCTGAGTTAGATATTAATACTCTGTTTGCGTCAGCTGATGAAGCGTCCGATTGGATGGGGCACTATCTCGCCCTGCCGGTCGTTTCGGTGCTTGCGCGTAATTTATCCTGGAACTCGCCGAGGTCCAATTGTATGCTCTAAACGCTAGCAGAGGCGATATTCTGCTGTTCCTCGTCACAAGCTCCGACCTGCTTAGGAACGAATATTGTTGAATTTAAGAAGAATTTCCAAGCGAAATAGAGAAGGGGCATATCAATCACAGCAACCCACCGTCGCGTCGCTCTGAGGCGGTCGGCGTGGGACACGATCTCGGCCGTGGCCCGGGCGTTGTTCATCAACACGTCGTCGACCGCATTGGAAGCTTGCGAGCCTCCTCTCAGGGCGGGTTTCGAATTGCTCGATAGCTCCTCCGATGAAAGCGTTCTCCATCGTCGATGTTTGAGTTATACATAGCTCTCTTCAGAGCGCTGAACATAGCTTTCCCCCTGTTGCAAGCTGCGTATCTCTGGCGAGCCCTGATGAGAGAATTGGAAGTGAAAGGGATCGGGTAAACTTATCGGATGATGAATCGGCGGAAATCCTGCCGAGCGTACACCCCGACTACATATTAGCATGAAAATCATGCGAACCGGGTCTCCAGCGTCCTTGCCGAATGTTCCGAGCAAGCCGTGACTTTCTTCAGGCTGCCGAACGCTCCCTTCAACCCCCGCACGTTGCTCAGAGCCACCTTCATGATGTCTGCGATCTCGCAGTGCGTTGAGTTCCTCATTTTGCTCAACTCCTCGGTCATGTCCGATCGCAACTTGCTCGGGACTCGAGAATCGACTTTCTTCAACGAGACATCGAATTAAGAATCGATTCGTTTCAATGCCTCTATCGAGCTTTTGGCGATGTCGTTCACGCGGGAGATGTTGTTGAAAAACTTCCCTCTGTTCTCGAGATGCTCCCAGGCCACCTCTCCGAGTAAGGCGTCAACTTCTTGAAGCAGTCGTCCCCCTTCTCGGAGGCTGTGGAAGACACCCTCCTCCTTCGGAGCACAAGTTTTGGTCAAAACGTCGGCAGCGTCTTCCGCCCGTCGAGCACTCGAATCTGGGGATGAGCTCAGAAGAGCTGGGGGAACAAAGATGCATATTCTGTGTGAGGTATGAGAATTTCTTCGGAGGGATCGAGTTTCAGCTTATGCCCTCGAATCAATCTCAAAATCTGCTTACCGCTGAATTTATCGATTACTTTCCACCTCAAGCTGTCTCTTGGCGGGCTGCCCGCCAAGCCCACCAAGTTTAGTTTACTAGTCCGTCACTAGTACATCAGGTTTTCTCCCGTGTCCGTCGTATCTCTTGAGGTGACGGTGATGGTGAGGATTGTATGAGACCGCGAGCTCGACGCGTTCATCAAGGTAGCAGCAACCATCAGCGAATATACCTCCTGCCGATCTCGAACGACCACTTTCTAGAGGCCTCTGACTACCACGGATCCTTACGCGGTAGAGTCTTCGAAGATCTTTGGCCTCGAGGTCTGGAACTCACCGGAGTCGAGAAGGTCGAATTGGTCCTCGATGTATAACTCTAGGAAGGAGACTTTGATCATGGTTAGCTTTGGATCTCCGACTTCGGAGAAGATCTGATGAAGAGCTCTGGAATAACATGAAATTGAGAGTCGACTCCTCTGAAAGTAACTTCATTGGTTTCACGAACGGCTGTTATTCATTCTGAGTCGCATACCGGGGGAACTGTTCCTGCGTGAGGGTCGTGTTGCCAAAGGAGCATTGTTTGAGAGCGAATGCCTTCCATCGTGTAGGTTTCCCCCGTTCCGGTTTGACCATGAGCGGAGACCGTGCAGTTCTAGTCTTGAAGGACTTCTTTGATAAACGGTTGGACCACGGTCTTGTAAACATCGATCTGGGTAGGATCTTCTCCGAAGGATCCATCGAACGTAAGGGTTTCCTCATGGTGACTCTTCACAGAGACGCATCTCCGCTATTAAACCACACCCACGCGCATCTGGCTGCGCGCATTGCGCTCCTGATCGTTGATCGGACTAGAAAAGACATGGATGAATGAATGATCGACTCGCGGCAGTACAGGAAGGGTACCCTCGACTTTCCCGAGAAACGTCGGTGTCGGAGCAGACGAAGGTTTCCCGTCAGACGTTCCGGATCGACTCGGACACCTGCTTACTTCTCGCCATACAGGTTCTCACTGTTCTCGTCTGAGCCGGAGTTGGACCAGCGCCGCGAGAACTGTCAGGACAACTGTGAAACCCACCAATTAGATGCCGAGACGGCATACTTGCACGTTGAATTGCAAGAAGAAATATATATGGAACAGCCTGCTATGTTTCAGGAGGAGAATAAGGTTTGCAAGTTTGTGAAGTCGTTTAACAGATTAAAGCAAGCGGGACGAGTCTGGCTCGAAACGCTGAACGGGGCTGAAGGAGTTTAGATCCGATCGCTGCTGTTATTGATCAACGAGCGGAACTAACTTCATCATGCTGACGATTTACGTTGAGGATTTCCTGATCTTCTCAAATGACGCAGGATTGCGAACTGACCTTGTCGTGAAATTGGGAAAAGTCTTCTCTATGAAATTTTCAGCTCAGGCTCAATATTGCCTTGGCATCGAGATAACGCAAAGACCAGAAGAGGAGACCGCGGTTCAGAATGGCTGATTGTACTGCCGTCGAGACCCCCGTGGAACCAGCTGCACACACAAAACGATAAGAGGTTGAGGAGCCGGCTGATGCTCCCGACCGTGAGGCAGTCGGTGGCCTAATGTTCATATATCAAACAACCCGTCCCGACATCAGCTATGCTGTTAGCTTTGCAAGCCACTTCTGCTCAGACCCCTCGAAGACACACTGGGCCTCGGTGAAACGGATCTTGAGGTATCTCAATCGGACCTCAACTCTCCGATTGAGGATCGATGGCAAGATCCAGGGATGCACGGCGGCTTTCTCCGATGCAGATTGGGGTGGTTGTTATGATTGCCGCAAATGAACGTAGGGTTGTGCTTTCTTGCTGTCCGGTGCATGTGTCTCTCGGTCAAGTAGGAAAGAGCCAACTGCCGCACTCTCCTCGACGGAGGCAGAGTTGATGGCTTGTTCTGCAGCCTGTCAAGAAATCAAGCGTCGATCTCTCTGAGCTGCCCAAAGTAGTTGTTGAGTGCCCAATGACGCTGTGGTGGGATAATCAAGGTCCCCGGCTCCTGAGCCAGGATGGAGTCCAGCATAGGCGGACAAAGCACATAGATCTCCGACACCACTCCATTCGGGATCTCGTCGGAGGAGATTCAGTCGTCATCAAGCACGTCCCGACCGCCGAGAGTGTTTCCGATATTTTAAGAAGAAACGTCTTCCAAGCGAAAAGTTCATGTATTCTCGGAGGAAACTCGGTGTATGTTAAATGTTGAGAGGGGTCACGAGCAAGAGGCGGTGTCCATGGTAGGAGCTCAGAGCTCGTTGGGGAGTTCGCGCCTTAGAGTGTTCGTCTCGAGCTGCTCTCCGGAGGGCGATTATCGACCTTTTCCATGCTTTCTTGCTGAGCGCGGAACCGTCTACTGGAGTCGGCGGTGCGGAATTCTAAAATCAGCGAAATCACACTAAAACCTGGGCGAGCGAGAATCTCTGGATTCATGCTGGATTAGGACGAGAACGCCTCGGAAAATCGATTGATACATTTTCCCATAAACTCACCGAGAACGCGAATGAGCCTGGTCCGGTCACGACAAAGAAACGTTCAGGTTCGCCGAACGCAAGCGGAGGACCCGAGATTCTCCTTGCTTGAGAGGAACGCTCATTATTCAATGAGTAATGTGTCGATCTTCTAATATTCTCTCGCCAATATAGTACTTGATACACAGCTACTGCGCGTGATGAAATTAGAGACGGTCCCGCTTCCAATCGGGCAACCTTCCTCATTTGTCCCCGCGTCTAAGCCGACACCGACGCACCGTAGGAACCGAATCGTAGAGACCGCTCCCGGTAGTTCTTATAGGAAAATATCGTTCGGTGGCAAGCTCTGTACTAAGAGAGGCAAATTTCTCTCTCGAAAAAAAAAGAGGCAAAATCTCGGAAATGGACTCCGGAGGGAAGACCAAACTGCTGGTTTTGTTGCCATCGATGAAAGCTGTGCGCTCGAAGGATCCGGGGATCCTTTGGCTTGGCCCCGACCATGGATGTATCTAAATCATATATGCAGGATTTACGTGCGTAATCAAAGTTGAATACTTCGAGGGTTGGGATCTGGAGAAAATTATCACATTTTTTTCGAATATAAGCTAGCTGAACATCGCTGAGCACGCTGAAATAGATACTCAGTCAGTGGAGCTCCGCAGCCGAATCTCTGAGTGAGTCCTGGAAAGGAATTCTCGGAGGACGAAGCCTCGATCAGGTTGCTCACAGACGGGAGTCCCTTTTCTCATCACTGTGGGTGCTATCCATAGGACATTGGATTGCCGTACGCTCGAGAGATATCAACGTGTGGTGAAATGCTCGCAATGAGATGCGCAAGGTGGATGGTCCGAAATGTCAGGCTCTGCGCCGTGAGCGAAGAAAATGGCCATCCACAAGGGAGTAAGGACTCGTGTTCTCCTCATCGTTTGCAATTAATATGCATGTTCATCTGTTCCCTCCATTAGAGCGCGGAGTTTCAGTCTGTCATCCTTATGATACTACTCGCGTGATGCTTTATTTTCGGAAGAGAAGTCCAGCATCGCCATCCAACGAGATTCCGCTGTGAAGTTTCGCGAAGGGATAAGGCTCAGTACACAGCATATATTGCCCATATTCCCCGAGTCGGGAGCATAGATTCGAAGTATTAGAAGGACGAACTTATCACGAAATCGATGCGCCCGCGAGCGGCATTGATTTCAACGGTGAGATTGGTTTTTACAACTGAAATTCACATGATTTACATCTTCGATTTCACATCCCAGAGCGATTCTTCGTTTCAGAAATCAGAATCGCAGGACTGAGTCCGAAGGGAAGGCCGGCCTTCCCCTTGAAGGTGCGGAGTTGATCTTCGCTCTTGGACAATGTTGCGGAATGAAGATGCGATTTCCATTGACGCGACAGGGCTCGATCTCATCCTGTTTATTCCTCGTAACTATTTCATGGCGGAAGCCTTCCGTTTCTCGGCTTTTTTCGCCTGCTCTGCCTGTCGTGACTTCGCGTTCTCCCAGAACACGCCCAGCTTTCCGCTCTCTGCAGTAATTTTCAACAACTCCATGATCAACGGGATATAATTGTGTCGTCTGCGGATGTTCTCCTTTTGATACATGGCTATTTTCGCATTTTCGTCTTTTATGACCTTTTGAAGTCTCGCGATGCCTCGGCGGACGGTCTCCGTCTGCAAGTCGATAGAGAATTTGTTTGCCACGATTGTTTCGGGATATCGCTTGGAAGACGATTCCTCTTTGAGGAGTCACCCACCGGTTTGCCGTCGCCCATCTTCTGGAATTCCTCGATTTGTCTCTGGCACACGAGTCGCCGATCCTTCACGACGGCCATTAGATTGAAGTGGATCTCGCTCTTCGAATACTGGGCTATCCTCTGCTCGATGACTTGCCGAGCTGACTCCAACCAGTCTTTGTTTGCGGGTATCTCACAGTGCTCAATCGGGCCTTCCCGTAGGCCGTCCAGCTCGTACAACTACCGAGAGGGAAATGACTCAGTGCATTGGATAGAATCGGATCGCGAAACGTTCGACCACAAGGACAGATCCGGTCACACTTCGACCCTGTTCGGTCGCAATCAGAACTCGGCCATTGCATACGATACCTTGCCGTTTATTGGGACGTAGCTTATGAAATGGTATACGTCATCGTCTTGCTTCGATGCTTTTTGATCGAACTCGACGATTTGAGGCCGTGAAAATGAGTTGTGAACCTCTCTTATTACGTCAGAGTTCGAAAACGTCAATCCCTTCATCTGAGAATCGAATTCTTTCGTGAACTCTTTCAATTGAGCCAGATTCTCGCCTGGAATATTCGTAGAAAAAGAATGATCCTAGGAGAGCGCTCGACAAGAGTTTCCATCCGGGGAAAAAATTTCGATTTGGTCAGCAAGACACTCACCGAGATTTACATCGGGATTCTGGAGATTCATCAAGACCGCCAGGATTGCTTGAGTCGCACAGGCGTTATTGATAACTTGCTTGGCGAAGAATATGTCTGGATTCGTTACGACTTTCCCCGAAGTCGCGAGGCTCTTGTCGGTGTATTTGAATAGGAAGATTAGACCGAACACCGGCCGCATGTCGACGAAGGACTCCTAGAGTAACAATCGGACGGAAATTTGAGACATGCTTCCATTTTATCCGCAGGAAAGTTCCAGATAAGAGGGAGCTTGGCTCGGGATTCTGAATCATTCCGTAAAGACGCAATCGTTCCCTCATAGGGAAACCCTGAGGCACTCTCGACACCTTACATCTTCCAGTGAGAATATTTCCTCAACTTGCACGCCAGATACTCCGAAACCTCGGATGAGCTCTGAGAAGACTCCAGGGTCCGATTCTATGAGACACCAATCTCCGGCACTCATCTGTGGAGAAGAGATTTTGTGAGGAGACGCTCCGGAAGGGCACGATCCTGACCGCAGCCTGTTCCTATCCTGAGACAGCCTGCGGACAGCGGTGAGAATAAGGACGTGACGAAGCTATCGTTTTCGGGTAATGCCGCGCATATCTCAAGCAGGGACTACAAATGTCGGTATTGATTCCTCATCAATGACTTGAGGATATCCTGAAGAGAGCACCTCGATGGCAGTAATTAGACAGCAGCAGAATAAGCCCTCCTTCCGGTCGTCGGAAACTGAGTCCCCTCCAGACCCAGATACACTGATAGCTCGCTAGACGCGTTGTGGAGATTCGCTTGTGGAATACCCACGCCTCTGTCCCGAAATTCAAGAAAGCCGGTCGAACCTAGACCTAGAGGTCTGGTTTCTCGTTGGAATTTCCCAACGGACACAAACCTTGGAAGTGAGCAGGTTCAGCGAGGAGTGATGAACGGAAGCGTCGTGCTTGGTAAGAGACTAATCGCGTTGTTCGTCTTCAGAGAACTTATATCGTGATTTGCTTTTTTTGCCAACCACCACAGCCGATTGTGATTGTTCTTAGCAGCTAGCGGTCTACGCCACAAGCAGACGGTACCCGCTGGAGGAGAGGGGTGGCGACCGCAGCGCCATAGGCACGCACGCCAAGCGGCGCGATCCTGGAGGAGGTGGATCGTGAATTCTTGAGGAACTCAGATTACGGAACACCACGTTCCCTCAGCTTAAAAATGTCGACCGACGGTTCTCTTCCGAAAAAGTTAGATATTCCCCAGACGTCTATTTCATTAACCTAGGGATCATAAATTCTGAGCGAAAGAAACTTCTCGCCGTCGAAAATCCACGGTCGCTTCAGACAGAATGATTGTGACGAAAACTCTTACCGCAAATCGCACCAGTAGTACAGTCATGGAGCTGCGCTACCTAGATAAGAGGCTCTGCATGCTTCCCATTCGCTAGGGATGTCAGATAGAGGCAGAGAAGTTAGAGCTTAAAAATGGTGACATACAAGTGAAGCAATGAATCACAGATCGTGGGGACGGTTTACGCTTATCGGCCTGAACAATGAAAATTTCCGGCCTGGAATCATAGACCTGTCTCCGGATTTGGAACTCCTCGCGAAAATGTCGGCATTATCTGCGTTCTATGTTGGATGTATCCGATCCATACGTATAGGCTTTCTATCCTACAGCTCAACTCGCAGATGAAAGAGAGCGTCGAATTCAACCTCAAAGTCGCGATGATCATCCGCCGCAAATGTTTTCTTGTGAATTGCACGACAAGATACTCCACAGTCCACCTCCGACCGGGGAGGAATGCCCATGAAAGGCTCGCCCGAGTTGTCCGATATCGATTGAGAAGCAGCTGCGGTGTGAGACTTTTCTCTCTGCAGTATCTGACGGCGACCCCTTGTAGCATGTGTAATGCAGTGCTCCTCAATGTGGGATGGGATACGATCTACATGAAAGTTATTTGAGAGAACCAGAGTATTCCTCACCGGTCCTCTTCTTCAGACACATTACGACCCACGCCAAAAGTTTAATACCGCTGCGGATGCCAGCCAACGTGGTATCTGAGGAGTCCTCCTCCAGCGGTATATCGATGGTAATGGAAAAGCCATTCTTAAGATGTCGAAGTCGCTGACGAAATCTCAGCGAAACTACAGTGGAGCGCTTGAAAAAGTTTGTAAGGGAGAGACACTTCATTCTCAATGCCGATCATAGGCCCCTCTTTGCGCTATCCAAAACTTCGAATACCAAAAGTCTGCAAGAAAGAATGGCAGCGAGGCTCCGACGTTTCGAGCGTTTCTCTTTTTTGCCTTTGCAATGATGAGCGAGGGCACTTTTGTGCCATCCGAACGAATCGCGAGGATACGAGTCACCCTCGCCGTTTCGTAGCCAGTCGATGGGACGTAGATGGATGAAGCTCCTCTTCTTTCGATGGTCTGTTGAGATCCGTCACCCAAGTAGACCGCTGTTTCGTCCATGCAAATTATGTCGCGGAAGTGGTATTCAGAGAAGTCAACAGCATCGACAAAGGTTTTGTACGCGAGCGCTCTTCGGGAGATCTCGGTGTCCTCGAGTTTGAACAATGTCGTGGCACGTCTCAGAGAAAGCTCATTTCGGTTTAGGAAACCATCAAGCCAACGGTCGGAGGCCTTGAACTGATCTCCAGATCGCTTCACAACGAGGTTCAGGGATCGTCGGTGTAGAACCCACTCGAACACTTCGCTTTCGAGGTCCGCGAAAGCGGGTCTGCGACCCAAACCAAGTCTCCGAGCCTTTCCGTCACCCTTGTCTGCCCGGTAATGGAGGCTCTAATGCAGGGGTGTCAGACTGAAATTTTTGGCAAGCCGCATTCGAGCGCCACAGGTGCCCGCGGGCCTGTGTAAAAATTCACTTCCGTTTAAACGGATATATGCCTATCGTCTATGGAAGAATGCTTTTCAAGCCTCCGGGGATCGAGGGAAAACCCGTTTATTCAGTCTTACGGAGGGATTTATTCTACCGATCTCAGTCAGTTTCCGAGCACTCATTCGAATTGGTCGGCTTCGCTTATGTGGAGTAATAGTGGTGGGCCACAGAGAAAGACCTCGCGGGCCACATGTGGCCCGAGGGCCACGGGTTTCAAACCCCTGCTCTAATTGAACTCAAGCCGCTCAGGGCAAGTAACGCAGTGCCGCCGTCTTGTCGCATCAAGTCGTTGATTGCTCCGTTTGGGTCGGTGTTCCTCGGGAGAACCAACTTCAACAATTTGTCCAATCTGGTTTTTCTTCGATGCTGAGTCTCCATAATTTTGGAAGAACGGTGTGGTAGGTTGGGTTCCTCCGACGAGCTTGAGCCGCCTGAACTTTCTGACCACACGAAGGGCCTCGCTCCCTTAGGAGCCCTCATGTAGGGTGGTCACCGACGACGGAGTATCTTCCAACACGTAGGCGAGATCTGAAGCTTTCGTGGCTTCGTAGGTTCCCACTGACGCATAGTAGTACGCCTCCAGTAGGCCCTTCGTGCTTTTCCGACTTCCTTGGTAGTTTTTGCTTGTTCGTAAAAGACAGTCAAACTTGAGATGACTCTTCTCGACTCGTTGGGAACAGAGAGACCGCGAAGACTTTCGATGATTCGCTGACGTTTGAGATCGTCATCATCATCAGCAGGAAAAACGAGATTCCAGGCTCTGCATTTTTATCCGATGACATCGTCGCCAATCCTCGAATACAATTGATGAGATACAAGACTTTCCCATGTTATCGAATGGCTACCCTCACGAATCCGTAAGGAGTAAAGTCCCGGATATAAGGAACCCCTGTTTGCGTGGAGAAGTCACGTGTATAACGAGCCTTCGGTGTTACGAGTTTCGCGTGAACGGCGCAGCCCATAACGGCTCGGAGTTCTCGGCACTGAATCTATGAAGGATTTCCCTGGAAGAGGCAACACCACAGTGTGCTGCACAATCAGTTTGACGCTTCCCGAGCAGTTCCACTATATCGAGTCGGTTTGGGTTAGCAGGCCCTCAACGGCGCAGCCCACAATGGCGCCCAAAGTTTCCGTGGCGCTGCCTTCCGGGCGTGGTTCGGCTCTAAACCTTAGTTTCGCTGCCGTTGGGGCCTGCTGACCTAAACCGACTAAATTACGCGCCCCAGACTCAGGTTTAGGCCGCCTCACAATGTCATTGCTTCGAATATGCTCGCTTGCGCTCGCCTTTCGTAGCTTCCGGATGTGCTCGCTTCGCTCGCCCGGGGAACTAACCTAACCCGACTCAATATCGTGATACTGCTTCGATCGGCACCCAACTGGATAGGCTCCGCACTATTGTCGCGCCCCTTCCATAAAAATCCCTCATAGACTCGGTGCCCGGAATACCGCGCCGTTTTGGCCGCGCCGTTTTGTCGCACTCCGTGCATCATCACGTGACCCCTCAGGAGCCGTTTCACCAGACATCTTCCATAGGTACTGTCGGAGACAAGCGACTCTCTTCAGGGGACAGTTGAACTCAAGGGGGGAGACAAGTGACTCTTTAGTACTTTTACGCATTTTCAGTGAGGGTTCAAGCGACCTTAGGTCCTGCATCATAACGTGACTCTGAGAGGGCGTTTCGCCGGGCATGTTCCATATCGTCGGAGACAAGCGACTCTTCGCCGAGGACTGTTGACAGTGATGTGCAGCCGGCCGGCGAGTCCGACTGCCCCTCGGGCAGCAGTCGAATTTCGCCACAAAGGACACAAGTGACTCTAGCTCTCATACATTATCGAAGGGGGCTCAAACAAAACTAAGTCCTGCATCATAGTCCATAACTTGACCCTTGGGAGGCGTTTCACCGGGCATCGGTGCAGGACATCTGGGCAGAAACCAACTAGACCAAAAACCAAGTATGCCAAAACCAACTGGGCCAATGGACCAATTGGGGCAAAACCAACTGCGCGAAAATCGAAGTGATCGAAAATTCGCGAAGTCTTGGAATGGATAGAGGACGAGATGAACCCCTACCAGGGTCATCATCGGGACAGTCACAGATAATAACCTCTACCTAAATTGAAGACTCGGAATTGAGTTCCCCGCTCAGCGAATGCTCGGGAAGCTCGCTTGGAAACGGCAACGCAGTGCGGTGATGCACAGGAATTGTGCATGAATCCATTTCAAGTAATAACGAACATAATAACATGATAATAAGCAATAAGGAATGTGTAGACCGGACGATGGTTTTCTTGAAATTGACAGAATCACTCCGGCGCGCGGGATTCATGACGTTATATCGCTTGCAAGTCAAACTATTCGAATTCGATTCCGGGAAAGACCTGCTCTTCGCCCTTTCGAGACAACTCATCGGGAATGAGGGTAAACGAAGCAGGTGCACATTCACGACTTTGCGTTCATGTGGTCTCCCACTCTCGCTACCAGGGGCTTAATTTCGGGGTAGGGCCTATATGACCGTAAACTTCAGAAATCGTTCTGGGGGCTCATTCTCGGAGAGTTCTTATGATATGAGAAACACGGTACCTATGCACAACTTGCGTGCAGGTCTCTGCGGCTTCCCCGCTCACCTTCATATGTTGTGAGTACAGGAATACCTCGCATAATGCGGATTTCGGGACCGCACTATTCAAGTACCCGCACTATCCAAGTCGGCACTATTGAAGACAGAGGGTCCGCACTATCGGGATCAACACACTGTGGATTCGATTAGCGCGTACCCGCTTGGAACAACAGATTTTCCGGCCTTCGCATACTATTCTTTTGACGCTTCGCGCGTCTATAGAAACATTCCCATTCCGTCGCGAATTATCCCGCCGTTTTAAAGTCCGCACTATTCGGAACCGGGTGTCCGCAGTATCAGAATCCGCCAGACAGATTCCCATAGTGCCGACCCTCCGCCTCGCATGGTGCGGCTTTGGATAGTGCGGGCTGCAGTATCGGAATCCGCACTATGCGAGGTATTCCTGTATTTCCATTCATACTTGTTTCCATTCAAGGGACAAAGACCACAGACGCGGACTCACGAGGAGATAGCACTCACAGTTTATGATTGAGTACAAGCGGGGCTTGTCGGTCGATCGGGACTAAAGTCAAATTAGGCCAAAGTTATATGCATATCATGAGTACGAGGGATATGCAAGACTGGATTGGGATTGTTGAGAGGCTGCGTTCATTAAAGAAGGTGGGGAGCATGATCATGGCAGCATTTCTGAACAATTCGGATTCCGCAGCGATGTGAACTGATCTTGGCAGATGAGAACTTGGAGTCTACCATGCACTCTCGAATGCTTGCCGAAGCATTGGAATGTCATCAAGAGCATGGAACGCAGGATACTGAAATCCCTCTGAACTGAGGTCGGAGTTTCGGTTTTTAAAAGCGCGTGACACATCTTCAGGAGATGACCGCGACCTGTACCCGCTTCAACGAGCGCGAGTTCCCTCCCCAGGTTCTCCTGGCTGCAGGTGTCGCTAACACTGTCGGATTCGGGAGCCGATGAAGCGGCGAATATCGAATCCCTTGAGAGTCTTTCCTGGAAAGTTCCAGCTTCCAATCAGGTCGACGTCATCAGGTCGTATTGGATAGAGCTAATATAGCTTTCATTGTATCTAATTCGTTATAGGCCCTATTCTCACGAATCTATTCCCGATGCTGCTTGGAGCGGCCCGAATATATGCCTGAGACCGGATTTCGCGCCTCTCCGCGATACGGATAGAATGAAAATCACGCGCAGATAATCAGACATCTAGACCGAGAAACTCACTTTTATTCCACAGTAGCTTCGAGAGCAAGCTGACTGCATCGAGTTGAGTGATTTCCTAGTCAATGCACTCAATCCGAAGAATATCGACGCAAGCTGTGAGTCAACATCACGGGATCACTGACAGTGATTAAAATGCGGATGAAACAATCGTCCTACAGATCCTTCGTTTTTTATGTTGACGATGTGGCTCTTGAATCCGTCTTTCTGGCAGAAGGAAGTCTACGTGAAACTCTTCGTGGGACGCCTTCATTCTGATCAAAGCGACTGTAAACACGGTGATCCATCTCCATCTATTCCATCCCCAGGCAATCCAGCCAACATAAACTTCACCGCCACCATACCCCCTTCCCTCAACATCACATTCGATCATCGTACCCAAATTCAGATCCGGACTGAAACCCGGCGCTCTCGACGCCCTCAGGCACCATTGCTGTACGATAAAGCCCGACCTCGTTCTCCTCACTGAAGCATGGTTCAATTCTTCCATCGAATCCGCGGAACTATCCCTCAGGGGCGCCTACAATGTGCACAGACAAGACCGCTCCTCACGAGGAGGGGTCGTTTGTGTACTCATCAAGTCCTCGATCTCTACCTCCGATATACAATGCTCAGTCTCCGATGAATATAGAGCTCTCAGCCTACACCTTCGCTGTATAACCTTCCGCCTACTATGCTCCTACGTCTCGAACTCCGGGTCGACAGAAGTCAGGCGCAGACGGCAACAATATATCTGTGCAGTCCTTGACGAGATCTGCGACATCGACGCCCCCTGCATCATACTAAGTTATTTCAATCTACCGCGCATCGACGGAATACCTGGATCCTCGACACTCATCGAGGGCTCGAGGCAGACTTCTACAACTGCTGCATCAGAAACAATCTAGTCTAGCTCGTTGAAGCCCCCACGCACACCTCCGGTTCCCTACTCGATTTTTCGCTCACTACCAATCCCGACCTGTGTACAAGCCGTATGCGACTGGTGCACCGACAATCAGATGTAACTACCTCCGGGGAAGTGCGTCGTTCTCAAATCATGTGCCGACACCTACAGTAACTGGATGAACGGATCCGAATTGCCCACGAGAGACTACACGAAAAACCTCGCAATCCTCGTCTCAGCTGATCTCAACTCCAGACCCCATGTTGTTAGCCTCACCCAATCCACCATAGCCACAGTCATTTTTCGCTCCTTCATAATCCCCGCCCCCTCGATATACATCCACCTCTACAAATCGCTCATCGAGACTCGGCTGACGTACTGTTCATTTGTGAGGCGACCCCACCTTCAGAAGCACCGGGACATGTTCGATACTGTTCGTCGTCGGTTCCTAAAACGTCTCTACTGGACATGTGGAAGCCTTGATATATCCCTGAAGCCCATCGAGGTTCTATTCGACCTAGAGGACCGACTATCATATCTACTGCTCAAACGACTCGACCTGCGCGACCATTTTCTTGACTTCACCTCGAACAACCTGCGCAGCGGAACCACCGCTCACCCAAAAGCCCTCGCCCGCACGACGCTTATCAATTCTCAATTCGCCTGGCGTATTGCCCGCTCCGTGACCCTACGAAAAACGAATACTGCCCTACTTACACCCCCCGCCCTTCATCAATAAAGGCGCATATCATCATCATCATAAAATACACAAATAAGTACCGGGATATAGCGAGACGACGACCGTACTCATGAAGCCCGACAGGATGATGAAATGACTTTCAGCTGGTTCTGACTCGCGCTGGCGCAAGGAAGTGGAGAGCACCCCGCCCTGCGGAGCACACCTCTCTGGGTTCCGGATCATATTTGGTCCGAAAGTCTTCCCAGCAACCTGCCAGATTTCCGCCCGCTTCAAGGATGAGATTCGAGGCTCCGTTAGGAATTCCATGGAATTTTACCTTCTGTTCGGCTCTGCGATCCGAGCCTGACAGACTCGATGCGGAAATCGATGATTGACCTCTTTATCAATTCTGCTGATTCGCGGCTTCAGGTCAAGCCGAGAACGATGAACGCACTTTTAATCGGAGAAAGTGGCGCTATGCCGTTTTCGAGAATTTGATCTGTGATTGTGAGCTCAGCCCACGGAGCCGCCATCCATTCGAGTCTTTCTCGCTCGTCTTGGCGCATCCTAGCGTTATGACCATCCTATCCTTTCGGTGAAAGCGCGCCTCCCAGTGGCGTTTTCCTCATTCGAGGTCAGCCTCATATTAATTCTCGTGGCCACCACAGTGATGGCGGGGTGGGAAATCAGCGTTGTCGGAATTGCTTCCCCATAGTGCAATCCCGACTTACCTAACTTCTGAATCGGGAACCTCTATCTCCGAACGAGAAACATCGGCCGGCTTCGGGAAATGAACCCGGCACCTGAACACTAGACACTAGACCACCACGCGGGTCCAGGTCAGCCTGACGCGCACAATTCTTCTTTCCTCCATTTGCCAAAACGATAATAATTTCTTCAAAATCTCTCACCGGTACATCTATTGGTGTTTTTGAATTTGGAGAAATACATCTTCATGAGATCGATCAAGATCAAAATCTATCTATCTATCTAACGGCGGAGATGTCTCGAGGCTTCTTCCCCACTATTTCTTCGGAAGGTATTTTCGCGGATACCAAGGTTCCATATGACATTCGTACTTCAACTTCACGCGATAGCAGGACAAGGATTCCGCTCAAACGATTGCCAGATTTGCTCGATCCGTTCAGTCTTCTTCCCGTATCATCGATCCTACCGTGTTCTATACCGGCGTATATGGATTCGGATACCACCTCGCCACCTTCATCCTTGGGACATGAGCTGAATTCGAAGTGCAATTCCGATGTGGAACATTGGTCTCCGTTTCCGCGGAAGTTTACCCTGAATGTATGGTGGCGAGGCAACCTCGAGTGGGTAGAAATCCCTGACCCCTGCTTAAGTCTCACCCCCACGATTTCCTGTAGTAATCAGGATAGAGGTTCAGACCACGCGAGAAGAAGGAAATACACACGCAGGGATTTCGGGGTATTATGACGGACAGTGTTTTTTATTCTGAGATTGGAGGGCCTCATGGAGCTATCGGTCAAGTACGGGACCGGAGGGGTATCTAGTATATATAGGTGTGAAGACCCCTGTCTATCTAATTGATTATACCTAGGGAATCTTGCGATTCTTGCGCAGGAGTGGACCGGGTGGTTGAAAGCTGGGATTCTGAGTTCTGATGCGGGATGCGTACGAGGTTTCTTCGATTGATGAGAGTGAGGTATCGATTGATTTGGGGTCGGATTGAGATGGAGACTGAGATTCACCATCTTGACTGTCGTTCATTTCAACGATGGGTTTCCAGGTTGTTGGATGGGATAGCATTAATCTTAGCTCGTTTGGTGGAGCGCTCTCTGAGCATCCTTCAGATATAAGTTTACGAGATTCCATTGCGTTTGGATCTTCGCCTCCTTCTGTCTTCTGAGGCGCTCTTCGCCTTCTTGTGCGCGACGTTTCTGAGCCTCAAGTTTCATCTCGGCCTGAGTGAGTTTCTCGTTGAGGTCGGCGAGAATTTCTTTCAGGAGACAGACTTGATCCTCGAGGCCCTCACCGGCGCCCTGTTCGGCTAGGGCCACGCCAACCGGGCTGGCCACGACTTTGTTCTGAGCAGAAGTAGAATTTACATCGAGATCAGCATCTTCGCACGAGGAAGTTGGAGCGTCACGGCTGCTGACTCCACCGCAGTTGTTGTTCTCAGTGGAGCCGTTGGAGAGGAGCGGCGTCGGGTGTGTGGCATATGAAACCGACTCGACCTTAGGGAACTGTACACTATTGAGGGCTTGCAATAGCCTTTCGACATTCGTTTCGGTGGCCTGGCTCTTGGCAACGGCCGGAAATGAGTCCTTGAGCAGAACGTGCAATTTAGCCAGATGCCTGGGACAGTCGACAAGCGAATCGTTGAAGAGAAGTCCTTGAGCTGAAGCCATCGGCGTTCCTGAAGAGACTTCCGAAAGGAAGTCTCGCATGTTCTGCATTTCCTGCTCGATGAAATCGTTCATGAATTCCATGTAGCGCTCTTTTCCGCCGAAATGAGCGAAATTTGCGAGAGTCTGGATCGTCTTCGCGATGAGTGTCAGATTCCTGGAAACGCGTTCTCCCGGATATTCTTGGCAGAGTTTGAACAAGGACGGCGACAGGATAGCGGGGCAGAGGAACCGTAGGAAGATTGACGCCGACAGAAGATTGTAAAAGAGCTCTTTGCGACTGCGCAGTCTGTCCCTAAGGATGCCGAAGACCAGTTTCAGTTCGGCGGGGAAGTACGCGGCCGAGCTCCGAATGCTTCGCCAAACTAGATCTACGTGCTTCCTGAGCATCAGTTGGTGTAGGCGCAGAGTTTGCTGGCTCGACACCTTCGAGGGATCGACCTCGCAGTCGTCTGAGTTGAGTAGAAGTAGATCGGTTACGCCTCGCAGCGTCTCTTGGAGGTAGAACTGGCCACCGATGAGCTTCATGTGAGCTTCCATGGTTTTAGTGGCAACGCTGTTGCCTCGGAATGTGAGCTGGTCGTCCTCTATTTTTTGTATGTCGTTCATGACTAGCTCAGTGACGAACTCTGTAGCGAGGCCCTGTTTCTGCATGATGTGTACGAGAGCGGTTGCGACTTCTCCTTTCGTTTTCACGGATACGCTAGGCTCGAGTAACTCACACAAGGTGGGATAATCGTTCTTGAGGTACTTGAGGAAGTCTCCATAGCACTCCATCGGGAAAACTTCGAGCGATTGGAATTTTGTCCTCACTCGGATCGCCATCGGAGGGGGATTACTACCCATGGTCGAGTTATTCGGCTCGAGAGGATACCAGCTCTCGGATGGCTTTGGTATTGTGTTGGTCACGGCCTCTAGGGGAATCCGCACCGTACCAAGAAGCGATCTCTTCTTCCTCTTGTCCACTTCTCGGTACAAACTGACGATCAAGGTTTCTTTGGTGGACGGCAGGTGATCGAACTCGAAGCTTTCCCCCCAGAAACACATGTCCAGCTTCTGCTTGGAGCACGTCTCAGCTCTGAGCTTTCCGCCGATGTTCAATTCGGCGACGTATTTCTTCTTATTCGGAATTCCTTTGGCCTCGAAAACCGTCACTTGAAGGAAGTTTTCCACCCGAGGCTTCGTTTGGAGCTCCAAGGGCGACGAGTCCATCTTCTGCTCTCCGGGCAGGCAGGCATTGACCGAATGCTTCACCCACTTATCCATTTCCCCAGATTACTGCCTGAGTTGAGCTGACTCCCCAAGTCGAAAGGATTTTAATGGTGTTCTGATTCCAGGAGGGAATAGTCCACAGTATCGTAGGGCCCGTGAAAGTGTTTCGGCCACCCAGATGATCTTCGTAATGTGAGCCCGTGATCGCTCGGGAACGGTTCGATCTTAGTTCCAGTGACCTGATCAAACTCAGTGGTTAAAAAGTGATACATCATTGGAGCTGTGGAGTCGCTCACGTTGCCTTCAAACGATATCATAGGCCTTCGCAAAGTCTCGCCGGAAATGCGTCGGAAGTGTCGTGTGATCTGTTTCGGGAAGACATTCGCCGTTTACTCGCGAAGTACTGGTAACTCACCCAATGGAGACGCACTTGAAGTCGAAAAGCGTAGAATGTCTTTCTGAAGTCCGTAAGAGCGGGACAGTTTGTGATCTCAAACGTTGTGATATAGCCCAGAGCTGGCGCTGATCTGAGTAGAGGTCCAGACCGCACGAGAAGTAGGGATTGCACTCACAGGCATTTCGGGCAATGTAACGGCCAGTGTTTTTATTCTGAGATTGAAGGTCCGCATGAACCTATTGGTTGAGTAAGGGACCTAAGAGATTATCTACATGTTAGAACACCCCTGTCTATCTCATTGATTCTACCGAGGGGTTCTTGTGATTCTAAAGTACTGGGGTTAGAGCGAGTGACGGGACGGAAGTTGTGGACGGGGTGGTTGAGAGCTGGGGTCTGCATTCGAGATGGGTCCGAGGTTTCTTCGATTAATGGGTGTGAGGTATCGATTGATGTGGGAGGGAGTTACACATCGCTCATGCGCGTCCAGCGGCCTGTGCCTCGTTCGTTCACGACTGATAGGTTGAGTTGCGACATGAGAGGACATTTTCATCCCGGAAAAGAGACAAGGTCCGCGCGCACATTGGGACGAGAAGCGGGCATCGAGAACGGAAAGCCTATTCCACCCGTATTGGCCCGGTTCTATGAAATACATTCAACTCCCCTCCTACTGACGTGGAAAGGTCTTCAAAATGTGGCGGCCTCCATGCAGCGAAATCTTTCCCGGGAGCTTTAGTGGGGCTGTATCTCCGTTTATAGGCATCGGATTATCACAATTATTCAGTGGTGGAGTTTCGAGAATAGGGGATTCAAGCATCATATTCAATTCGAAGTCTGATACTCGTATCTGAATTCTTCGGTCCTCAATGACCTGCAGTATTACTAGAAACATAAAGCCATTTGTCGCCCGCTCCAAAAATCGTATCCGCCTAATTAAGCATGCTTTGAGCAGCAGATGTACCTAACCGGACAGCCGGAATCTCCGTCTAACAATCTAGACGTCTCCCTCTCATATTTCTGCTCCTCCTATCCGTACCATCGCCCTGATTCAAATTGTGGTTCTCTTTCGGACTCCGCGAGTTTCTCGGAGGAGAAGGATCTCGAGCCCAGAGGAAGCCTAGAACAATTGCTTCTCAAAAGTTTTTCATGGTGATATTCTTAGCTGGAAGCTCGAGAGCGAACTGAAAAGAGCCGGATTCAGTGAGAAGGGCCTCGAAGACGACCTTGTGGTACGGCTTATCATCGAAGCTACGGCTATATCCACACCGCGGCGGCGGGAGATGATTAGACGTACACTGAGTCAATTCCACAACGAGCACGGTCGTCGACCGACAGTTTCCAGATTTTTTCAAGCGAAGAAGTTATCGCGAATTCCGAAATTTGGCAAGGAAAACCGAACGGATGGGGTAATTCACAAGAGGGATTCTCTGGATCCCGAATTCTCTCCGGGAGCACGGCCGCTAGACCCAGCTTCGGGTCGAAATTGCTACCGCTTCGATCTCAATCAGATACTCGGCGCGGATGATCATGGGTCGCACCCATGTTGAGGGACCATAATGCCTCCGAGAAGTCGTCAGCGAGCGGCGCAGGGCGCACACCAACAGCTTTGCCATTCGCGGCGAGTGTTCCCGGATTGGAACACTCCGAAGTGCGAATTTTTGAAACCAGATCCTGAAGCTGCTCTACGGTTAACTCCTCTTTCGCGAGCCCGCAGACTCGCGGCAGAACTTGGTTGATCGGTTCAGGAGGGGGAGCCTCAAGAGTTCCGGAGCATACAAGGCCAAGGATAATTTCGCGCAGAGAAACTGGGCGCGATCTGTACTCCCCGAGAGCGATCTCCGCATTTATCGGCGCTCCGAACACCGACGAGTTCCATAATTTTTCCTCGAAGTACCTGTCGAGAATCGCACTTTAAATGCTCGACCTTTGAGTTGCTCATTCCTTCCTCAACCTTCGAGATTGTGTAGTGAGTCTAAAGATGAAATCTGCATTCCCGTGACTCGAACGAGCGACAGAAGATATCGATCCTCGCATCCTGATCGAGCTGGAACATACCTGTCGTGAGACGAATTCGGAAGGGGCAAATCTAAATCCCCCTGAGACCACTCGCACCAGAGCTCCGCTTGAGACGCTGTTAAGAGCGCCGTCGTCATGAATCGTCCCTCGAAGCATCGTTGAAGCATGGGCCAGTTTTCCAGGATGAGGTCGTATCTCCTTTGTCACGCAAACATGATTGGAAGGATGTTGTCGAGGCAAATGCTGGAGCGGGAACGGATCATTCTGAGCGTGGAATGTTCGTCACCTCCGACTGAGAATTCCGTCCCGAACTTGTATGAACGTTCCCGCTCCGGATCGCTTCATGAGTAGGTCCACCTGTTCTGATGGTGACCTTCGGAAAAAAGGTATCGCTGAAACCTCGGTTGTCCAGTGCAATGAATTAGAGATAATCATCACTTCCGATCGGAGTTAGGGCTCCAGAACGACGCAACGCTTACAGCTATATGAACTGTTGTGTCCGCATCTGTAGCAGCGAGTGCGACCGCTGCTCTGAGTTCCGGGACGAGGTTGGGCGCCATCAGATCGGTACCATTTTCGTCGGGTCCATTCTTTCCACAGGCGGCTGCCAACTGCCAAGGAATCATTTCCGATCCACGCCAAAAATCTCTCTTATTCTCGGATCCCTAAGCGGGGCTCATCCCGCGGCCCCGGATAGTGCCGCGCTTCCGGGTCGCTAGCAGGGGATGGGCTCCGAGAACCAAAGTTCTCGGGAAACCAGCAGCAACAGATCAGTGGATTCGTCAGAAGGAGCATGCACCGAAACACTAGCATCAGTCTCCAAAGTGCCGGCATCTGTTACCCCATTCGATGCAACGGCATCCCCGCATGCAAGTCAAGCTCTGATGGCTCAGATAATTGATGGATGCGCTCTTGCCCGGGGCAAGAGCTACATCTTATCCGTCAGGTTGCGGTCGGAGATTCCCAGGAATAAGCCTGATGATCGTTCAGACGGAGAGCGCCCCTCCGTATGTATACCCGCAGAAGACATCGTTACTGGTGACCTCTCGTTCTGCGGAATACAGCAGGATGAGATCAAGTAGGGGGCCGAAGGCGGCCACCAATCATTCGGAGTCTTCTCGGACTTCACTGGAACTTCGAATGAAGCGTCGAGGGGAGCGACTTCTGGAGAGGGAATTCGAGACCTTACAAAAGCGGACAAGTGGATGTGCAGCGACATTCGACTTCAAGAAGTACTGTGAGTGGGATCATCTGCTTCTAGTCACTTCTTGTGCGAGCTTGCACGAAGTCCGAGGCCGGCACACGAAGTTGACAAGGATTGTGCTGCCGTGGGACGCTGTGATTTCGGGATCTTGGTTTGCATCCATCCGCCGGGAGTTTGACAGGAGTCGATCACTTCAGATCGGTGAGTAGGGTTAGATATCGATTTTCCGCCAATCCTGTACATTCCGGGACAGCGGCTCTCGGCGGTCCCTTTAACCCCCATGTACCGTATACGAGTTATACGAATTAGTGGTACACTTTGCTCACATCCGACATTGCTAAGATTTTGCTCTCTATCATCCAGGACAGACCGAAACCTGAGGAGGCCAGCTCTGAATTCCGGACCAGCGAAGGACTCCGCAAGAGAGCATGAAGACGATAAGCTGTCTCTGCTTCTTGGCGATCTTCGTCGCGGCTTCAAGCCAGAGGGTAATCGAAGACAGGCGTCGGAAGCTCCCACCTCGCGAGGTTGCTCCCAGGAACCACGGAGCAACTCAAGGGATCGGGAATCCCCGAGATTCCAAAGTAGCTCCAAGAAACACTGGAGCAACTCAAGGAGTCGGGAGTCCCAGAGGTCCTACAGTAGCTCCAAGAAACACCGGAGCAAGCAAAGGGGTCGGGAGTTCCCGAAATCCCGGGGTAGCTCCAAGGAACACCGGAGCGACTCAAGGGATCGGGAATCCCCGAGATCCCAAAGCAGCTCCGAGAAACACTGGAGCAACTCAAGGAGCTGGGAGTCCCAGAGATCCTAGAGTAGCTCCAAGAAACACCGGAGCGACCCAAGGCATCGGGAATCCCAGAGATTCTAGGGTGAATCCTAGAAACCACGGAGCAGCTCGCGGGGTCGGAAATAACCGAGATCCTAGGGTGGCTCCTAGAGAAAATGCTGGAAGTCGAGAGATCCGCCAACAGCCTGAAGCGAGCCGCCTAGCCGTTCGAATTAAACGGCAAGAGTATTTCATGGGGCCATCGTCCGGCACAAAGAGGAAGCTCGCTGAGAGAGAAACTAGAAAGGAGTCGAGAAGACCCCCAGATCCGGTCTTCGACGAGGGATACATCGTCAAATCCGTGGGAAAGCATCAGCATTCGGCGGACCCTCCTTCCCTGGAGCCAGAAGAGTTCAAACGGAAATCAAAAGGAGGGCATCATCCCGGGATGTTTATTTTCATGGAGAGCGTTGGATGAAATCACCGGGAGTCTGAGCTCCAGTGATCGTCGAGGGTGTTGCCGCGGGATCTCAAACCGTGCCGGTCGCTTTCGATCTGCTCCCATGAGAGGAAAGATCCGCCAAGGGCTGAATGACTCACCACGACATCGCCGATGAAGACTCGCTTGAGAACGCCGAAGCCATTGAGCACATTCGTCCTCCTATCATGCTGTCAATCGACAGAGCGGGAGCTCTCCTGGATCTGAAGCCATCGAAGAACCCTCAGCCTCCTCGTCATACCTTCCCCGAACGACCTGCGGACATCATGGTCCATGAAATGACTTTATTAAATGACTTTTATTAACTTTAATGAGTTACCAATAAAGCTGGGTCATTCCACGATGTTTCTGAGCTCGCATCCTTATTGCGTGTAGGTTTACATGCCTTCCTCGGTTCCACAGTTCTCTGTTTCCCCAACTTACCGGCAAATGGGATTTTTCAATATGCATAGTGCAGCTCCCTGATTGAACGTGCCATTCCTCAGGAATTCATTGGAGGATTTCGAGGAAGAAATTCCTGATGAAGAATCAAAAAACCTATTGTACATTATTCTCCGAGTCGGTATACTTTTCCGAAGCATACCGACCTCAGGGAGTAAGCGATCTCTGCAAGTGTTCGCGGAATATTCCATATTTCCCGAGCACAACTGAGAGAATGGGTGCGCCTCCCCGCCCGAGTCCTGGTAAGGGAGGAACAATCCCCCACATGCGATTCTCACAAGGCCTCTCAGACCTCCATCAGAGTTCAGGCACCCAGAGGGATGAGCCGAAAAAGCAAGGTTTGAGACATCGCGAAGGGCACTTGAGTATGCAATTAGAGTATATTCTGATCGGAGGGCATGCCTGTCTATTTTTCGATCGGGCGGAAACTGCCCGTTTTCGAAAGTTTCCCCGTCTGTTTCTTCCGCCCATCGAACGAGCACTCATACTAGTAGCTATACGATCTCGAATTCAGAAACTCACAGACAGATTGGAGCCGCGAGACAAGTTCTGCAATCTTTTCAACTCGGGTCTCGGAATTCCTGCCTCCAGAAGCGCCCGTTACAGAGGGATTTTCCTTCATCAGGGACTGCCTAGGTATCTACTCATATTTCAATTATCCTTCGAAGCCCGCCCCTCGAACGGCGACCGCCCTCCTGCCGGAATATTTACGATATGTGAATTCCATCCCCTAATTTCAGTCCCTGACCCGAGTTTCCGGGACCGATTATCACGACGTGAAAGCATCAGCAGGCCCCGGGAGGCTGTCGTTCGGGTGGGCTTCACCTCAAACCCATGAGGCACGGGACCGGAAGCAGACGGAGGATATCTTCATGATTCTAGTCACTTCCCTCCGACAGACACGTCCATGTAAGAGAGGGTAGCCTCGTAGACTGCAGGACGATGCTTTTGAGGTACCAGGGTTCTAGAAGAGAATCTACCTAGATTCTCGCGGGAAAAAACTTCGTCTCTCGGATACCTTCGCACCGGAGGCGAGCAAAAGACAGCAATCGAGTCGGAATTCAAGAGAAGGAAACGACCTGACCCTTATAGTCTGCGTCAACAACTGAGGTCGAATCACTCTTCCTACGACCTCGAGGCGGAGGAGAAGTAGAGGCTGCAGGAAATCGGAGCCAAGAGCTCTCGCGAGGTTTCGCGGGTCGGAAATCACCGAGATCTCAAATCTGCTTTCGGGAACTTCGTGGTAGCTCATTGGATCGAGAATCACCGGAATCATGAGAATCGTCATCGTTCCCTCCGTTCTCCCCGACCGCTGAGAGCGACAGGTCGAGCGGTTCGACTAGAATGGAAATAACTGAGAACAAGATGGAAAAGGAGCGGATGATCTCCCAAAACTCGGTTCTCACTGTACTCTGTGGAGAGAGGTCTACATCTACTAAGTATCGGATGCTATTGAATAATATGCATAACAGCCAGAAACGAGGCAGAAATCGTCAGACGATGTATATGTACCACCCGGGTATCGGGCGACGCAATCAAGAGCAGCGGTGACTCTTCGCTTCGCGGGAACGTTCAGTGGAGAGTTTTCTAAAAAATCAATCCATATTCGAGTAAATACTTTGGAATGGAGCGGATAGACCGCCACCACATCTTGAGTTGTATATATTTTCAAGACAAGACGATCAGCTCAATCGTTCGAGAGATATCAAACCACTGCGGGTAACCTGCGAATAAATCACTTGTATTGTATTCGAGTGGCGTGACCCTCGGTGAGCTCGGACGACATCGCAAATGGTCTCGGAAAGCGGCCGAATGAGCGAGCAATTTCTGGGGGAGCTTCAAATATAGGAATATTCGCAATGGAGACATCCAGAGCGCCACTTTCCATAGATACATAGTCTTCAGGACCGTCGAGCTCTCCGACCTGCAGACGAATCTCCTCAAAGCAGTTCTGCGCTCATGAAGGAAGAGGACGAGACTTCGAATGCAGCGTGATGAGAATGTCGAATTTCGATAGCGGTCACAAAAGCGCAAGCTTCAGGTGCATGGCATGCACGAAATTCGGCCCCCAGCCCCAATCCCCTACGCCAGGTCAGGATACACTACGCATTGACGTATACAGCAGGAAGGGGAGACATTCCCACCCTTGAGCTCTTGGGGACATCAAAGAATACGATGCCTCGGAAGAGATTTTGCTCTCTCGGCTACTGGAAAAGAGGTCATGCAGAAACGATAGGTATCTTTTGTTTGTTCAAGTCTCTGAGTGAGTTCACGTGCTTCGACAACTCATTGAGAGCTCATGCTTAGAAATGAGGATTGACCATCGCAATGAATACAGCATATATTAAAATTCCTTCCGAAGGTGCTCAAAAGGAAATATGGACGATCCCCGCGCATCACTGAACCCGACGCTACCCTCGGCGATAACCCCGGGAAGACCGAGAATCGTCAGTCCAGTCAGACCTATCGTCGCAAATATCAGCGAGCCCATCTCCGTCGTTCTCGCACAAAGGTATTCTGTGAAGAACATCTGTTAGCTTGCGACTCACTCAGAAAACTCCTGAGTGACGCCCCGGTACTCAGATGGTGAAGGTCAATCGACTCGTACTCCACATAAGTATTTGACTCGTGGATCCGAGAGACGGAAATACAGCTTACCTCGTGTTCGGATATGCCCTCGCCCTGATTCGTGGAGATGCGGCAGCTTTCCGTATTGCTATCCGCGGATCCATATCTGCAGGCAGTCGGCGGTTTCTCGCGTTCCGAAATACGAGGCCACGCGTCAAGTGCAGGGATTGCGAACGAGGCCCGTAAGGGACCCTCACGAGATCGCTTTCCCTGCGCAGAGAGTAAAAGTGAGTCAATCACTGATGTTTCCGTAGAGTAGTATACATATATTCTACGCTAGTGCTGAACGCGACATCCGCACTGCCGTAATACGTGACAGTCCGGACGATCCGCCGGGGGACCCAGGGTCCCAAGAGGAGCGGCGTCGTTGAGACTCGATTTGAAACCCGATACTCCGCCTACGGAGTTCAGACACATTATGCTCCAGGAACGGATATCTTACCGGCCTTCAACAAGCACAAGCATCACACATAAGAGCGAGAATAAGAACTGCAGCTTCATAATTCCTCGGTCTTCCCCGGCGATCCCCACTCTCAGACGGGCGAACAGAATTCTTCCATTAGAATCGTATCGAATAAGATTTACTCCGTCCCCGGGGTCTTCGATCCCGACCATTTAGATACGGCTACTCTCAGATG